CTGAAACCTACATCACACCAGACCGCATCTCACGATTTCTGAATAATTATCAATTATCAAACTTTGGCACGATAAAGAAAATGTTTCTCTGAAACCTACATCACACCAGACCGCATCTCACGATTTCTGAATAATTATCAATTATCAAACTAGAATTTTTAGCCAAGTGTTACCAAAAAATATCTGGAATAAAAGAAAGTTGTCTGCTGTTGTCAACCGAATTCAAATTTGTCAAATACGATCAAATTATCAATTTCCAAACAAATTTAATTAATAACATTCCGATGAATTTAAAATTGTCAAAGTTTCTGGGTTTTTTCAGTTTACCGTCATTGAGCTCAACAGCAACTCAAAATTGAATACCTGGAAGATATCAAAATAAGGACGTGTTTTTGTTGGATCAACACTCAGCACAGTAGAATTTTTTAAAATTTAAAATTTCCAAAATTTGTAGTTTTTGACGTCGAACTGCCAGACAAATATTGTATAACAGACAAATAACTGAAAACATGGCTTTGCTTTTGCCTAAAAGTAATCTCAGCCTAAGAGAGAAAAAAATTCAATTAAATTTAAAATTGTCAAAATTTTCACCTGACATCGTGACGTCATCGTTGTTGAAGACGATCCACAGTGAGAAAAAGTGATCGACGCCCAATTTGGCAGTGAGCTCGCCGTCGATGCCGGTCGTGTTGGGCAGCTGGGTGACGGCGAGGGCACGGCTCGCGAAGTAGGCAAACGCAATCGCCAGGAGGCCGGAGCCACGGCTGAGGCGGTTCCACGCACCCATCCTTACACTGACTGGAAGCTGGCTTTCGCCCGATGCTGGCCCAACCCCCTCCCGGTCTTTGAATTGGCCAGTTCTACCAACACCGACCTCACCCCACATCAACGGCCAACCACGAGGCGCACTTCTTCTTTCTCGCCCTTTTCGCCCTTCTACTCCGAGCTTTGGACGTTTTTCTGTCTTCAAGCCTCCTCTCATTAATTTTTATTCAACATCATCAGCCACCAATCAAAATATTTTGTTCGCAAAATTGCATTACACACGCGAAAACAAAAAATTAAACTGCAAGATTAAGACTAATTAGACTATACCTACTATATATACTAAGAATATAAATTTCAGCAACCAGCTCGCACCTTAACCACTGAGAAATTATTTTTCTAAACAAACCCCAATTTTTTTTCATCGTTTCTATACTGCAGCCACAATTTATCACTGCCCACATATACCCAATCATTTCACCTAACTCTTTCTTTTGCCATTGTTTACTAAAGTCTTGGAAAATGTAATGAAATCAAGAATACTTAAGCATTTTGAATCTAATGGGTTTTTTAGGCTATCATTTGGGTACAGATTTGGAAAGAACACATCATAGACTTTATTAAGCTTTGTAAACTTCTCACTTGATGCATTCAATACGAGTAATTGTTCAGCAACTGTGTAGTAACTTAAGTGTATCTCATAGATTACATGTAGAAAAATTACCATTATATCATTTTAGTAATGATGCAATAGCATAAGGTCTTATCTAGATAAGACAAGTGGTAAAGTATAACGGAAGGTTTTTATCGGAGGCTGGAGTAACAATCGGAGTGCCTCAGGGTTCCATTTTAGGCCTCATATTGTACATAATTTTCACAAACAATCTTTACAATTACTTTCCCACAATTCACTTTACATTGTATGCTGATGATTGCAGTTCCCAGTTGGATGAACCAAGTGAGATAGAGCTCATCGAACAAAAATTGAGCTGAAAATCCAATTTGGAAAAGTGGTTCATTGAGAATGGTCTATTGCTGAACAAAGAGAAGACAAAGGTTATGATTATAAAAACTTCCAATTCAAAAAATAGTCTAGATAATCAACCGATAAAAACTTGGGCATAGTTATAGATTTAGCAAACAATTATTTTTACTAAGAAGTCTCAAAAGTAATACATCTCAAACAGTTTTAATTAATGTTTATTTCTCTTGTTTCCAATCATATATTGTCTATGCCTTATTGGTCTGGGGTCACTTGATTCATGCCAAACTAATCTTCAAAAAGCAACGTAAAACTATAAGAATTTTATGAAATTTAAAGTATAAAGAATGTTGCAGAGAAACATTTACTAATTTAAACATTATGACTTTGCCCACTTTATATGTCTTACAGTGTATAATGTATTGTTACAAACAAAGTGAGACTTCAAAAACATTTAATTCTGTACATAAGCACTATACAAGAAACTGTAATAAAATAGTTCCTGAACGGCTGAACCTTAAAAGATGTGAAAACTCTTGTAAATATTGGACTATAAAATTTGTTAATAATCTGCCAGATGATGTCAAACTGTTAACTAAAAAAAAATTTAAACTTAAAGTAGCAAAATTCCTCATTGTTAATGCCTTTTATGACTTTGGATTTTTTTCCATGTAAAAATAGTGGAATAAAAATGAATTAATTTGTACTATTTTTGACGAATGTAATGACAAAACTTGTATTTTGTTTACTAATCACCTTATCACAATAAAACTTTTATATCTTTTGTTTTATAGCTGTCATTTTTTCAAAGAATTGTCCCTTTCTTAACATTAGTTTCTTTTTTAAGTTCTAACTAGGAATTGATTCTCCTAGTTCTTTCGGCTTTAGGTGTAGATGCCAAAGACAAGTATTTTTGTCAAATCTATCCATTGTTTAAAATTATTAATTATTTGGAGATCGTGAGATGCGGTCCTGTGTTATGTAGGTTAAGAAAAACATTTTCTTTATTGTGCCAACATCTTCAGGGCCTGGATTTACAAACATTGTTTATATTATGCAAACAAATCTCAATTTAAATTTAAATACAACAGTGTTACACAGTTTCAACAGACTACATAGATTGGTTTGAGAAATTTGAAATAAAAAAAATGTGAAATTAAACATGGAGATAAATGCATAAATATGTTCTGTTTTAAACATGTACCTAAATAATATTTGACATACATGAATCCAACAAATTGTTTGACATACAAAAATAATCACCAATTTAAAATTATTTTCTAACAGTATTTATTAGGATAATATTTAGTTTTGTTGTTATTCACGTTTTTGCACATTCAAAATTGAGCGTTAAAAACCAGCTTCTCATTGGAATGATCCAGATTGTTGTAAACAGCAAATCTGTGTGTAGGACCATATTCAAAAAGCGAATCTACATACACACCCTACCTTCATCATTTCTACAAATTTAATTTTTCTATATTTTATTTGTAAATAACTTACCCATCAAATTAAGTTCTATTAATTTTTAAAAATTGTTCGTTGAAACTGATATATACTGTAAAATATGATTAATCTCTGAAAAGATTGTAATGTAGGTCTGTAAAAAAATAAAGTAATTCCTGTTATACAGGAGGGCTTAACGGCCAACTATGGTGTCACAGACGAGGGATCTTCAACAATTTTACATTTTTACAATACTTTTTACAAATTAATCCAAGGTACTGCAAGCATGGCAAACTACTTACATCCTACCTAACCACTTGGCACACAATGAATTGTGACTGATAAACTAATTAAATTTAAATAAATGGATGTTATTAAATCATGGATGATCAATTTTTATTAATATAATGTAATTTCATGTTTGAGCCTTAGTACAAATAGAATATCAATGTGTTTTTGCCACTAGAGTAGCAACACACTTTTTGTGAGTACAAGATACTTGGTTCAAAATTTATATTTACTTCTCTATTGTATTTTTTCCAATCAACATGTTTTGTAATTCACCCAGGCCCTGAAGATGACCTAAATAAAGGTCGAACATCAGCAAAAAATTGAGAAAAGTGTTTCTCTAAACTACCTCATTCTTGACCACTCCTCACAGCCCCAAAAAATTACGAATATTAATGATTATTTAAATTCACTAATTTCGTGGTCCGCTTGACCAATTAAATCATTACAATTAATTAAGGTTTTTAGTTGAGATGAAAAAAATGGCAAAAAGGAGGGAAAACTCAAAGGTGGGGTTGAGATAGGAAGTTGATGTCCGAGTGGATCGAGGTCACGATAGCTCAAGTGGTAGAGCAGCGGCATATCAAGCCGAAGATCGTGGGTTCGAATCCCGCTCGTGCCATTAGCTTTTTTTCATCTCAACTAAAAACCTTAATTAATTGAAATGATTAATGATTATTTGGAGATCGTGAGATACGGTCTGGTGTGTCGTAGGTTTTAGAAAAACATTTCTTTATTGTGCCAATGTTTCGATCTTTATTGATATCATCTTCAGGGGCTGGGATTTACAAACATTGTTTAAATTATACAAATACATATAAGATGTGAAAAACTGAATTGATACAATGATAGACATTTATTTTTTCACATTTTACACGTTTTTGAATAACTTAAACAATGTTTGTAAGTCCCAGGCCCTGAAGATGACCTCAATAAAGATTGAAACGCCATGATAAAGAAAATGTTTTTCTAAGTCTACGTCACACCAGACCGTAACTCACAATCTCCAAATAATCATTAATTAACAGTACCTAAACCCCACATATATTAATTTTTTATCCAGCAGAAAAGAAAATTTTTAGATTAAAAGTTTAAAGAAATGGCAAACAACCAAAATGGTCAGTAATCACCCTTTTTTATTTTAAATACGATATATATTTTACACACTTTGGAAGGTCTGTCATTTTTTATATTCCTGTCATGCTGGAGGGCTTAGCGTAAACTATCCGTTTGGTGCAACAGATGAGGGTCAAACCACTTAACAATACATTTTTCATATTATTATCAATTAAAATGGGTGTGCTGGGTTTGAAGCAGAACCACTAGCATGGCAAATACGAGTCACTTCCCCAAACCACTTGGCCACCATGTCTCTGGTCTATCATTTCATCTTATGCTACAGTTTTTATTGTTTAGTTATATTATGGTTTGTTTTAAGTATTTATTTTATTAAAATCTTCTCTCAAAAGAAAATACATAAAACATGGGATATTTCAAATAATATTGGAAAACTATAACATTTATTTTTTTCAATAGGTTTATTGCCATCCAAAATTCCTAAATGTACAAAAATGAATAAGGATTGTTACTTTTAAAATGAATATGGTTTTGGTGCAAAAATTGAGGCAATCGATGATTGTTTATTTATCAGGTTGAAGAGATTGCATAATATACAGCTTGGCAAGAGATTGGGTGCAGAATTGAGAAATATGTTGAGAATAGGCATCGATTTGCCCAGACATGATTGTTGGCATAAGACGCGGCGGGACCAGAAGGGTCTTGAAAAGTTTATTGATCTCATCATCTGGAAGTGGAGGCTCGCCTCTAGCTTCTCTTGCAGCATTCTCTTGCATCTAAAATTCAAAAATTGACAGTGAAATTATTAACTAAAAATTAATGACAAAACAAAATGAGATAGTTTACCTTTTTAACAGTGTATCTGTACTTGTCTTGGCTTTGACGTATCACAGCATGTTGATGCCTATTGAATTTAATTGCTTCTTGATTCAAGTCATCAATATGTTCCATCAAGCTCCTAAGATGTCCTTCAAGGACAGATCTGGAAAAGCAAATATTTAAACGAATTTGAAATAGAAATTCGTATTTGGCAGAAAACATAAAAAGAACTTACGCTGTGCTTAAATCAAGGAAGTTAAATCCTTGTTGAGGTGGAATCATTTCTCCTAGCTGGCACATGAGTATGTTTGTAAGGGGAGAATTCCTAATAATGACTGGAACCTCAATCAATAAATTTTCATATGAAACTTTCAGATTCCGCATGGCATCAGGAGTAAAATCGCCTTCTTTGTACATGTTGATGGCCTGCGGTGTCAACCTGTAGGCCTTCAAAGTCAGGAAACCCCTTTCAGTTTTTTGTGTGTCTAAAAAAAATGAGCAGTTACAACAATATGCACAAGTGAAAATTTCGTCTTTCACCCTTACCATAAATCAACACGACAGATTCTTCGATGGATGTTTGGTAGTGAAACTGTGATTCGAGAAGTGGCCCACTGAGGAAACTGCCGACGTCAGAACTCTGATACCAGCCTACATGATAATGGTCGACATTTACTCTTCTCAATTTCCGCATCATGTCCAGCTGGTATTCCTCTGAAATTTAGAAAATATTTTAAAATTAAATTTCCATAACTTTTTTTTTTTAATTTGGTCATTTCTCTTAATTCTGGCCTGGTTAGTCATATGTATTTTGTCATCTTTGACATTCATTTTCTTTCAAAGAAAGAGTTGTGAGAACATGCTGTAAAGTTGAACAACAGAATTTGAATTGTGAGAATGAACTTTTATGGCCAAAGATATCCGGAATAATTGACCAAACAAGATAGATTCACTGCTCTATTATGTGTAACATGCACATTATTATTAGCATTATTATGATGTATCACATTTACTTATTGATACTAAGTTGTAGTTGTAAAATTCGTAACAAATACCCAAGAAAATACACTGACAGGCAAAAAACTCCACCCAATTGATTTTTTTCATTTTCTCGATAAAAGAAAATTTTTCCCTTAATTTGTCGCATTGTTTTTTTATCAATAAATATTTGTTTATGTTGTTTTAAATTTGAAATATCAATTAGAAGTAAACACACTTAATCCTCAATCCAAAACGAGGATAAAGGATTTTTCAATGTTTACTTTTTATGGAATTTAAAATATTTATTCAGTCTCATTTGAATTCTGAAGCATAAACTGTTTAGTTTTCATCTATGTTCTTCCTAATTTCAATTTTTAAGCCTAAAAATGCTACTTAGTGTTGAGGATGTCGCAAGTGGTGTGGCACTTATTGATGATGGACGTTCCATCACGTATGCTTCTACTGCCATCGGAGTTCCCCACGAAACCCTGCGGGACGCTGTTAGACCTTTTTGGGAAACTGGGTCCTACCATAGAAGGCCCGGTTCTGAATGCCCTAGGGTAACCAAACCACAGAATGACCTTTTTTGACTGATTATTTTGCAAAACCAGCCCTTACTGTTGTTCAAGCGATTCATCAACTCCAGGAAGTTCAAGGTGTTCAAATTTCTTAATGCACTGCTCGAAGAAGATTAAATCAGACTGATAGTTTTCACCCAGCAAGAAGGCCAGAATTGACCAGAACACACTAACTTGCATGGCTCCCATTTGCTTGAAAATACAGCCATTGGGCAATTGGTCTACTGTACTTTTAACAGATGAGTGTAGATTTGCTGTACGATCTCCAGATGGGTATGAAAGCGTGTGGAGAAGGCGAAATGAAAGGTACAAAGCATGTAATTTGTCCCTGATCCAACATTTTCTACGTAGCTCAGTGATGGCATGAGCAGGAATTTTGAAAAGAGTTGCACAGAGTTGGTTGTAGTTTGTGGAGGGTCTTTGACGACCACTAGCTATGTGGATGAAATTTTGCGTTGACATGCGTTGCCTATCCTCAATGAAATCAGGACAATCCTATTGTAAAGCACGATAATGCCCGTCCCCTGTCACTTGCATAGTACAACCTTCAACAGCATAACGTAAGTGTCATTCTCCAGACTTGAACCCCAAGAACATTTATGGGATGTCAAAAGACGAATAAAATCATATCTACCACTTCCTGATACACTCCACGACCTTGATAGGACTCTCCTTGAAGAATGGGCTAACCTCCAGCAAAAGAGACATTTCCAGACTGGTAGAAAGTATGTCGAGACGTTTTCAAGATGTAATTAAGGCAAGAGGAGGAAATATATGATATTGAAATTTTAATTAAAAACCTAAAACAAATTTTATCTGTCATTTTTTCCATTTTTCATTTTCCTTAGCAGTTTGCATTGGTTTAAACTTTTTTAGACAAAGACCCAATTACTAAACGTTAAAAAACGTCAAACTTTGATTAACATAAAAAATATATACAAATCAGGTTACATCACAAGTGGGTGGAATTGTTTGCGCGTCAAGCATATGCACAATGGATTGCAAACTGGATCAAATTGGCCAGCTGTACCTTCGATACTTTTTCTTTCTTTCCAACATTTTCTACGTTTTACATTTAAATAGTTACAATAAACACCCTTCTTCAGGACGATATTAACAACCTTCGTCAATGGTCTCATCGTAAGTTTTCGGAAATGGGAAGCAGTTGGTTATCTCCAATCTGGAGTCGACGACCAACCCGAGAAGAGCCCCCTGCGCGACTTCCAGGTTTCCAGCACACTCTTCGTGGCAGTGCTTCACGATTTTCATAACAGCCTGTAGGACAAAAACGAACGTGTCTAGTCAATCGTAATCGGGGCAAAAACCTCAGATAGGAAAGTACTTACCAGTCCGTCCATTTGGACGAACTTTATCGGCGTTTCCGGATCTTTTGCATTCCTCATACTTGATCACACTGTTTATTAAATAAAACTCCAAACGAGGTTAGTCAAAACGTGCGAGTTTAGTTAAGGACTAAAGACAGAAGAGGTTCACGAAGTAAAGGTTTGACCGGTTGACTTTGACATGTGCTGCTCCTGGTATTTGGAAATATTCTTACTGATGAAATGAAATGAAACCTTATAATGGAAATGGATTATGAAATATAATGAACTGATTGTAATTATCAGTATCATCCTGACGAAAATGTTTATAATGATTAAGTTTAAACTTGTATAAAAACGATTATTGCGAATGTCAAGGAAGTTACGTCACGTATTAGCGTAATAGACGTACATTACTAAAAGATAGTAAAAAAGTGAAAGGCTGTGTACAAATTATGACCGATTAGTTTGTAATTATAATACGCTGTAGGGTGCTGTTAATAGCAGGTTCCATTGAAACGACCGAAGCCAGTCGCCAGGCTGTTGTGACAGGAGACGTTAATTACTGCAATACCAGAACCGATGGCAAAATACGATGACGACGTCCTTCCTGACAAAGACGTGTCCAAGGAATTTTACGCGAAGTACGAGCCGAAGGAGATCCTGGGACGAGGGATCAGCTCGACCGTGCGGAGATGCGTAGACAAAGAAACCGGCTTGGAGTACGCAGTGAAGATCATAGACATCAGCACCGAGCCGGGCGCCCTGGCTTGCACGCGCGAAGAAATCAGGATCCTGAGGATGGTCGCCGGTCACAGGTACATCATCAAACTTCACGACGTCTTCGAATCGACCACATTCATCTTTCTCGTCTTCGAGCTGTGTCGGAACGGAGAGCTATTCGATTACCTTACTGACGTGGTGACCATTTCTGAAAAGAAGACCAGGTGTATCATGAGGCAGCTATTCGAAGCACTTAAGTATATCCATCAGAAGGACATCGTCCACAGGGATCTCAAACCGGAGAACATCCTCCTCGATGAGAACTATGATATCAAGCTGACGGACTTCGGCTTCGCTTGCACCCTCAGGAAAGGCGAATTGCTAACAGAATTGAGAGGCACTCCTGGCTACCTGGCTCCTGAATTGCTCAGAGTCAATATGTTCGATGACGTAGATGGCTATGGGCTGCCCGTTGATATCTGGGCCTGCGGTGTCATAATGTACTCCCTTCTAGTCGGATGCCCACCCTTTTGGCATAGGAAACAGTATATCACTATTAGAAACATTATGGAAGGAGTGTAAGTAATTTTTTCCTTATTCATGCATACATCTTGCTTTATCTTTATATCTTTCCTATCAATAGGTTATTTATTTTTAATGTTACAATAGCGCCAGAGGGCTACAAACAACTTTGATGTTCTAAATTTTGTACTATCACATTATTACAGTGGAAGTAATCCATCCAGCATTTTTCACTTTCCTCACTAGAGAGGAAAATGTGAAACCATTGGTACTTTAGGTGTCTTAAGGTGCATGTACACAAAGCAAATCTCAGCCAGCAAAAGACAGCCAACTGCTTCATTGGCTGTGATTTGCTTGGGATGATGGGAGTTGAATCAGAGGCCACAAAGCGGTTGCCTTGGTCGAGGTTCTTTCTTCTGGTGGTTTGGTCAAAAAGGTTGATGTTGTTGACTGTGATTCCATATGGCCGAATCTCTTGGCCCCAACCCCCTTGGTTCGAGGAGGATGAGCCAAGGATGCCTTTGTGTTGGCAACCAATGAATATATCGGGCTGGAGATTTGCTTGGTGTGTACACACCTTTAGAGGATTGACTGGAAGGGTTTGGACGACCATGGACCACCAATAGTGATGGTCTATAGGGTTTTATGGAAACGTCTGTATCAACTATTTGCGGTTTGAGGAGAAATGGGATTTGAAGGGCTGTGTGGAGGAAGGTTGGATAAGAAGTAGGGAGCTTGGATAATGGCAGGAAGTTTTCCACTGAGTGACTGAATTTTTGAAGGTTGGAATGCTTGGTTGAACTTCACAGGTTGATTTGAGTCAAGTGTGGAGACATCAAATTTGTCGATATAAATTTCCAAATAGCAAACGACACTGGTTGCTGGTAGAGAAAATTTGAGGATAGGTGATGGTATTTGCTGGGATTTGGTTCCATTGATTCTGATCCTTCATTCTTGATTTTTCCAAACAGGAGAGACGGCCCCAGAAATTTCTGAAGGCTACTGTGTCTGGGTTTGCCAAAAGGAAGTTGATGTCATCATATATGTGGAGTATAGTGGTGAAATTTATTGTTTGCCTTGTATACTGAATAGGAATATGGGATCAAGGATGCTGCCTTGTGAAACACCCACTTCAGCATAGTTAATGGAGGAAAAGAATGTCCTGATTCATACTTGAAAGTACTACCTATATAGATTTTAGGATGAGATAATAAGTGAATGGTAGTATGTCATTGAGTTATCAGAGCCAGGCTGGTCGCCACATTCAATCATGCCTAAGCATGGTTTGTAAAATACACTTCTTCTCAAGGTTTGTTCTATTATTAAACAATTTTTTCCGCTTTTATAAAAGAGCAAAAAATGGTTTATTCAGACTTGAATATATTTACATTGTTTAAAACACTTTTATTTATAAATTTATTGTATGTTTATACAATAATTTCATAAGTGCAATGCAGTGATTGAGTGTCGAGGCAGCAACTCGTATTTGCCACGTTAGCATTCTGGGTTTGGACCCTGGAACCACCCATACTTTTCAATTGAGAATAGTTTGAAAAACGTATTGTAAAGTGGTTTGACCCCTTGTCTGCTACACCCAGCAGGTGCTTAAATTTTAAGCCATCCTGTATGACATGAATTACTTTACTTGTTTACATTAATACCACCAACAAAGGGTGCAGATGTCAAATTTTAGAATTTCTTTTAACTTAATTGGATAAGCGCTTGACTCAGCACTTTTGATTAACAAAGAGATAGGGTTAATTGTAAACCAAGGCCTTAAATGAAAAGAATAATAAATTGAAATAATTAAAGAAGTAATTACTTTACTAACAGCATCCCGTGGCCACTTCATAAGTCACTGAGAATCGAATCATGATTACATGACTAGCAAAAAGAGGGTAAATTCAAAAGGTTGTAGGTTGAAATGAGGAGTTGGTGTCTGAGTGGATCGAAAACAGGATAGCTCAAGTCGTTAGAGCAGCAGTGTTTTGAGCCGAAGGTTGTGGGCTCGAATACTGCTCGTAACACTAGCTTTTTCGTCTCAGCTAAGACTTTAGATAAAAAGAATACTTAATTGAAATGATTGTAAACTCGTCTAGAAATTATCTTGTTCTTTCTTTAAAAGTGCCCATCAAACTTTTAATATTTGTCTATTTGTCAATAAGAATGTAAAAATATCACAAATTAGTTGTAACTCTAATAAGCAAAGCCATTAGGTGTCAATATAACAACAAAGAAAGAAAAGAAAAAAAATTCAATTTATTCCCATGTATCTAGGTAAACTTCCTGGAGGAAAAAATTGAAAAATATCGTAAATGTCATTTAGTGTAATTAAGGAAATTGTAGTTTTAATATTGATTACATTCAATTTGGGTAAAACCCCAAAAATAAATTGTTTCCTAATGATTTTTCTCTGGATATGAGTGACTAAATAGACAATTACTATCAGTGTTTGATTATGTTTTATTTTATTTATTTATTTTATTTTATCTTTATTTTGTTTAATTACTTATCATCTTTCAGTTACAACTTTTCATCACCAAAGTGGGCTGATATTTCATTCGAGGCTAAAGATCTCATATCGAAACTTCTTGTCGTGGATCCCCAAGAGAGATATACAGTGACTGACGCCCTCAGTCACCCGTTTTTTAATGTGACACTCTGGGAACAGGATATAGCCCCGCTGAAAGAATCTCTCAGTCCAACATCGAGGCGGCTTTCCATCATATCGCAGATGGCAGCTGATCTCAAATCCAAGTTCCTGCCGAGGAAAAAATTCATATACGCCGTCTACTGCGTACTTGCTGTTGTTCGCCTCTTAAGACGTGCCGCAGTACCGAAACCGATTTTCGTATCCGCCTGTATCAACGATCCGTACAGAATAAAAGATTTACGGGAGGCGATAGACAATTGTGCTTTTAGGGTTTATGGGCACTGGGTTAAAAAAGGTGAAGATCAAAGCAGAGCTGCACTTTTTGAAATGTCGCCAAAAACAGACCTCAAGTCACCTTAGAACTTGTGCTTGTTTGTTTGAAATAACATTTTGACTTTTATTGTATGTGTTGTAAATATAATAACTAATGACTGGAATTAACTATTTACAATTGGGCATGTTTTATTCAAAGCCAATTGTAATACCATAATAATTAAAAATAAGACTGCTATTTAAATATTATAAAAGTAGGTAAAACTGAACCCCAGATCATTTTTATTTTGTACTTATATATTTTTTCTACAATGTTATCAATTATATTTTTGATAAATAATTTATTGCACGAATCAGCATTAATTTTGATAAAAATACATTGCCTTGTTAAAGGCTACAATTGTTCATACCTAAAGAATTAATCATATGTAGAATTTCTACAATGTTATTGAGTGATATACTACAAAGAATTAAGTTTTCTTGTTTTTGTTTTTTTGTTCACAATATATTTTACATTATGTTTTATTTGACGTTGAATTTACCTAACCAAATAATATGAAATAATTTGTTGAATTTGTGAGGAGTAGTAAAGAATGAGGTAATTTAGAAAACTTTTTTTGAACCAAATATTTCATAGTAACATAAAGTGTGGTGCTATTCTTGTGGTGTCATATTGGTGTTGTGTGAAATTATGAAATGTGAATTTGTATTCTGCTGTTTTTATATGATTGCAACAGGGTGGGGGGGCGCGATAAATCTGGGACGTTTCTTTCATCATAGGCAGTTTTATTTAACTAAATTAAGAAAACAGAATACTATTTTTGTTTAATTATTATTATGTACTTAATGATGGAAAAAAAACATGAAATCAATTAATCCTTTCTTGAGGAATAGTGAAATAGTACAAACAAATATTTAAATATAAAATTTTAATTTTAATTAGAATAAATAATACAAAATAGGCCACTTAATCAACCCTCCCATTACATTATAGTGTATACACTGTTGAAACATTCTTTACATTATATAAAGTCTCAACAGACTATAAAGGAGAGGAAGAACTCAGGAGGGCATCAGATACAATGTATATAGGTATATAGGTGGCTCCAAAACAAATGAAGGAACCGGATCCCAAAATGTGAGCAATCAACCTCATTAATGAAAAACTTCGGCCTTTCAAGCAAAAATATCATGCCATCAATGCTTGTGTCCAAGAAAATCTTAAAAGAGGTTACACTGGCAAAACAATCCTCAAAAGATCAGAGAGCCAAGCATCTATTAAACATTAGCTTGTAAGAAATCACATCAAAATTAAGCAGTCAATTCATAAAAAAATTAATAAAAGCTGGGGAAACAACAAACTGGTGATATCTTGGGTGCCAGCGCACAATGGAATTTTGGGTAACAAAAAAGCATACACACTGGCCAGAGGCGGATCATACATAGGCCCAGAAATTATTCTTGAGATAACAAAACAAATTCAGAATCCTTCATCACAGAATGGATCCAAATAAAACAAAAAGAGAAGTGGATAAACTTCCCCAGACACAGTAAACTTGTGCTATAACAATCCTCATCGGCACTGCTGCAGTTGGAGATGCCAGACTCATAGGAATGATAACACTATTAACTGATCACTGGCATCTGAGAAAACATCTACATAACAAGGACATATATAATGATACCATTTGGAGATTATGTAATGAGGAGGAAGAAACCCACCCATATCATCATCGAATGCAAAGCAATAGCTCAATGGAGACATAACCTAACATATGAAAAAATCTAGGGAATGAAATTGTGGCAGCGACACACAATGACCTAACATTTCTGAGAAGAATGATTGAATTGATTTCATGGAACTAGGAAGGATGCATGCCTCGAAAGCACAAACTCTTCTTCCTCGTATCCTCCATCCATTACCACCACCATCTCCACTGTTGTGCTGTTTTGTGAGAAAGACCCTCAATTAGACTAGTTATATGTATGGTTGTTAAATGAATGGTATAAGTAAGAATGTAAGGATAAGTATGTTCAGCCAAACTTTGGCAGTGGTATGGATACGACCAAGGACTGAGAGGCTCCTTGGATGACCAAAACTCCATTTTGCCATATATGGGGGAAGGGTTAGCTTTAGTATACATTCCATTGCAATTATGTGTTTTAAGAGCACCATTGATTCTAAATATACTTTCCTAAAGGTAGATTGGGGATGAGGCCATGAAGACAGAAACAACATTTATTTTCTTGTCGAGCTTTCGGCAGAATAGATCGCCTTCATCAGGACTTCGAAAAAAATTGTTATATTATATGAACAGGTACATGTGTGTAGATAACGGATAGCCGGTCCATTGATTCTAAAGCATGCTATATTTTGCCCTACCACGACTATCTTTCAAGATGAATTACTAGCTACAAAAACTATCATAATACTGATAGATTATCAGCCAGACGGCTCAAAAGGCTACAACCATACAAAATCAACTAAAAACTTGTCTGGAACTGCTTGAATTCTCTAAAAAATAGGCAACAAGTCAGCAGATATCCTAGTGAAAAAGGAACCCTCAGATTCAACAACAATTTATAGGCACAAATCCATTTTGTGTCATAAACTATAGTCACATTAAAAAAAAAAATCTTGGGGAACTGAAGAACACAACTTTAAATGGAAGAACGTAATGGCACGGAATGTTGAAAAAAAATAAAAAGGAAGCAATAATACAAATAGATAAATTCAGCACACTGGAGCACTACTATGTGCTAACAGAAATTAACACAAAGGAAAGTAAAAATATCAAATTATTGTGGTAGATTTAATGTCATTGCAGATACCGAGAACCATGCAATGAAAGTTTTATGAATAAAATCATTAATCTTGAGTAAGATGGCATGAGTCCTTAAAATGTAACACTTTGTGCATATGGTGCACAGATCTGAGCGCTTACCAATGGAAATTCCCAAAGTCTTGAAGAAAGAAGCACAATTCAGATATTGCAAATCAGTAACATTAAACGATGAAAAGAAAAGGGGAAAGGCAGCAATACTAATTATGTCTTAGGTATGCTGAGGTGAATGCTAACGGATGTCAACACAAAAGAAAGTAATATATTGATTTATTGTGATTTTAATGCTCAAGATGATATAAAGAATCAAGAAAAAGGTAAAATCATGAGTACAGAAAAACGGGAAATAAATAAGACAAAGATGACTGAAGTCACCAGCAGTAAAGAAATGGCATGGAAAAAATCAAGAAATATTTTTGCTTTCAAATTTCTTGAAAAGGAAATACTAAAGAGAGTTTTGACATAAAAATACAATTTTTAAAATAATCTATGCATAAAATAAAAAGAAAGAAAAAGATTCTGCCTGTTTTGTTATTTAGGCACAGCTTCTCGTAATGTTTTAATTTAAAATAAACTACCGATCTTGTGATATTTGTCATAAATTGTTTTTCTACATCCTGCTTTATTATTTTAATTCATAAATCGACGCAGGGTGTTAGGTCGTATAAAAGCCCGGTATATTTTCGATGCGGCATCGATTCTTTCGTAGTACCTCATAGCGTAGTTATCATATCAGTTTACTCATGACACCGATCGGTTGCGTCCGCCGGTTAGCAACTGCAGTCAATAAAAAGCTCATGGCAAGCCCGCCGAAAACTGTTGTTTTCGTTACTGGCAATGCGAAAAAACTCGAAGAAGTCGTTACCATATTGGGACCTAAAGTGTCTTTCACAGTAAGTCATCTGTTCAGTCAAAAATTAGAACCCGGCTTTTTATTTTTCACCTGTACTTACAACTGATCTTTTTCTATTGTATGTAAAACTGTAAACTTACTTCTGATCGCCTTTGAAAGGCATACAATAACTTCTAAAAGTTGGGTTATCATATTTAAACAACTTGATTGATGGTCATCTTATACAACTTTTTACTTGTATTTGAATCACTGGTTGCAAAAAAGCGGACATGTCCATTTTTCCCCCGCTATCTTCTATACGACAAAATAGAGCTTTGTTTGGTGCTAAAATGAGACATTTCACTTGATTGAATAGGGAAGAAAACGAGCCTTCAAATCTGCCTTGAGTGGGAAAAGGAAATTTTAAACAAACTACCTCCTTGTAAGAACGAAGATTACCTGCAAAAGATCAAACGAAATTCATGATTTCATTGTGCCATTACATTGAGGTTTCACCCCAAGCACCAGGCAATATTAAAACGTCTGAGTTCATTGATGTCCTAGTAGCTTATCGTTTCCAGCTGAGGAAGGGAAATACTCCTAATATCGTGCTACCAGTTAGTCCAGTGGTGATTGGTTTTGTTCATTTAGATGAAGGATGTAGTAATATGGTAATGCTAATTACGGTGGTGATGCGGCGGTAACTGGCCAAGGAGTAGTTCAGGAAATGGTGAATATGTCTTAGGCTCGTGGTTATAAGATTGGTGGTACAGTGCGGATCATGGTTAATAACCAAATAGGTTTTACAACATCTAATCGTAAAGATGCGCGTTCAACTGCAGAGTTGTACACATTAAAGATTCCAGTCAATGCTGCAAAAATGAAATTTGAAGAGCTTCAAGCAGTACACCTCACAAACATCAGTTCACACTTTTTGCTGTTGAGTTAATATTGTTCTTTTGGGTCTCATATTGTTACTTTAATGGTGTTTGAAACTCCTTTTTGCAATGTATGTATAATTGTATTAAATATTTTAGAGGCGTTAACTTCATTTTTTGCAGAAAACGATCCCTTCACACCAAAAAAGTGTTGAGAGCAATTCTGAGACATGTCCACACCACAAAAGTGATACCCCACTCACAATAGCATTGATGAATTTGAGGAAAACCTCAAAATACATTTGTAGAATAGCCTAATTGAGGTCCTATAATGTATTCAAAATTTTAGAACAGAAAATACCTCATTAAAACAGTTTTATTTGCCTCTCCTGTAAATTTAGTTTTTGGGACATGTCCCCTTTCAGTGATTGATCAGTGATTCATTTATCCTAAAAAGTAGTAGCAGAAGTACTTCAGTATTTGCACAAATAAGTTTATATTTTCTTTATTAAGTACAGTAGTTGTTCCATATCTACTGTAGTGAGATGACCTGATAGCAGGCGAAGTCCCTAGGGTGCAGATATTAAGGTCTATTTAATCTACACGAACTTATAATCAGTAAATGACTGGTTTTATATTGAATCGCTTCACTAACCAACGTAAATAAATGGCAATAAAAAAAGTAAAGTTTGTCAGTTTATGTTTCATTTAATTTCAACTAAAGTTAGATCTTCAGGTTGTGATAATTCTTCTTGGGGTCTGCAGAGTAATGAACTTGTACCTCGGTCATTTTCGGCCATTTGATCTGCCTATCCTTGCTGTTTTGAAGTCGGCACATGTAGGACATGAAATGTGAAAGGAGTTTGTTTAAAAGATTGAATAACTTACTAAAAGAATGAAAAATAATGTACTTCAATACCTAAAAATGTACGACCAAAATTAATACAAAAAACACATCAACAACGCTCAATCGCATAAAACTAAAACATTTTTTTAAAAATTAGACAAAAAATTAAAACAATAAATTGAAATTTACATAAGCAGTAAAAACAAACTTAAATTAAGCCAACAAAATCGGTGAGGATAGGAAGATCGTAATGATTGTAAATGACCAAACTTCAGGCACATCATTTTGTTAGCATGATGGATGCAATATCATCAGGTATTGGCTTTATATTTACTTCTATGCAAGAATCATGTGTATCTTTGTTCAACTGCCAGTTTGTTCCGTCTTGTCAGTTGAATGAAAAATATTATTTTGCTAAATAGAAAAGCTCTTATTATTATTATTGCAACGTGCAAGCTTCCGCTATGCTGTGATTCTTCAAGCAGGTTTAAATCAGTAGATATACTCCTTTGTCCGTACTCATATTTTATGAGGTGCTTTTCATTATTCCCTTCCTCAAGAATTGAAGCAGCTGCCAAAAAGCAAAATACTAATTTCTTTTGCAATTTGTTGCATCGTTTTCACGGCTTCAACACAAGAACAATATCAAAGGAAAACTGAAGAAAAATAGCATTCATTTTGTCACGACGAAGGGGGGACGTGAGCCCTGAAGTGTGTAACCAAAAATAAAAAGGCGCAGTTCAGTTTATTCATGAAACAAGGAGCTGTAGGATATTTTTGTCTTCCATAGTAAACTGTTTTTGCATATTATAATATGATACTATGTTTTAATGGCTTGTTTAACTTCAGAAGTTATTTCATTAAAAGAATAATCTAAAGGATATTTTGTCATAAACTTAATTATAAATTCCTTATAAATAAATGTAATTACAGTTGGTCAATAAGAAAGTAGATCTGCCAGAATTACAAGGAGAAATTGACGATATATGTAAAAAGAAATGTCGACAAGCATCTCATATTGTAAACGGACCTGTCATAGTTGAAGATACATGCTTGTGTTTTGATGCACTAGGTGGCCTACCAGGTATTTTACTGAAAATATTTAAAAATTTAAGAAAATGAATTTGTTATTTGCACAGGGCCTTACATTAAATGGTTTCTTGACAAACTAGGGCCAGAGGGCCTTCACAAGATGCTCGCCGGCTTTGAGGACAAATCGGCCACTGCTGTATGCACGATGGCGTACACAGAATCCGAAGATTCTGAAGTGATTCTATTTCAAGGTAAAAAGTGTTGTTCAGATTGTGAAATCAATGTGAAACATCATGTTTGTTGTAGGTTTGACAAGGGGGAAAATAGTGGAACCGAGAGGACCAAGAGATTTTGGCTGGGATCCCTGTTTCCAGCCAGAAAACAGCAACCTTACATACGCCGAAATGGGAAAAGAAGAGAAAAACAAAGTCTCACACCGTTACAAGGCTGTTAGTGCAATAAAAGAACACTTCAGCAATCTAAAAAATATGTGATAATATTATTAACAAATATTAAAGAGTTTAACAAATAACTTGATTACTGTTTGATTTTCAATGTTAGAAGTATCGACCACTTTTTCCCTCATGAACACTGGTTCACAGTATGAAATCAATGATCAAGGTCTTCAAGGAAAAAAAATTCCTTGGCAATGTTAGGATGGAGTTGGTTTTCCAGGTTAAAAAACAACTTAAATATGTCAATCAGTAGACATATTTAAGATTATTTTGCACTGACGTGACCTTAAAGTTGAAAGGTTGGCAGCAACAACAAAATTTGTTTTTTCTTCAAGGCTGGTTTATCTTGAGTATTCGTGACACTGTTTGATGTCAGATGTGGTTGTCTACTGTTATCATATTTCCTCCTGTGGTGGATAATGAACTAATAATTTGATCATTGCTGATAATCTTGGCCTGGCTATCCTAGCTGGGTTGGTCCGGCAGTTTTCAGCATTGCACCATCATCAATGTGTGGGTCTGTGTTATTTTATTGAAATGCAACAGGATAAGACCAAACAAGCATGCACATTTACAAAATTTTAGTTGCTGAATGTTATGTTGGGAGGGGGGCTTCGGTATGGCCACAGTGGTTTAGGCTTGACATGGTGCTCATTGCAAAAGGTAAAGGGCCTGGGTTCGAATTCATTGGTGTTGCATTCAAACCCAAGATGTACAAATGGGCTTTTTTTATTTTCTTTTTTTCAAAAACACCGGCACCTCAATGGTTCATATAACCTTGCAGTTGAAATATCCTCATTAAAAAAAGTTTGTATAAATCACTAAAGGTGACAAAATGGTAAAATGTGTCTGACAGATTAACTCAACAAGGATATACTGATAAAGATTATCAATTATGATCAAATTATATATATATAGACAAAAAGCAAATAAGATATAAGCTTTTAAAAAATAAAAACAATAAAGGAAATCATATTAAATGCTATGCAACAATTAACATGGAGATAAAGCAATAAATAAAGAACAAAATTAATAGTGAAAAATGACTTTAATACATAAAAATACAAAAGAATTCACCCATGTTGAACTTTATTAAGGATAGTGCCCATACTATATTGCATTTGGGCAAGATTAGTCTTCCAGGTCCGTAGGGTGTTTCTCAGAGCTTCCCACTGTTCGGGTCCGAACGTTCGATGCATAGTACTAGAAATGTGCACTTTTCTTGCAGCACGGTCCATCCTGGCTCGGACTAATTTTGTCTTGAGTACATCAATCACGAACGCTTCAACTTCTTCTTCGGGGATCATCAATTCTTTCGTTATCGTGTCAAACGACATTTCTGGGCAGCTCTCGCCAAGTTGCATGAAAGTGAGAAGGCGCATTTTCTGCATGTTCGCCTCGTGGTCGAGTCCGATGGAATGGACAAAGTCTTTGTGCTCGTCATAAAATTTTATATAACCCGAGAGTTTTTCAAACACAAATACATTCAAAAGATCATGGATAAGATCACCCTGGAGAAACTTTACAGGTTTCAAAGCTAATAAGGGATCCAGGAGGAATGTGTTCGGATCGGCTAAAGCTGCAGCGATACACCTTTGAGCATCTTCCCTGGCATGCGAGGCCGTTTCTGTCGTATACGTGCCAAGTAGCTCCATCATAACTTTCGCAGCGAGTTCGCTTTCTTTGCAACTCAAAAGCACTTCATGGAGTAGCCTGAGAAGCTTCTGCATCTGATCTCTTGTAGGAGGGCATGATGAAAATTGCTGTTTGAGCTCATCGACTCCGCCAAAAATTGCCCTGATCTGATTGATCGGCTTGGCGACCTGGACCAAATGATAATAAACATGGTACCTCATTTGGTTTCTCTCGTCCAGGCTTTGAAAGAGAAGCCAAAGGACCCTGAGGGCTATCTCCCCCAGAACTTGTCCCTTCGCCTTCGTCAGCTTCTCACAAAATGCCAATATCAAATTTTCCGTCCGGTCTACGGGTATAAGGACAAGAATGGAAACAATGGAGTTGAGAACGCATTCTATTTCGTTTTCCGTACCTTTGAAACACGTGTCACAAACGCCGATTATCTTGTGAAGATCGTCCTCGATACCTTTTGGGCTTTTTTCAGCAGAAATCTCAGCCCCGAGGGATTTCAGATATACTCTCAGCTCGACTGCCTGCTCTTCTAATGTCAAATCCACAAAAACCACGGGGACGTTCATTTTTCAACTCAGTTTAAAGCTAATACACCCGACACGACGCATATGCTTCGAAGGGTGGTTATTTTTGGTTACCGTCAGGCTGGGGCGTCAGTGTTGACCTTGCAAGTACAGAGTACCAAGTTTAAACAAACACTTACGAAATTAATTTGTTTCACAACATTAAACGTTATAAAAATAAAATATTAATTTACATAATTCGTATAAACGGAAGTAATTTGTTGTTTTTTTTAAATAAAAAAGTAATTTGTCTAGTAAATAAACTATAAACAAAAATATCAGGAATTTACTAATAATTCATAAATCATAAGTATTCCGTAAACATAAGTATAACACAAAATTTGGTATATCCCAAGAAATTTTTCATAAAATAACAACCACTTATGTGAACATTTCAAATAGGCCATCAAATGAAATAAAAAAAATGTTTTAATCACACATGCAAAAATTATATGTGACTGCACTCACTTATTACATGTTTGATGTAGTCTTCAAGAATTGTTCATACAATGGAAGCTAGAGATTTTGTATGCTCCTTGATGAAAAGCTTTGGTACTACATAAAAACCAGAATAAATGCTAAGAGAAAAGACAGACTGTATACCTAATCCTGTCAAAAAGTGGAAATTCAATAGATACAAAAATAATAAAAAACCAGGAAAACTAGCACATTAAAATTTCATCTACACTTGTTTTATAGTAATAATATATTAATCCAATTTACAAAAAATGTTTAACTACACAATACATAAAATATAACTATTCTTTCTATGTAAGGACTTGGATGAGATAAAAAAGTCAGTGTCACAAGCGGGATTCAAACCCACGATCTTCGGCTATATAAAATATAACAACATAAAAGCAAAACAAAGTAAAAAATTACTTACATATTAAACAGTAAAGAACGAAAATAGTTTAAAAGAATGTTTCATATAAATATACTTAAAAATATCATTGTTACTGTAATTTTTTAAAATATCACAGTAAATTAATATAAATTTTAAAATATATAAACAATATTATAAAACAATTACATAAAAACATGTTCATTAATTAAGTAAAAAGTAAGAGTATTGTGCATATTTAGTTGTTATATTCAGTAAAAATTTTAGTTAGAAATAATATAAAGTTCAATATGGAAATATATACATATACATACATGCAGTTAAATAATTTATATGAAAAACATAACACATTTACTTTATGGTTTTTTTATACTTTAAACTTCCCTTAGTCATATACAATTAATTTACTTTTGACTATAATATAGAGATCCTATGATGAATTATAGGAGAAGAATCAAACAATTCAATAACATTTTTAGCTTGAAAACAATTGCAAAATATATGAGAAATTAAAATTATTGATTTGTGTGTACACAATTCTGCATATACATTCGCTATGTACATACATACTTTTGGTATTTTGGCATTTCGGGACCAGAACCGAAGTTAGGCTTCAGACAAAAGCTGTGTCATTTTAGCCCACAACATAATCAGTTTTTAAACCTATGCACATTCAAACTCATACATTTAAATACTTTCTTTCCTATTCATTCAATGGAGTATTGCTCCATTGCCCTTGACACATACTACATGTAACTAATCTAAAATCATAATTTTATCTGCAGTTATTTGTCTGTCAGTAACTGTGTAAAAATCTGTACAATCATCTGAACTGAAGATCTGTAGTCAGTTTTTGCCTCAGTTCTGTCCAATATTTTCTTCAGCTCTATCACTTTTGGCAAAGTGACAATGGATGACAGAAAAAGGAAAAAAACACCCTGACTGATGGTGCAAAAATTGGTATTGCCAAAGAATCATTTTATCGAATGATTGTTTTGTTTTTATGTTTATGTTGAGCAATTTTTAAATCAGAATAAGATGATTATTTCCAAAGATTACAGAATTTAAATACGTTTCACAGTTAACATATATTACATTTAAAGGAATAACAATTGTTTTTACTCATACATTTGGTTGTTAGTATAAAACTCAACTTATTTGTATAAATAACGTTTATTTGACAACAACTTAAAACTTATTGATCACAGTTTATAATCATTATGTTATTGTATTTATAAAATATGGTCGATTACCCATGGGACATCTTGTAATTCATATGGTGTAAGTGGTAAATCATAAGGCAATGGGAACAGAGGAAGTGCCAATTCGTTAATTTCATCTTTCAATGGAAAATAATCCGTTCCAAACTGAAAAAATAAATAAATATACAATGCAATGCTAATTAAACACCATAAAGAAATATGTAATTACAAATAACTGTGGAACAAATAAAACTCCGGCCTCATAAGACAAAATGTTAATCGAACCCGTCTTTGAAATATTTCCCCAAGCAGCTTTTGACAAATTAGCACTTGTTAATAGAAAATATGACAGTTTTGAGTTGTCAGGGGAGACACGACAATATGTTTTTATATGTGGAGGTGCTCTGGTACGATGTCTCTTTTCACTAATCCATTGACTATGAAAAAGAAAATCCTTTTAGATAAAATTATTTTAAACAACAATAATTTCATTTACTAACCACATAAAACTCGTAACCCATGGCTGTTTATCTTGAGTTTTTTTAGAATATGGCAGACATCCTCCACCCAAAATTCCTTCATAGCTGTTAATTATATTATTATAGCTCGGGTAAACCTTGAGTAAGAAGTGATTTGATAAAAATGCATGATTATATAAAATGAATAATAATGGCATACAAATTTCAGAGAAGGTCTTTGATACAAGCCATCTTTTTTCCCGCTTGTTAATGTCGTTAACATATCCCCCAGCAACCACGAATCAGGATTCGGACCAAGAGATCCAATCGATGAACTCTGTACTATAACCGGGTAACTGTTTTTCTCTGGTATGGTATGCGCTTCATTAAGAACTCTTCGTAAACATGTCTGGCCCCATAAGTCCTTATTTGCGACATGATTTCCAGGGACTGACGCTATGAAGAAAACGCTATAAAACAAATATGTATATCAGTTGTTTTGCCCTGATGACACAATTTTGAACATTTAAATACAAATTACCTTATGCAAGACATGTCACATTGAGCAATTCTGTTAGTCCATGGTACAATTTGTGGTATTTTGTAATTTGACAAATATCTGAGTAAATCACGTTTGAAATTTGTAACACTGTCACCAGACATTGTATCACTACCTGGTTCAAGAGGGGGGCATCTTGGGCTGACCCACAATCTAACCAATTAAGATTTAATAATTAGCGTAATAAAATTAACAGCCATTGCACAAAATAAGATTAATTTACAATAAAACAACAACCATGATGTTATTCAAATAATTTAACAATTTAAATTTGAAAAAGTTATTAGATGTATTAAAACAAGTTAAAAATGCTTGTACTTAAAAAGTATTATAGTAAATCTATCAGTCCAAGAGAAAATTTTGAAAAGTGTAATTAAAAAATAGTTGGAAAAGTTCCTTTACCTTTTTTAGTAGTACTGTAAGTTTTAAAAAGAAAACTTACCCTTGAGTTCTGTTATCCCAATCTGTTTCTACCAGATTAGCTGTAGAAACAACAACCCTTATGCTTTTATCTGTATAATGAAACACCATCATTTTCCTGATGCAAAAGAAACATTTGAGTGAAAATAGAAGTTCTAAACTAAAAGATAAGTACTTACGTATGGTGTGTACCAAAAGGAGAAGGAGGTATTATCTTGGCCGACTCCAAAAAATTGCTAAATTTCCCGTCGATTTCCATGTCTATGTCCCCATACATCAATGTTAAAGGTTTGCCTCTAAAATATTGGCGAGTTAAGTTTAAAATTAATTTGTAACTTTGAAAACGGATATAAGTTTACCTATGTCCCATTATTTGATATTGTGCAAGTAACCAGCCAAATTGAACCATGAAATTTATTTGTAAAGAGCTTTCCAAATCTCCCATAGCTGGATCTAATAATTCTTTAAAATAAATTCAAATATTAGTTATTCGACAAGTGAAATTTAAAAAAGAAAAACTTTAATGAGTGAATAACCTGGGAAGCATAGTGAATTCATCTCTGAATGTGTCACTGGAGAATCGGAGATAGTTGTTAGAAACAAATTGTATGGTGTTGCAAGTTTCATTTTGTCGATAACTTTATACTTTGCCCTATTTAGAACAACTATACGAAATTTTCTTTCAGATTCCATGTTTTTTTCGTGCTCTAGAGAGACTTTTGATGGTTTTGACACAGCATCACTGGCCATAGAATTTGTTGAAGTTGATGGTCTTTCGTTTTCAACAGATTCTTCAGACTTTTTATCAGTGGAGCAGTGGAATTTCTTTACAAATTCCAACTGTTCTTTAAGCGTTTGTTTGCTTATTTTCAAATTGGTCATTTCTGGCATTTTATCACCATATTCCATTATTATTTTTTCAACTAGAATAAAGTATATATTAAATGTTTTATTAGTTTACTTATAAATAAATTAAAAACCTACGATGAGGGTGCCGATAGTACATAAAATGGTGAGGATTTTTCCTATAACATTGTTCGCCATACATACATATATCACTTTTGCAATTCTTTTTATTTATTCCTTCAAGGATCTCAAGGTCTGTCGGCACTGTAGATTCATTGAGTACTACAATATTTTCATTTAATGACTTTACAATTTCCAACTGTTCAAGTAGAGTCCGTTTGCTTATTTTTGGAATATAATCATGTGGTATAATCAAGTCCCCATTGCCAATTTTCTCGAGCAGATCTTGCACTAACAAAAACAAAGGAAAAAAAAAAATTAAAGGATTGGCTGTAAATTTTTTTTTTTTCTATACCTACAATGAGGGTGGTCTTTTTGTTCAAAATGCTCCACTTTTCTAGTAAAACATTTCTCACCCATTTCACAATGACATTTTCTTTTCTTGTGAGGAGTACTGGATGCTACAATCAAAAGTTAAATTATTCAATTTAAAACAAAAGGATGATAAATATACATTTATTTTTTAAATAGATTTATACGCTTCGTTGAATATTATGAGATAAAATAAAAATTATTTTACCTATCAACTTCATCTAACTGGAATGATGTTCCAAATATGAAAATATGTGGCAATTAAGATTGTAATTTATGGGGAAAACAAAAAATCAAATTTTGGAAACAAGCAGCCATTGTTTTACATTTATTTCTTAAAATATTCAAGTGCTTTTTATTATAATTTTCACCACTGGTTTTATATCTCTAGGCCAAATCAGCAAATATTGTAAATATACCTAAGCCCTCTGCCACAAGGATGTATAATGTCCTAGATATTTCCCCTTGTATTCACTGTGTACAAAATGTATGTAAAAGTATCTAATAAACAAACTCGAAACTCTTAAAATATTAACTTATCACATTGCACAAGTTTTTTGCCATTTGATGGACCGTTTTGTCCAAATGTTTTGAAACATTACATTCAAATTCAATTACAAAAAAAAATGTGAATTTTTATGGGATAGAAGAAAATAAAGACACTCTGACCCTCAGTATGTTTCACATATACTAACAGCCTGTAAATAACTTGTGGAGCGTGAGAAAACAAAAAACAAAAACAAAAAGAATGAGAAGAAAATTAACAACCAATTTTACTGATTTTTTGAAAATTTATTTTGTACAAGATCTTGTCAAAATAAATACTTTAGTTGCATTTAATTGATTAAAATTTATTTTTTTAATTTAAGTTGCTTAAATATTTTAATGATTTTCTAGTGAAGATCGTAGATGGAACTGGGACAACAAAGACATCAAAAATCTCGATGTTTGTGATGTTGGAAGCTGAGAGAATGTAAAGGTCTTGAGGCGAACCACCTTTAAGGCCACTTTCAGATGAGGTGCTTTGGTTGATTCATCTTCAGCTTTGAGTCCAGCTACTTCACGAATATTCATGCACTTTGAAGCAGACAAGGAAACTGACAATTAGCCGAGCATTGCGGGCATGAATACTGTTGCTTGGCATATAGCACCCATCCCCACTAGTCAGGATTCCGTGAACCTTTGCTCGGCATTTGGCGAACCCCGCAGGCCTGGAGCCACCTTAAGTTGCCTGGTTGACTCTCTAATTAGTTGAGTGACATGTGAAAGCTTTTCTTGGCTGGATTCACACCAGGTAACATGTGGAATTAACTTCTGTTCCCAAGGGTGGTCAGTACGATGGAACACTAGCAGTACTTCTTATGTTTGCTCTTCTGAAAAAAGGGAAATAAGAAAAGAGAAACCTCAAAGATACTGCTTTGCTCTTTTTAATCAATATATGTTTAGCAGTCATAATTGACCACATTCAATTAATTATACTTTTTTATCTAAGGTCTTGGTTGAGATGAAAACGTTAGTGTATACAGTGTGGCGCGGGTGGTGCGCTTCGTCTTTGAACAGGCTGAGACGTGGCACAAGAAGCTGACACTCGTACACAAGACAAATGTGTTCACCTTCGTAGGAGGACTCTGGAAACTGATCGTGGACACGGTTGCCGCTGAGCATCCGGGGGTTGAGGTGTGGACACGGTGATGATATGATTGAAAATATGGCTAAAAGAGGGAAAATTCGAAGGTTGTAGATTGAAATGACTATGTCCAGTGGATCGAAGTCACAATAACTTAAGTGGTTAGAGCAGTGGCATATTGTGCCAAAGGTCGTGGATTCGAATCCCACACTAGACCTCAATGAAAAGTATAATTAATTGGAACTCAGTTTAATTTTAACACTACGCCTCACACTTCATGTCTTATAGTGCAAGACTAATACGAATTAATTCAATAGTCTGTGTCACATTGAAACATGCAATTGCAACGCTTGCTATGGGGAACTCAGTTGTCTCAACTGGCGTGAAGGATGAATGCATGGTTGAGTCTATTATGCTGAGTTAACTTGGTGGATGAATTTGACGTGAGAAGCAGTCAGTGGTTCCCAGTCATTTGCACCATAGGGCTACACTCCTTCACACCATCCGGTCAACTAGTTGAATTAACTGACTTTTCTGAAAGAGGCCTAAATCCGAAAATCACATTTGTATAAAATTCTGTCTAAATAAATAAATGTCTTTGTTTAGAACAGACATTTTGTAATATCGTAAGACCAATGAGACAAGGATCAAATCCATATTTCAAAGAAAACTTGTAAAGGAGTTCCAACCTGTTATCCTGGTTTTTGTCAATATTTTAATGATACAATTACTTTGTGAGAAGTCAATAATTTCTGTTTATACCAAAGTTGTGATTCTTTTGTAAAAGTAAACTATATCGCCGATAAACGTTACATTTAATGTTATACGTACACATGGACTCCTGTCTTGAACCCATTATCCTTTGACAATTATTAAAATTGTACGATTTTATTGAATGATGTGAACCGATTATTTTCCTTGTGTTAAAACAGGTAAAGAGAACATTCGAAATGGAATAAAACCCTCGTGTTGATACGGCATGTAACATAAATTATGCTCTCGCCTCTCCCTCCCAGTAACCTTCTACTTCTACAAACAAATCAGTGGGTGGGGAGTCAATACTGCTCAAGTTGTCTTTTTAAATCATAATCAGGAATGATTTCACGTGACAAAAGTAGAAAAGTACATGTATCATGGATGTAAGTGATTCATTATATCCTTTAATTTCTTAATGCAATGTCACAAATTTAATAATAAACAATATAATGATAACACCAAATGAAGATGACAAACTACTGATGTCTATATTTTCATAATGTACATAACCAACGATCAGAGTTATAAATTAAAATTTACCCGGTTGTTTTAATATACTATAAAACTTACTTGCATTCATTGTATTCTTGATATTGATGTCATCCAAATCTAATTGTTGAGGTAATTCTGTCACTGATGTTTTACTGCAAGCTTTTTCATGCTCATCATGCAAGACATTATCGGTAAAAGCCTGTCCACAATGTGTACAAATGTGGATCAATTCTTGACTGAAGATATCTGCGTCTTCATCTAATAAATAGTCCAATTCACCTCCTGGTCGATTTAACTCTGAATGTGTTGATAAAGCACCACTTAACACTTCATTCGGTATGTCCGGCGTTTTGCCAATTGTTTCATCTCCCGTAGCATCGCTGTCAGGATCATATATGCTTCCCTCCGTTGACTGGTCGTATATGTCTGGCAATGGTGAAACCGCTCGTTGTAGAGTCCTTGACGAATATGAATCCACAATGTTTATCAACTCAACATCGAAAACTGGATCTGATGGGAAATTTGGGTCTTCGGTGAAATTTTCTGTGCAAGACCTACCATAAGGTTTGCACATGTTTTCATGTTTAATTCGAGATTCCTCATCATTAAGCACAATGCCACAGGTGCCACATATCAAATTAAAATCGCTTTCATCAAATTCAGGTGACATCCTTTGACCCTGAAATGAAAATGTTAATTTAATTATACTTGGAATAAATAATTAATTCATTACTATAAATTAAACATTTCAATTAGTTAAGCACTTGCTAATAAAAGTCCAATTCAACAAACTGGAGATTTTTAAAGTATGCAATATAACGAAATATAATTGAATATGATTTCAATTAATTATTCTTTAGATCTAAGGTTGAGATGAAAAAGCTAGTATCCCGCTCGTGATGCTAGCTTTTTCATCTCAACCAAGACCATCCGTCAAGACCGCTCCTCACGACTTCAACAAATTATCCACAAAAGTATTGAATTTTTCACCATGAGGTTATTTTCTAAGTATGATTATAGTGTAAAATATGTCTTGCATTTCTTACAATAAATCATTTTTCTTAAGGTACAATTATAATGATGAGAAAACTTTCAAAAGCTGGAAAAACACAGGAGTTTTGTTTAGAACACAGGTTTAGATAGGTACAATCTACTTGTTGGAATAGATTTCATCAGGGCAAACTGTCATAGTACGGCAGAATATATCTTTCAGTGAACAATTCACAGTGGTTTTGTCTACAGCACATGTGAAAACATGTATAATCGCAGTAGATCCATATTTTCACAGGATAAACTGATGAAGAACGGAAATATCTTTAAGTCAACGATACTCATGAGTTTTGTTTAGAACACTGGTATAGACAGACAATAGTTGGAGTAGATTTTGTCAGGGTAAACAAGAATGAGAGGAAATGTCTTTCAGTAAACAATGTACACCATTTTTATTTACAACACTGTCTAGACAATCTACTACAAGAATCTAGTTGTTTGAGTAGATTTCCAGGAGGGCCAAGTGTCAAAGGATGATAAGAAATGTCCTTCAGTTAACAATATACAGGAGTATTATGTTACTATGGATGCGAATTCCTACAAGTACATCTGAAATCCTCGTCAGAACAAGGTGGTTACATTGTGCGCATTTTCTGATAGTAAGTACGTTTCTAGCTACCAGCAAAATGGACAATCTTAATAAGTTTTATTTTCTTGAAAGTCCGTTGATTAAGCTATTGTTGGCATGTGGTGGGAAAAATGTTAACCACTTATTTTCCACTAGAGATGAGAATGGAGACTTAAACACTTAAAATAAATGCATATTAATCCATGTATGTTTAATGGTCATAATGACCATATTAATTCAAATGAAATTTATAAAATGGCAAAAAGAGGGAATATTCAAACAGTTGTAGGTTGAGATGAGTCGGCGTCTGAGGGGATTGAAGTCACAATACCTCAAGTGGTTAGAACAGCAGCATATAGAGCCTTAGGTCGTGGGTTCAAATCCCACTCGTGACCCTAATTTCGTCTCAACCAAAAACCTTAGATAAAAAGAATTATTCATAGAATAATTAATATGGTCAATTACACCACAAACTAATATGGCTTAGTGCTAGTGTTGATTTTTTGAGAAACTTTCTCCCACTTTGGCCAATTAATATCTCTATTGTGTTATTTTTTGTCGTTCATGTCCCACAAACACTGACTCTCAAAAATAAAACAGTTTATCTATATCTATGGTGAAATACCAAAACTGTCTAAATTGAATGTCAGAATGCACAAAAAAATCAAACTGGTTGAACGCTCGAAGGTTCTGATGACATCGTGCGTGTTGTGACACGCACTTCGCTGCCAAAGTAAACACTGTCATTGTAAAACAAGTATTTGTTTTCGGATTTATTTTCAAATATTTATTTGTTTTCGGATGAACTCATCAGAACAAAATTTCATCAGAATTTGCATCCATAGTAACCGTAGCTTTAGAAGTTTGGGGTAGACAAGCATAATCTTCTAGCTAGTTGGAGTACATTTTCTTAAGACCAAATATCAAAGGGCAATAAAAAATGTCCTTCAGTCAACAATGTACAGGAGTTTTGTTTAGAACGCTGGATTTTGACAAAAGCGATATGTCAGTTGAAGTAGAGTTTTGCAGGTAAACTGTCAAAGGACAATAATTAATCTCTTTCAGCCATAATGTAGTTTTATCTTATGTCAATATATCTTTCAGTCAAAAATACACAGGTGTTTTTGTTTAGAAGACTGGTAGTAGACTGGTACAATCAACAAATGGGAGTAAATTTTTTAAGGACCGAGTGTCAAACAATGATAAGAAATTGGAATAGAAGGGGAGTTGAAATGTGAAGTTTGTGGCATGGGCAATCGAAGTCAGGGTAGCTCAAGTGGTAGAGCAGTGGTGTATGTAGCCGAAAGTCATGGGTTCGAATCCCGCCTGTGACACAAAGTTTTTGTATTGTTGTATTGTTTAGGAGACTGGCATAATCTTCTAACTAGTTGGAGTAGATTTTCTCAAGACCAAGTATCAAAGATAATAAGAAATGACCTTCAGTCAACAATAAACAGTATTGTTTAAGAGACTAGCATAGAGAGGCATAATCTTCTAGCTAGTTGGAGTAGATTTTTCTCAGGACCAAGTATCGAACGATGATAATAAATGACCTTCAGACAACAATAAACAAGACTTTTGTTTAAAATACTGGTGTAGGCAGGTACAATCTACTAGCTAATTGGGGTATTTTTTTCTCAGAACCAAGTTCTTGTATCTTGTTTAAAATCTGAAATTACTTACCTTTTATAGATGACATATTCTCATGTAAACCCATAATTTCATTTTGCGATAGCTCAGTTCTCAATCTATCCCTCTAGTCATTGATCATTCATTTTGTACACAAAACATGTTTATAAACTGCACACGAAGACGGAAGAACCTTCCAGGTCGAGATTAACTGTCAAAGGGCAAATGGCAACCTATTAAAGCGGTTGGGATAAAAATGGGACTATAAAATAAAAATTAAAGAAAAATTATATATTGATGTAAAAAAACGATACAAAAAATTAATTGATGTAAAAAAATAAACATATTACGTTGTTATATTTTAATTTTTTTCTGGAAAACTATAAAAACAATTTTTAGAAAATTTCTGAATACATGATCATTTGTTTATCGTTTTCTTTGTATTGTAGAATGTAATTTGTGCACTTGTATATTTTTTTATTAAAAAAAGAAAGAATTGGATACTTTTTTGACCAGAGCATAGAGCTATGGTTTTATCTCGTTTGTTCTTTGTACAAACTTTTTTTTTTTAAACTGACCTATGAACTAGATAAAAATAAGTAATAAAACGAGACTGTGTACGTACCGTTTATACAGTTTATGCCCCCTTTACTTTTTCAGTTGTGACTAGCGACTTCAACGGATTCTGCACAAAGTCTAATTTCACTGTCTACTATTTGAAGATTGCAGTTTGCATCATTTCGTACATCCTTATCGTCCTTTGTGTTGTGTTGATCCCTGCCACAAACTTTTGAAGTTTTGGACCCGATCGAAGTTTTCCCAGGCTTTTGGACCGCCTGGGCCGATTCGGAAATTCGTCCGACTTCTAAGACAGATTAATATAATATAATTAAATCTAATCGGTTGTAAAAAATGCCAAGCAAGAAGAAGTACAACGCAAGATTCCCGATTGTAAGTAAAACTTCATTATTTTCCATTCATTATTCCCAACCCTGAGGGCTTTTAGAATCCGCACAAAATTCTAACACCCTGCCTGTTTTTAGGGGAGGATAAAGAGGATTATACAAACGGACGAAGAAGTTGGAAAAGTTGCCCTAGCAGTACCAATTATAATTTATATCCTTTATTAATTACTGTATTTTCGTAGTTAATCAATTTATCATTTTTGACAGCTAGTTCCAGTTTATTAATTGACTTACGTGGTCACCCAAGTAAATATTAACCAACTACACATTATATATATCATGTTGGTCGTTTCAAGTAATTAAACGACCAGGAAAACATAGCTAAATATGTGCTGTGTTTAGTGACTTTTAATTAATAATTATTTGGAGATCGTTTGTTTCAACTGTCTGGCAACTTACATCGGAATTACATCCCAATATCTGGATAAGAGAGTAAAGCAACATATCTATGATTGCAAAAAACCCAAGCAAAATCCTACAGCACTCGCTACCCATCATTTTGAACATAAACACAATTTTGACATCAACAATCTAAAAATGTTACACAGAGAACAAAACAAACATAAACATAACTTTTCAGAAATGGTTTACATCAATTACAGAACAGATAAATGTAAACTCAGTCACAGTTACGCCAATATCATTAATGAAATTCAATATCAATAACATACATATATCATCATCACATCACACAAAACGTTACATATAAAACAATCATTACATTCTTTACATCAAACATTATACACAGTCTAATTCTTCAACAATTTGGCTTCCCTTTCCCTAATTATCCCCTTCTATATAATCCTGAAATGATAATCGGGCTGAACCATTACCCTTTCTTTCCCATTATTGGCTCCTTTCTCCTCGAAGAAGCTGACTCCTCATATAAAAATGTTTTTCTAACCCAACTTCTTCCCCCACCTCTTCAAAATCCAACGTATATGCAAAAAACATCAATATCTCACTGACACTCAACATGACAGAATAATGACACATCTACTCAGAAAACAAACCCTTTGAGTGAGTAGAAATACTTTGATTGAGCCTAAAATTTTTTAGCATTGTATAAATTCATTTTTTCACATCCTACATGTATTTGTATATTTTAAACAATGTTTTTCTAAACCTACGTCACACCTGACCGTATCTCACAATCTCCAAATAATCGTTGGCAGTATAAATTACCTATGATGAAGTCTGACATCCCAAATAAATGAAACCCTTTACTCTCTTTTATAAGAATATTTTGTTTCAAAGCCAATACTTCAAAAAAGTTCCTCCCTTTGAGTTTAAAGGAATCCACGATCCCTCTCTCCTCTTCCTCCTGGTTTTCCTGGTCAAGATTTACAACATTATTAATATTTCAGTAGTTTAGTCGTATCCAATCATTTTGTTCTTTGTTTTGGGCTGTTAAGCACGTTCTGGTTTCTCCATTGTCTTCAGCGCTATTGTCCAAAAACCCACCACTGATCGGAAACTATCAAATTTCAAGTTCATCATCCCATAATGACCGTTAATCGATAATTATTCAGAAATCGTGAGATGCGGTCTGGTGTGATGTAGGTTTTATAAAAACATTTTCTTTATCGTGCCAACGTTTCGATCTTTATTGAGATCATCTTCAGGGCTCAAAGTGTTTGTCTTCTGTGTAATTGTGCCATTCTTGCCAGTGCCTGGCACTCTCAACCCAACGCGCAAGAATGGCACAATTACACAGAAGACAAACACTTTGAGCCCTGAAGATGATCTCAATAAAGATCGAAACATTGGCACGATAAAGAAAATGTTTTTCTGAAACCTACATCACACCAGACCGCATCACACGATTTCTGAATAATTATCAAATATTAATGAATATGAGACTTACATACATCATGCTTTTATACACTTAAAAATTAACTTTGTCGTATAACTTAAGTATCTACCATCTATCTTTTACTCTTAAGTCACTCAATGCGCAATTGAGCAAAATTTGCTTATTGTAAATGGTGGGGTCTACTGGAGGGTCCATCTGCCCTTTCACTATGCTATTTGAATTGTTATGGACAAACCATGTAATTCATAGTTGTTATCAGGTTTCTCTATGAAAGTTTTTTTTTTTTTTTTTTTTTTTTTTTTTTTTTTTTTTTTTTTTTTTTTTTTTTTTTTTTGATTTCCACTTGCGGCACTTTGTAGGAAATCTTATATTTGGACAAAAAATTAAAAATTTCAAAAGTAATAAATATATAAAAGTCAGGGTTTTTTTTATGAAAAAGGGGGGAAATCAGTTGGTGCATAATGTGCACCAGCGTATGGACATATTTTAATTGACAAAATGCACGGACTCAATGGTTATGGAGTCTCATGCTTGTATGACCGCCCTAGCCAAAATTTATGACACTCCACCTGTAATATTTCACTTAAATCATATGAATGCTAGATCGTTAACTTTGCATGGCCGTCACCAATCGTCAAATTGCCTTCACCTTTAAGTTAAGAGAAAAAGAAAAATGCATAAATCAGTCAAAATAAATGTATCAACGATCATCTTATGAGGTCACTGATTGGTCTGTGTAAGTCCTTGGTTTCCTTATTTGTGATATTTCTCCATGTGATCTGCAGGATGATTTGGTCGTTACTGAATATTTTTGTTTGATATCATTGCTAGTTTGGTCTGCCATGATGATATGAGGATATAAGAGTATCAAATAAGAAGAAATTAAATAACCACAGTATAGCAACAGTAACAAACTAACAACTATAATATTTATCTTGTATAGTACTGTTGTTATAATTTCCTTAGCGCTTTGTACCTAGGACACTAGAACTGTTTGTGGAATCTCTTATTAAAAAATCTATGAAAATCACAATTCAGAAGAATGCCAGGACTCTTAGCCCTCATCATATGTAAGTATTATTTTTAAAAATTGTTTAAATAGATTTTTAATGAGAGAAATTAATATTTAGGAAACAGTGCATTCTTTCTGAAAGTCGGTTTGACTTTTTGAGAGATCTAGTTAGAAACCTGCCTGAAGCTTCAACTTCAGACGACGATGGAAATTGGAATTCAAACGAAAACTGGGGCTCCAATTCTCAAGAGCAGAGGTAATTCAGACATGCCGTATTAACTCTAAAAAATACACAGAGATGCTTATTTATATTTTTCCGTTAGAAGGGAATCGTCTGATGATCCATCGGAATTGAAGATGGATGAGGACGAAAACAAATCTGAAAAACAAGAGGAAAACGCTCCAAAGGCAATGAATTTTTACAAGGAAATTGATTATACGAATAATGGCAATGGATCATCCAACGCTATGAACGAGTCGGACGAAGACGATTACGATTCTTAGTGGGATGTGTATGAAATTATAAATATATAAGCACAATTGTTTTTCTATTTTTAAAATAATAATTTTGGTGCTTTAAATTTTGTAAATGTTGTACACAGTTACTAAACCGAAAATAACTTTGATGTAAATATGTTTAGTGTTGTATCACAGTAGATTTGTGTGGACAAGACTGTAAACTCATTTATTTTTTCATATTTATTTGTCTTATTCTTTAAAAAAAAAGTTAATACTTGTCCAATTTACAACCTTTTCCAATTATATATATTTATGTTTTTTTTTATTTTAATTTTACTTGTAAGTTGTAACTTTTCTGGATTGGGTATGGTTGACATTTATACCCAAAAATAATAAACTGCAGGTTTATTAAAAAAAACAAGTTATTTATAATATTTTTGTATAGTCTAACTTTTTTTAAATTTAGATTTCTGAATTGTTGTTTTTTTTCTTTTTTCCCCCCAATTTTCCATTATTAGGAATGTACAAAATGGAATATGGTTTCAGAAAAATTTTCATTGTGCCAAAATTTCAAATTTAAAGCATTTTTTTTTTTTTTTGTTATATATAAATGTACATTTTGTTTATTATTTAATTTTTTTTTTTACTTTTTATTATTTTTATGGTATATTGGCTTGATAGCAAACTTATGATGTGCTCGATTGGCTGCAACATGGGTATTGACACCGAATTGAAAGCAATAACAGCATGGAAATTGTTTAATGCGTAGAAATTTGTCTTCCAATTAGCTTTTAAGAGATGTTTAGTGATAAATATTTTTTTTAAGTTAGTGTTATTAACCAGTCAGTTTAAGATGATTATGTAGGGCTGAGCTTTTATAGTTCCAATTTCTGACATTTGTTGAAATTTTCTTTCAGCCAATCATTTATAATTTTAGAATTTAATTCTTGATAGGAGGTACATTTTTTAATAGTTTTTTGTCTCACCATAGGCACTAGATTTATCCAGCTTTTATAAACTTATAAACAAGCAAGGTTTAGAGATTAAATATTAACAAAACTATATTACCAAAATGTACTCGAAAGCCACTCCTTTGAAATTAAAAATATTACAAAAAAAACTTTCTTTTTACCGAGTTTAAACCTATTAGGTAATAAGGTATGATAAAACATTAAAAAAAAGCAAATATTTAAAAAAAATGTTATATTAGGTATAACTCTGGAATTACAAATAATAGTATATATATGTGGAATTTTATAAAAACAGTCTTGATAAATTGCTTGTCATGGAATTTCATTTTTTTATATATTATGTACAAAAAGCAGATTGTTTTTAGGGAAAAAAGACCTTGTTTTGTAATTTATTTTAAAAAAACTGAAACATTAAAAATTATACAAATATAAATATTATGGGTAACTATTGTTATAATATTAATTGTACTTTCAATAAATAAATAAGTTTGATTTTTGTTTAAATGCTAAAAGTATATTGTATAAATTTTGCTTTCCTCTATAAGTACATTATTGGGCAGTTTATTTTATTTAAAAAGAAAGATTATAAATAGTATTTTTTTTTAATTTAGTAGTTTTAATTAAAAAATTAATATAGTTCTAAAACTTACAACTAAACAAATTTTACTTGGGTATAATTACTATATTAAATATAATTCTAAACAAAATAATTGATTCACTTCTAAAAAAAATTGCTGAAGATTAAATACTTGTTAGGTTGAAAATAACTTATTGCTATAAAATTTACAAATACATCACAACCAGTTATATTGTCATTGCACTGATCATTAGGTAAATTAGTCCCAGATTAAAAATTAAAAGGTTTGAACTTTATAAAATTTATAAAAAACCTTGAAAATAATGTGATTTCCTTGAAGGTTCCTATTTAATGAAAAATATGCGATTCAAGAGTGTTGACATGTTAATAAACCATTTTTTAACTTTAACCTGCTAAAATTATATTAAAAAAAAAAAAAATTATACATTCATACTTTCATACATTTGCTCGCACTTTTCGAGCAACCTTAACACCGGGTTGATATTATAAGGGAAGAGAGACCTAGCAATTAGCCTTTCTATGGCAAGACGAAGGCGTGTAAACACAGTCATAATATCACTCAGTTCATTCCCACAAGTTGAGGCAAACTCGTGCCAGTTCCTTCTTATGTACTTCAACAACCGGAGGAGGTAAAGAAGGAAACAGGTTTCGTTGGACACAAGGAAATCCAACAGCACGTCTGAACCATGTGAGACCGTTCGCAAGAATTGGGCTAATGAAATGGCCGGGCTTAAAGCCCTCCTTAGGTCTTGAGAAGCGTTCTCTCTGTGAAACAGACCAACGCTGACATCTAGGCAGCACACCATTCCTTCTATCAAGGCATCATCTTGGTCTGAGAACAACTGAACAACCCACTGTGCCAGAGGGGTTTCCGGATGAAAAGGTAAAAGAGTTTTGACACAGTTGTCCAATTGTCTCAAAACTTCCCTTATGCTTCTTTCGATCACGGCCATGTCAGCATCTGCGTCTTCTGACTCTGAACATACTGAACTGTCGCTTGAGCTTTCACACCTTGTTTCCTTTACTGTCACTGCGACTGCTTTAAGGACGAGCAAAACAGCTTTTTGAAGCAATGGTTTATCACCGTCACCTGATCCTCCCCCAAACCTGCCACTTCCTCCTCGAAAAGGAATAGCTTCGAGTAGCCTCCAATCTTTGACACTGCGCACTATTAAATGCGCCAGTGAGCAAGGCTCTTCAGCTAAAATATCTTGTAAAGCTAAAGTACTTCCATAGCATAAAACTTCATTGAAAAGATCTAGCATATGCTTCCAAACAATTGGTGACACACCTGAGTTCAACAACGCGACAAAATTGGCCAAATGAGCGTAGAAAGGTTTGGTATCCACGATCGACAAATTTGCCTTCACAGATATTATAGCCTCCCAAAGGCCTAAAAATGTTATAACCGTCGAATCATTTTGAGCCGGCGATGTCGCCAACAATCTATCAAACCTACTGACGATCGCTGGCCATTTCGCCTCCAAAGCTTTAATGCAAAGGCACTTGATTTGGCTGCTGTCCAAACTGTCTGGGTCACTTACACTTAATACATGGCACAAAGGAGGCAGTTGAACATCTCTTTCTTCAAGGGGATGTTCATCACAGTCTTTCCACTCAGTCACTCTTTTCATAACATCCAAAGAGAAAGCCATTTTTTGTGGATGGGAGGTCGAAAGTGCATTTTCGGTGAGCCTGTCGAGCCATCTGGGATCGACATGGGCTCGAGATACCATGAGAAATGCTGAAAGCGCTCTTCCAGAAACGTAACTGACGTATCTGTCTGAGTGTGCTGAAAGTTCGATAAGGTATTCCACGAGGCCGTACTCATTTCTTATCAATGCTTCGCAAGTGTCCACAATTTTTGAACATACCAATCCACGGGTATTTTGTCTTATTGCCACTTCACAGAGTAACTGCACTGAACTAACAAACAATAAGGTCCTGTCCCTGTTCCAGTTTGCAATGTAGGATGCGCAATATCCATGTGAGTCCTCGTGTCTAAGCAGCTTCAGTCCTCGGAAAGGCTTCCAAATGAGGTTTTCTGGCATGGTGCATAGGCACTGGCCCAAGAGTTTCTTTTGCAAAGTCTCCAGGTCATTGTTGTTGTTCTCTTCAGACAGTTTGCTCTTTTTCTTCACCGGCTCGTCCATCACTGCGACTGGCGCAGACTTCTCTTTAGTAAGCACCATCAATGCAAGCCGACAACTATCCAATTTCTATCACCAGTATCACATGTATAAGCAGGGCATATTTTTTGAATGGATGTTGATTACTCATTGAGCTGCTGCCTCACAAAAACATCAACTACATCTATCACAGTGGATCCTAAAAACAAAAAAAATGCATTAATAAACAACATTATTTAAATACAAACTAAGCATAAACCAGAATATGGTATTTATTATCTGATAAATAGGTACTCTTAAAAAAGAATCTTACAATATAAATGGATAATTTATCATGTACAAAATTGCTGTACACTAATAATAAAATAACACATCAGTTGTGAGAGATGCATCTGACAGGCCAAGTTAAGGTCAAGAAGTTCAGAATGGTCTGAAACTGATAATGTAATAAGGATGACAGGTGTTAATGGCCTGGTAAAGGAAGAAACCAAGCAAATATAGACTTCTGGAAGAGGGATAGAGCCAGGACAGGTCCAATACAGCCCTGGGATCCTAGGGGGATGCTGAATATAAACCTGACCCAACAGATCCAGATCTGGAGGTCTGTCTGGGGTTAGTAAGGTTGGATATGCTTGGACAAAATGATTGAAGGATTTTGGACTGCAGTGATTAGATTCTATGGAAGTTGGATCACTTGTCTCAACTTAGTTTAATTCCATTGTAGCAATGATAAGTAACAGTTTCGATCTGTTGTGAAGTAGTCTTTTGAGCAGTAGAGTTGCTGGGAGAGGAACAGAGTTGTAGTTGATGACCTTAGCTGTTAAGGTACATTTACATCTGATACTTTTGTCCAGAAATATATGTCAAGTGTCAGACAGAAAATCGCCTTGACTGTTTATATACTGATAGAAAATGCTAGTCATTTATATCATGGATACATATACATAGTCATTTATATACAACAGTTCTCAAAATTCAAAAATTGGAATAAATGTATGACTGTTTACATAGAAGATAGATTTTTGTGTATGCTTGTGTCCTACGTATATCTCTTTCATTCTGCACACAGTTGATTTTACCTTGACATGATGAAACCTTCAAAACGCAAAATTGCAGGCCATGTAATTATTCTGAAGATGAAAAAGAAGAAAAAACGATCTAGATAGGTGTGGGTTTTCAGACGTGAAAAAGTTGGTGCCTACAATCAATTAATGTCCGTGCTCAGTATTGAGGATTCAGTTCATTTTTAAATTGTTAAAAAATGAAACCTGCTGATTTAACAGCTTGCTTGTAAAATTAATTCGCATATATCAACACAAGATACAAAATTCAGAAAAGCTATTAGTGGAACAGAACGACTTGATGTAACTGCAATTTTTAGCATCTGTTAAGTAGGTACTTAGTTTATTAAATAAAAACTTTTTTATTTATTTATTTAAACCATTCTTTTTTGTCATTCATGTTTATGCGACACTTATTGCAATGGGAGAAAAGTAGACAAATGGTCAACTTTTGCGACAAGTGTCGAACAATGTTGAACTTGCAACTAACCAGAATTTACACCTATTCTGTATACCTACCTATTCGGTGACAAAAATAGGTAGTGGTTGAAATATATATAGTATTTATGTATAGTAATATATAGTATTTATACATACTATATGTATTAAAATATTATATACATATATATAGTATTTATCTCTGACATAAATTCTTCAATGTTTCCATTAGCCACATTTCTGTCTGGCATAAATATCGTGCAATAACTGACAGATGTCAATGTACTTTTAGACCCAGAGCATAACTTTGATGGGCAGGATGGACAGTAATGAGGTATGACCCTTCATTGCCGACATCTGCAAGTAGGCGTTTTTAACCTGCCATGCCTTATGTTTAATTCAAGTTTTGTAATTGTGTAGACATAGATGATTAGTCAGGGTGTATTTTTATACTGCACCCTTTAAGAGCTATTGTATCCCCCCGTTCTGTGCTTACAGCACAATGGTGAGTCCAAGTTTATTAAGGAATTTGATTAGTAGGCCAGGTTTCAGTTGTTAAATTTCTTCTAAGGTTACACCGAACGTCCCAAAGCACTTCCTCCTGTGGGCAAGGCAAGTGTAGCGATAGTTTGTTAATAAGTTGATGTCTCTCTCTACTTCTTTCCAGAATCTGCATGTGCAGACGTGTTGGGTTATGCCAATCTTCTTTAAATGTCCATTTAGTTTGCAGTGTCCTGTTAGGATTCGCAGTTTTTCCTGCTTCCTTCCAAAATTTGGATTGTTTATGTCCAATGTGCAAGTTCCATAGTTCCCTCATTTTCTTTGTATCTTTCTGTCTGAGGTACTCATTGATAGTATGGGTTCCTATATGACACAAGGGTTCGGGTCCTATCAGAGGTACAGCAGCCCCTTTTCTTGCAAGGGTGTCCCACATGTCCTGGGACCCAGCAGAGGCTGGCTTTGTACTGCATACCTAATATGATTAGTTTGGTTTTGAAGTCCGGCACCATCTTTGAACTAACATTTGATTGTTTCCAATTTATGACAGTGTGGAATCAAGGAATAATTATTTGTTTTTCATTTGCGTATGTCTCTCCATACACAAATACAGAGGAGAGACAAACAAACAAAAACAATGATATGCGAGCTGAGTGGCTGCTTGATTATCTTATGTTAGCTATATTCTTGTTTTTGTACCCTTTATTCAAATTGAATTGAGTACGATTGTGTAGACCTCAGACTGGAAAGTTTTCCCATGGGTTCTGAGTATTAGGTTCCAGGAACAAATACTTCTGCCCACGTACCTTCTTGTACCGCTGTACCTATAGATGGTGCGATTCTTAAAGGTGTTTTTCTCACTTTCCCATCCTTTTTTGGTACTTAGGTTAATTTGGAAGTTTTGATTAAATTCAAACATCAATTGTGTGTATAAATTTGAATAGATATTTCCAAATAAGGTTATCTATTGTGTAAAATAATTAATGATAAAGCTCATACAAAATAGTATGAGGGCCCTGAACCATTGTGAATGAGAGTTGCATGTGTCGGCTATTCCATACAACTGTTCACAGACTAATCAAATAATTCTTAATTTTTTCATATTTCGCTTTTTTAAATACAATCTGTATATTTCCATGGATTAAAAGGTGATTGTTACATAAAATCACGACCAAAAGTCATTTGTTAAAAACGGGAGAAAAAATCATTCATGATATGAAAATGAAGGCGAGACGGGTGCGCAAAAGGTCATAATAAACAAGGAAAGGCATTAATAACAGAACCTCCCGCGGGATAAAAACCAATTACCTTGTTAATTGGCCAAAACAAACTCTTAAGAGGGGAAATGACGTCTCGATGCGAACCAAAGTGGAAAAAAATCCATAAGGATCCATCCATCGGGCCATAAACCATACCAGAAACGGAATGGAATGCAAGCCAATGTGTAATACAAGTAGTCGGGGAGAGGTGTCCCGAGCACGGATCTTTTGTCTTAGAAAACTCTTAATTTGTTTTGTACGCGTTTTCTTTGGTTTGAATTAAACAAAAAATAATTTCGACGAGTTTTTTAATCAGTTACCTGTTTTGGATATCCTTTGTCGGGAATTCAAGAACAAAACATTCTGGTGTAGCTTCAAATAGTCGAAACGGATCCTAGTTGGCCTTTCGGTCCTGGGACAGACGGGAAACCGGGTATACGAAGAAAGAGTCTCCGGATTGACGAAGAAGACGAAACTGACCCGAAGAACCCGAAACCGGACCAACTTTAAAACAAAGAAAACTGGTATTGTTTAGCTACGTTAATGAACACAACAATCTGACACACTCGACATCCGCCATATTGCTCGTCTACCCCCTCTCGGAATACCAAGCCTTTCTCACGGACGTGAGGCGCTCTGGGGGTCTCAAGAATGGACCTTTGGTGGAGGATTTAACTCCTGTTTTTTCGTATCAAAACAAATTATTTTTTTAAAAACTGACATCGATTTGGAACCGGCTAGTACAAAGACGAAAAGCAAAACGTTAAAGAATGCGTTTATGTCCGGTCGGTTCTAACACGCGGCGTTCCGACGAACTAACACGGTCATGAATGGGCTTTCGAACGTTACCGCCTTTTCGCCCTTTGTTCACCCCCAGACTCAGGCCAGTCCGGTCTTGTACGCATTCCTCAATAAGACGGAATATGAATAGCTTCCGGTTCTTGGCGCTGCCCTGGAAGAAAAGGAACAAAAAATCTCGGCCGCCTATTAAACAATGCCCACGGGCTCTGCTCCTGAGCTCCACCGGCTTCTTAATAACTTGTTTGATGCGATGATTGCCCTTCTGGAGATTAAATTTAAAACGCCTGCGTGGGGATCCCTCGATAAACATTCTTTTGAATCATTCATATTCTCTTTCTTCTACTCGGGTTTTGACCTGTTGGAAAAGTTTCCACTTCTGACTAAGTACCATGCTGTTATATACTGGGATAAATGTCACTGTCATGGTAGATCTGTCGCAGACAGTCAAATGTCTAGTCATTTATTCAAATTTCAAATTATTGATGGTATGATTTGTCACATCAGGAGCGACACATACTTGGTTGGCTCCCCGCACCCAGTGACTTCGTGGCAGTTGATGATGTAGGGTAAAGCAACCACTACCACCAAATGTATGAGATACGGCACATAGCTCGGACCTGTCCCAGAATTACAAAACACGTCATTTTCGAAAATAGCCAATGAGCTCATAAAATATTATTTTTGTATATTTGGTAATTGGGATTTTACTAAAAAGTAAAAATACCGATACTAGAACGGGAAGAATGGAGCCAAAGGAACTCCGCTAAATGCAAACTACTGGTACACTCCAAGACCGACAAAGGCATCATTCGAGATGAATCCAAAGACAGAACTGACGGTAAACCTAGTTTTTCAGTCTTAAATCATAGCGAATAAACACTGCGCCAGGGAAATAAAAAGTCTGCTGTGCTATTAAGTGGGATAGAAAGACAAGCTGGCCTCAGTATCACTGGAGCCATGAGCACAATGCCAATTCCGGTCCTTGAGGTGTTGTTAACTTCCCACCACTTCATATTTTATTTAATCCAAGGAGAAGCCAGAGCAGTAGCCTACAGGCTCATAAGGACAACCATCTGCAAGGATAGGCCATGCAAATAAACAATGGAAATTGAAAGAGGAGATACAAGCAGATGCCACTACTCCAAAATACAATTTTACTAAAAAGTACAAGATAAACCAGAACAAGAGGAATGGACCAAAGGAACACCACTAAAGGCAAACTCCTACTGGTACACTAACGGCTCCAAAACCGACAATGGCACGGGGTTAGAGTCTTCGGGATGAAATCGACGGTAAACCTATGTAAATATGCTTCTGTTTGCAATCTAAAATCATAGCAAATGAACACTGCGTCAGGGAAATAAAATGTGGTCTAGCATATTGCCACAAAAGAGGATGCATTTCAAAATGGATCCTTGATGAGAACAAAACCTTGTAGAACAATACCGCAGGTATGAGGCAAGCGAAGAGATTCATAGAAGGGCATGAGCAAAACTTACAATGGCATTCTGGAAGGCAACCGCAACCGAACCAGGATTTTGGTTGGATTCCTAACAGGGCACTGCCACTTAAGAAAGCATATGCACCGGATAGGAGTACAGACATTAGACACACTGTATACATATTGCCAGGCAGAGGAAGAGAAGGCCTATTAAGGTGCAGATTCTTCCAACCAGGGCAGGAAAAACCACAAACAAGATCGTACACTAAGGAGCCGCAGACAAGGCTATGAAGGTTGATTAACAACCTGAAGCTGGCCAGTGAGTTACAAAAAACAGGGAAGCACAATAGATATACTCAGGTCGAGGTGCAGATGGCCTTGTGGCCGCCTCTTTTATCCGTATCCCTAAGCTCATAAAATACCATTATTTCTATATATTTGTTGATTGGGATGATTAACAAAAGGGTGGCGATGGCAGGGGATTGTAATACATTCAACGTAAATAGTTTTGTAAATATTACTAATAAAACTCTCCTAGCATGATAGGTTTTAGTTCTCCTTTTTGTTTCCTTTCTCTTGTTTGAAGAGAAGCACATCTCTCCGCGCTCTGCTAAATTGAATTACATACCATCCAGGATTTATTATTTTTATTGATTGCCATAAATATCAGGGGTATTGTTACGTTTAAAAAGTATTATTGTATTTACACATTTAGCAAAGCCCTCAAAAACTGTCAAACAAAAATAAATAAATAAAAAATAAAATAAAAATAAACTGTTTCCCGCAGTGAAAGAGCTTTGTCCATTGGGACCTCAAAAGCCTCGATTTCTGTAAATCAATCAAGACAAATTGACTACGCTTGACGGTGAACCCCGGTTTTTTTTTTTAATTTAATTTTCTTTTTCTATACTAATGTTTTGTTGATGTATTCGTCGATTTCCGACAGACGGAGTTTTTGATGTCGTACGGTACTTTTCTGATTACCGTCCATTATTCTGATTTAACGTATATTGTACGTTGTTCCTCCTGAAGACAAAGTATCAGACCTACTACAATTTTTTGTTTCTTGTCTGACTACACTGTAAAAAAAAAAAAAAAATACAACTGTGATCGTTAAATTTTTAGTTATTTATTTAAGATATAACACATTCGAGAAAAACAATAGATATTCTTCTACTAACAGCACTTACTACAAGTTTAAAACATACAAATATAGATAAAAATTAGTACTACGGTACCATTTTTAAAACCTGAAAATTTTTAAAATTAAACGGTTTTTCTGTATTTTTGGCTTTTTGTCCACTGATCTTTGCTACTTCTGCTTGGAAAAATTACAACTTCGATCAATGACTTTTAAAATAGTGTGGTGTTTAGTGAACGTTAGTCAATGATTCGGAGATCGTGAGATGCGGTCTGGTGTGTCGTAGGTTTTAGAAAAACAGTTTCTTTATCGTGCCAACGTTTCGATCTTTATTGAGATCATCTTCAGGGCTCAAAGTGTTTGTTTTCCGTGCAGATGTTTCATTCTTGTTGGTGAGTTGAGAGGGCACTCTTACGAAATCTCATTAAAGGTAGTCATAGTGATACGGTCATCAAAAACAATAGGAATTCCTCTACTAATAGTACTTACTACAAGTACAAGTATAGTACTCGATAGTAGTCGTCCAGTACAAGGTTCTACAAGTCCATAGTTGCCCAGAAATCAACTTCTGAAGTTATAACTATCTAAAAAACCGTCAAACCGCTTTATATGAAAAACGTCACTGAAGATGATCTATATTTGACCGAACGCGTCTGAAGAAATAAATGCCTATGTGAAAAAGGCAATTTATTTCCTGTTCATCATCTTATTAATCAGGATGGAAACCATCAAAAATTTTACTCTACACTTTATAGGAAGAAAACTTTTTTTTATATTTAGAAGTTTAGTGGTTTTTCGAGTTATATTATAATTTTTTTCTGTTTTCTCTATTTCTGCTTTTGTTGCGAAGCTCCTTGTTTAGCAATTTCTATTTTTACATCCCAAACAGTGCCAATGGGCCCTCATAATAAAATATTTGCTAAATCAAGCTACAGCTCAGTTATTAATGACGTTTTTGTTCAAACTTTGGGTTTTTATGCATTTACATAATGTTTAAATATTCGTTTTTTGTGTGTTTATGTCCTGGTAACGATCGGTGAATGGTAGATCTTTTTCCATTTGACAGCCCCTCGCTTGTCGGCCTCAATTTATTTAATGGCCTTTCGTTAATAAAAAGTAATCGGCCACGGGTTTGATTGTGTTCCCCCTTTAAAATAACGTTAGCGGTCTGTTTCGGGTTGTCAAACCCTTTTGACCCCTGGTGGAAATGAAAAAATTGCTCAGCATCGTTTGCATGCCCTTCAGGGCAAAATGCTTTCATTGTTGATGCCCGCCAAGTTAAAATACAAAATAATTTGACAGCTACTTTCCATTTCTTTCTAAGTAACAAGGAGGAAAAATTTAATTTTTGTTAAATCAAATGTAAACTTAAAACCTTATCAAGCCGACATGCTTAATTTATAACGAATTACTTTCATACATATCCAATAATTATTCAGAAATCGTGAGATGCGGTCTGGTGTGATAGGTTTCAGAAAAACATTTTCTTTATCGTGCCAACGTTTCGATCTTTATTGAGATCATCTTCAGGGCTCAAAGTGTTTGTCTCCTGTGTAATTGTGCCATTCTTGCGTGTCGTGTTGAGAGTGCAGAAGACAAACACTTTGAGCCCTGAAGATGATCTCAATAAAGATCGAAACGTTGGCACGATAAAGAAACTGTTTTTCTGAAACCTACATCACACCAGACCGCATCTCACGATTTCTGAATAATTATCGATTAACGGTCAACCACACATATCCAATAATGTTAAAACCTAAGTAAAAAGTATTTAATTTCAATATAACTCAAGTACCCTGGGATAATGTGAATTTATTAGCGTGAATGGAGCGTATGTTCACCGCGATTAAACTGAGGAATAATATCATGTACGGTGTGGTTGTGCGAATGTAATTTATTTGCGTGAATCGTGGGGATTATCCCCCAATTACCTCGAATTATGTAGGAACTGTGGGGTAGTGTGAATGAATTTTGCTATGAATGTAATTTATTAGCGTGAATAGGGAGGCTTACCCCCAATTACCCCGAGGAATATCGAGTACCCTCGGGTAATATGAATGTAATTTATTAGAGTGAATCGTGGGGATTATCCCCAATTAACATGAGGGATATCAAGTATTGTGGAGTAATGCTAAACTAATTTATTAGCGCGAATGGGGGGAAATCCTCAATTAAATTGAGGAATACTAGTAATAGGGTTGTGTGAATGTAATTTATTGGGGAGAATGGAGGGGATTATCTCCAATTAATCTGAGGAATATCAAGTACTGTGAATGTAATTTATTAGCTTGAATGAGAGGATTATCTTTAATTACCCCTGGGGTATTGTGAATTTAATTTGTTAGCGTGAATGGAGGGGATTATCCTCCATTAACGTGGGGAATATCAAAGACTGTGGGGTTGGGTGAATGTAATTTATTAGCGCGAATGGAGAGGATCATCCCAAATTACTCCGAATAATATCGAGAACTATGGGGTAGTGTTAATGAATTTTTGCATGAATTAAATTTATTAACGTGAATGGAGAGGCTTACCCCCAATGACCCCGTTGAATGGAGGGGATTAACTTCAATAAACTGACGAGTATCAAATATTCTGGACATGTGTGAATGTAATTTATTACGCGAACGGACGGGATTATCCTTAATTAACCTGAGGAATATTGAATACTCTGGGGTAGTGTGAATGAATTGTGGTATGAATGTCATTTATTAGAGTGAATGGAAAACCTTACTCTCAATTTTGAAACATCGAGTACTCTGGGATGGTGTGAATGCTAACCATATTTGTTTTATTTTATCCATACTACATAACATTAACTTGAAAATTGGTGTTTATTTTCCCTAATTATTTTTTGATAAATAATTATATGGAACGTATTGTTGAATTCTCCATTTTACTGTATTAAGAAGTTTTGTTACAAAATAAAATGACCAAATACAAAATTTGAATAATTTTTTGACCCACTGTAAATAAAAAATTTAACACTTAAGTTGAGTAGTATTTAAGAAAATCAGAGGTACGCTAGAAAGTTGACCTCCTGTACATTATGTTAAAAGTATTTAATCTCAATATGTGTGTTGAATAAATATTGAAATAAATGAATATCCAAAGTATTGCGTTTTAGCATTACGGGTATAGTAAATGAGAATTATCGTATTTTTATAATTAATTATGCAAGTTTGACTTTTAAATCGGAGGGACGGGTGTTATTTTAAACGATGAGTAAGTCCATCATCGCCTCTGCTGTGGGTCCCCGCATACTAGCGAGATGCCGTCGGTGAAAAGCCGAATGACTCACGACCCTATTTACGGAGTCGACTCTCCTTTAAAGCCAAACGGTGTGACGTAGTCACCGTGGGTCCGTGTCGCTTCGCTCTTCGCCGTGGTCCGGGGGGAAATTCGAGACGGCCTCACAAGTCGCAGTCGCGTCGCGCGACGTCCCGCTCCTAGTCCATAATTCACGCTCCCAGAATTCCTCGTGACTGTCAGAAGGTGTGGCAGCCATATTTCGTATAGCCTATACTCTATAGGCCAGTAGGGGTCAAGCGAGAGGCTGGCCCTTCTTCTCTCCTCCCTCGTCTCTGTCGCACTGGACGATGATCCCTTCGAACGCAACTTGAATATCACGGATGCCCAGATCTTTTGTCGGGATCGCGTTTCCTCCGTGTCACCCGCACGACGTCGCCCTTCCTCCGGCCGAAAGTGGATACAGATTCGACTTTTTGCGGTTAGCGGAACCTTCAGTCCGTATGAATGTTTTTATTTACTACGATATCTATTAGTGGTCCGCTACATTTCTATTTTCGGTCGCTGTTATTCTCATCTGTTGCCAAGGAGTGAGCTCGATATCCCTCAAATTTGATCGTAGAATCCCCCTTTCTCAGAAGTAGACCTATGCGATTATAATTTCCACAACGGCGGCCGCATCCTTTGATAAGAATTTCACCTTCATACTTGGAATTATGTAAAATGTTGCTTCGCAAGTGCCTTGAAGGAGGAAAGAGTTATTCTGGCTCAAAAAGATCGAAAAATGTCAGCTTCTGAACCGAAACCGAACGCCCAAGAAGACTCGAACAATGTTTCCACAGGTAAGGCGAAACGTTTCTTATCCAAACAGACAATTTAGATTATACACTTCAAAGACCTGGCTCTTTTCAAAACCCATGAACCCTCATTCCACCCATATTGTTTTACACTTTTGTGCACAATTTATTTCCTACTGTGAACAATTCAAATAAAAAAGTTAGGCTCAATTTGAAGCTAGACAAATTAAAACAAAATAGAATTGTAATACAAGCAGATCTGTAATCAGAGAAGATAAGCGACAAATAGTGACTTATATGGTCAAGAAAAACAATATGAATTCCTCTACTAATAATATTTACTGTGAGCCCTAAAATATAGATAAGAATTAGTACTACTAGAGTACTCAATGGTACTACAAGCCAAAAAAACTAAAATATAAATAAGAATTAGTATCACAACCTTGTTTTCACAAACTGAAAAATCTTCAAATTAAACCTTTTTTTAAATTAGACTTGTGTCTTTTTACACTGATCTTTGCTACTTGTGCTTGGAAAAACAACTGTGATCAATGACTTCCTAATTATTCATTTAAAATAGTGTAAAATCTGTTAAGACATAATTAAATGTTGTCATAGTAAATAATAGTGATTTACACGGTCATGAAAAACAATAGGAATTCCTCTACTAATACTATTAACATTACCCAAAAATATAGGTAAGAATTAGTACAATAGTTCTGATCTTTGCTATTTGTGCTTGGAAAAATCACAACTATGATCAATTACTTTTAAAATAGTGTAAAACCTGTTTGAAATCTAATTAAATGGTCAAAGTGAAGAATTGTGACTTATATGGTCATGAAAAATAATTGGAATTTCTCTACTACTAGAACTACAAACCGCAAAAATACAAATATAGATCAGAATTAGTACTAGAGCACTAGTTATACTACAGAATTATTCTTTTAAGATATAATTTATTTGTGAAAAACCATAGGAATTCTTCTACTAACAGGACTTACTACAAGTTCAAAACATACAAATATAGATAAGAATTAGTACTACAGCACTGTATATAAAACCTTAAAAATTAACAGTTTTTCTGTATTTTTGGCTTTTTGTCCACTAATCTTTGCTACTTCTGCTTGGAAAAATCACAACTGCGATCAATGACTTTTAAAATATGTAGTTTAAAACCTGTTATGAAATCTTATTAAAGACAGACATAGTGAAGAATAGTGGCTTATATGGTCTTGAAAAACAATAGGAATTCCTCTACTACTAGTACTTACTACAAGCCCAAAAATATAGATAAGCATTAGTACTACTAGAGAACTCAATAGTACTATAAGCCCAAAAACTAAAATATAAATAAGAATTAGTTTTACAACACTGTTTTCACATACTGAAAAATCTTCAAATTAAACTTTTTTTGTTCTGTATTCTTTTTGTTCTTTTCACACTTAACTACTAAACCTTTTTTTTAATTAGACTTGTGTCTTTTTACACTGATCTTTGCTACTTGTGTTTGGAAAAACAACTTTGATAAATGATTCTTAATTATTCATTTAAAATAGCATAACACCTGTTAAGACATAACTAGATATAGTCATAGTGAAGAATAGTTACTTATATGGTCATGAAAAATAATAGGAATTCCTCTACTAATAGCTCTTACTATACAAACCCAAAAATATAGATAAGAATTAGTACTACTAGAGAACTCGATAGTACTATAAGCCCAAAACTAAAATATAAATAAGACAATATTCCAACACTTTTTACAAAACTGTTTTTCTGTATTTTTGCTACTTGTGCTTGGAAAAATCACAACTGCATAAAGTTTTTAGTTATTCATTTAATATATAACACATTTGTGAAAAACAATACTAACAGTACATACTACAAGTCCAAAACATACAAATGTAGATAAGGATTAGTACTACAGCTTTTACAGATTTTAAAACCTGAAAAATCTTAAAAGTAAACCTTATCCTGTATTTTTGGCTTTATGTACGCTGATTTTTCTCCTTCTGCTTCTAAAAATTACAACTGTGATAAATTACTTCTTAATTATTCATTTACGTAGTAAACCTGTTATGAAATCTAATCAAAGATAGTCATGGATGGTGGCATAATAGTGACTTATATGATCATGAAATACAATAGGAATTCTCCTAATATTACTTACTACAAACCCAAAAATGTAGATGAGAATTGGTACTAAATCACTGTTTTCAAAACATGAAAAATATAAAATTAAAAAGTTTTCCTGTGTTTTTAACAGTTAACAATGTACATGCCCAAAAGATCATTGTTTTAAAATCGAAAACATTGTACTATATTATTTAATTAAACTATAATATATTATAGTAATATATTTGTACATAGCATACAAATACAATTACTACAATTAAACTAGATTATATTACTATATTTATGAATTTTTACACTGATTTTTTCTTCTTGGGGTTGAAAAAAGACCACTGAGATTATTAAATTTTTAAATATTCATTTAAATTAGCAATGACAGAATAGTGACTTAAGTGGTTATGCCAAACAATAGGAATTCGTCTGCTAATAGTATTTAATAAATGCTCAAAATACATAGAGATAAGAATTAATATTACTATTTCTACAACACAATATCTATAAATATTATATATTGTTCAGACATAAATATTGTGATAGTTAAATTATGACTTAAAGGAACACATGATGTTCACTGATATGCTAGAATATTAGTTACTAATAACTTTTTTATTTTTTATTTATTTTTAAATCCTGCGATTTTCATAAATAACAAATAATATATTGCATGATGCTAATAATTTGTCTTTATGATTTATTTGAAAACACATTGTTCCAATTTGAAGATATTGCTTGTGGCAGAAGTGTCTTTAAATTTTCATTGCTCTTTCCTTTTTGCATCCTACTCTAAACAATCCGAATAAAATTTTTTTATCAGATTTAAAGCCAAAAATATAAATGATACAAAATAAGACTGATTGGGCAGATCAGAAGTCAAAGATGATAAGTGACTTACATTGTGGTCTTGCATATCAATAGTAAATCCAACTTGCATGACCAAAATGCCTATAAATAAGAATTAATATTTCAATATCGCATCTTATTTCAATTAAGACAGTTTTTCTTTATCTGTGACATTAAGCAATCTTTGTTAATTGTTCTTGTGGAAAAGACAATTGTAACAAATTGAAAAGAAAATGTTTCAAGTATCATAAAATATAGTGATAGAATTTTTGTTTGAAGGGATTAAAGACAACACAAAGTTTATTCATTTATCTTGATTAATTGATGATAGCTGCAAATAATGACTATATAAAAATATAAAAACAATACATTTTCTCTACTTCTTGTATATTTGGAAACAAAAAGATCTTGTAAATTAAATTGAATATTTAAACAGCCAAGAACAATAAAAAAAAAAGGAAACAACACATCTTGAGAATATAAATAGGAATAGTTATATCTGACAATATTATCACTAATTAGAAGATAGTGATAGTGCAGAATGGTGACTTACATAGTCATACAAAACAATACGAATTTGTCTATTTATAGTAGTTATGAGAAAGCATTTCCTCTCCTTTATAATAACATAAACATAAAGTTTTCTTCTAAATAAATATGGCACAATGCACAAGAAATTCCTACTGGATAAAATGTAACAAATAAATTGGTTTTCCAGTTTATTTTTAGGCCCTGAATAAAGTTTTAACGCAAATTATTTGTAGAAATGGTGAACAAATTATTTGTTAGAGTATTGCAAAAATATTATTCAGAACATAGAGGATCAAGGCAGAATAGTTTTTATTTGTTATTAGACTTTTACTTAAAACATAAATGTATAATGCAATAATAAATAAATATAACAGGCGAGGGTTAATTAATTTTTTACAAGGCAAATTGTAACCAATTAAATTACTCATTGTTTATAATTTATGATTTTTCCTTCTTGAAGGTGGAATAATAGGTCATAATTGTTTATAATGGTGATCTGGAGATAATAATGAAAGGTTCTAGATATAAAATTCAGTAGTTAAAACATGTTTTAAATATAGAATTCTTAAGAGACATTAGAATTTCAGAGATTCTTTATTGTTGATATTGATGGCTTCATGTTTAGTTATGGAAAAAAATCCTAAATGGCGCTGACCAGCAGGCAAAAAAAACATTGTTGCTAGAAATAGCAAGAAATATCTGAAATTTCAATATTGATTTATTGTATTTACAACTATAATTCTTTATATGCAAGAGTTTATATATGGAAATGCTGTGTTTAGTCGAATGGCGGCCTAATGGACGAACTCTGGTCATCAGTCAGATAATTTTAGTTTGTTCCTGGTCAGACACATTATGGCCCTGTGCCATCAATAGTGCATGACTATGAGTTTCAAACAATATAACATGGCTTTGTACCAAAAAGTGCCATTGTATATAATAATTTTTAAAAAATCTTGTGTACAAATGATTTATTCTTTAGAATCAACTGTATTCAGATTTGAACTTGCAAGTTAAGTTAAATATTAATAATATCTAAAATTTGAATTGCTTGTGTATATTACTTTTTGTTTGTAGTAAACAATTTTTATTTTATTTTGTAGTCGTTTGTGAAAAAACTATGTTATTACAATAAACTGTTTAATGTTAATTATGATAATAGAAATGACAAATGGTGGAATGAGTGTGTTGTTCAATCCTTTTAAAAAGATTATTATAATAACGTTGTGTAGTAATGTTAAGTTGATAAGTTTTCTGCTAATAAGAAAAAAATTAAAGGCTCAATATTTTGAAACAAGACAATAATATGCTTAAATTAATATTGATAAACAAAAAGAAAATTAATTTAAAAAAGTATATTTTACAGTTATATATGTATCTCTTTTTAGGGGAGAAGAGGCTTAGGCAATTGGAGTCACTATTCCTTGGTGGGCCAATACTTGGACAGGGTCAATGCTTTAGCATTGAGACACTGCTTGACATCCTCGTCGTCCTCTACGATGAGTGTTGCAACTCCTCGCTCAGAAGAGAGAAGACTGTTTCGGATTTCATAGAATTTGGTTAGTCAGCAAAAATGAAAATTGGTCATCCTCCTAGATTTATTGTCGTTTGTGTATTTTTCGAGGAATTCTTATATTATATATATACTAATAGAATTTTTCTTTCTTTAATAGCAAAACCAGTGGCTGCTTGTGTCAAGTCACTGAGGCTAACACGGGATGATTTCGAGGTGATAAAAGTAATAGGCCGAGGGGCCTTCGGCGAAGTGTGCGTGGTTAAGATGAAAGGGTCTGATAAAGTATTTGCTATGAAAATCCTAAACAAATGGGAAATGCTCAAGAGGGCGGAGACTGCTTGCTTTCAGGTTGGTTGACCCACTGAGAATTTTTTAAAGCCAATTTTGTCATTCTATGTTTTAACTGTTTTAAATTTCAGGAAGAGAGAGATGTGCTCGTTTTTGGAGATAGGCGGTGGATCACTAATTTGCATTATGCTTTTCAAGATGAAAACAATTTGGTAATTTTTAATAACTTATTCTTAAATCAAACCCTATTTATTTTTTAAAATTATTTTTGTTTTCACAGTATTTAGTTATGGATTATTATTGTGGTGGAGATTTGCTCACATTGTTAAGTAAGTTTGAAGATAGGTTACCTGAAGATATGGCAAAATTTTACATAGCAGAAATGGTATTAGCGATATCCTCCATACACACCCTATGTTATGTCCACCGGTATTGTAATTTATTGAAATATTAAAAAAATTCATTTATAATACTTTGTTGTTATTTCAGAGATATCAAACCCGATAACGTTTTATTGGATGCAAACGGGCACATAAGGCTTGCAGATTTCGGCTCTTGTTTAAAACTTTTTGATGACGGAACTGTCCAGAGTAATGTCGCCGTTGGAACTCCTGACTACATTTCACCTGAAATATTAAGGGTAATTAAAAATCAACACTTAAAATTGAATATGGAGAATATAACAATGTTTTAATAACATTTTTTGAAAGCAACAGCTAACAAAGAGCAAGACGTAAACTTATTTATTATTTTTTAGTCCTCAAGTATATTGTTTGTGTAATATTCGTTTAGAATTTATAATTAATCAAGCATTAATTTTAATATTAATCCATATATTCATGTAGTAGTCATCATTGACCATAATAATAAAAATATTTCATTTTTTTTACTATTTTAGTGCAAAAATGGCAATAAAAGGCATTTTAAAGTTATTTACGGCATTCCAATTTGGCACAAACTGAAACACACTATATCTAGTTAAAATTAGAATAAAGGTCAACATAATTTTACTAGAATAGACAAGATGGAACATTATGAATGCAAGTTACAAATTCCTCGCTTAAAAATATCGCAGTCTTAATTTAATTTGCTTGTTTAATTAAAGAAATATAATTAAGTTATTTTTAAATGGTTTGATTTATGTTTTGTATAAATTATTCATATGTAGATTTTGTGCGATTAATTTTAAATGTAAAGCCCAAAGTAATAATCAATAATTCTTTATGATGAAAGTGTAAATGACCTAATGGTATGAAGGGAAAATTATATTTGGCAAACCCAATTATTTTGCTTTAAAAAAATTATTTCAAGACATGGTCCAATCTTTTCTCTGTTGAATTTAATGTATCCTATATATTAGGTTTAAAGGTTTAAGGGTCAAAATGCTCATGTCAAATAAAAATCAATTATCATTTCTTTGAGACATTGTGTAATATTAATAATTAATTAATTTTTACAATTGTAAATAAACACTGACTTTATTAAAGTTTGGTCTATGCCCTTAAATGTTTTTAGGCAATGGAGGATGGACAAGGCCGGTACGGTCCCGAGTGCGATTGGTGGTCCTTAGGCGTTTGTATGTATGAGATGTTGTATGGTGAAACGCCATTTTATGCTGAATCTCTTGTCGAAACTTACGGGAAAATTATGAATCACAAGGTATGAGTTGAAATTGATAATTTTAAATTTTAACGCTGTGCTTTATTTCTTTCATTTGTTTCAGAACTGTTTTGATTTCCCTGGAGGTTTAGATTATGAAGTGTCCGAAGAAGCCAAAGATCTAATGAAGCATTTAATTTGTAGTTCTGAATTCCGACTTGGTCAGAATGGTGTAGATGATTTTAAAGTATGCCTTGATTAATTTAATATTTAAACCATATATTTATTTAGTAGTCATAATTGACCATATTAATTATTTTAATTAATTGTACTGTTTATCTAAGGTCTCAGTTGAGATGAAAAAGCTAGTAAAGCAGGATTTGAACCCACGAACTTCAGCTCAAGCAGTTGCTCTAACCACTTGATTAGAGATTTAATTAGAGTTAAGTGAGCAGCAGCTGCATATTGATCTGAAGGTTGTAGGTTTGAATCCTGCCCGTGACACTAGCATTTTCATCTCAACCTAGACCTTAGATAAAAAATATAATTAATTAAATTAATTGTTAAAGTTTATTTATATATTATTTTGGTTATTAGAATCATATGTGGTTTGCCGGAATTGATTGGGTTGCAATACGTGAAAGTAAAGCTCCTTATATCCCAGAAGTCAGCAGTCCAACTGATACTTCAAATTTTGATGTGGATGACAACGACATACGATGTAGTGATGCAGTGCCTCCAAGTGCCAATGTTGCCTTTTCCGGTCTCCACCTGCCATTTGTTGGATTCACTTTTACACAGGGAAGGTAAAACAACATTTAAAAAAAAAAGAAAAAAAAAGTTAACATCTTGTAATAATTTTTTTTCTAGTTGTACCAGTGATCTTGCCAGTCTTCCCCTTCCTTCTGAATCCTCATCTGACCACTCCCTTCTTAAAAAGGTCCATTCTTTAGAACAGGAAAATATGGTACTCAACAAAGCACTGACAGGTTTGTTTGTCATAATAAAGCTAAGATTTTGATCAAATATCTCATAAAAATGTATATTCTAGATTTAAAATCAAGAAACATGTCTGAGGTCGACGGTGCAAAGAGGGTTTCACCTACTGGTGATGGCAGTCCTGGTGTAAGAAGATTGCAGGATGAAATCAACGTGCTAACTAAAAAGAATTCTGAGCTTGAGACATTGCTTACACAACAAGAGGCACAACCGGGAGATGGGAAATTAGTCGATCCCACTCATTCAGTACAAAAAATTAAAGATTTGGAAAAATCCATTAGAATGATTAAGCAAGAGAAAGAAGAAGCTGTCAAGGTAATGGAAAGAATTCATTGAAATGTTCATTGAAGGAGTTCATTTATTTTTTAATTTAGGATAAGTTCGATTTTCAAGAGAAGCTTAAAATGCAAGATAAAGAACTGAAAGATGCACTGAGCCAAAGGAAACTTGCAATGGCAGAATATTCGGAAGTAACAGATAAGTAAGTAACCATTTCATGTTATACACTAATTGTATTAAACAAAATTAAGTATTTGCAAACAAATATTGGTGATTAGTTTAAAGCTCTATATTTTTTTAGGATGCAAGAGCTCAGGGTACAAAAAACTAAACTTTCTCGACAAGTCCGTGACAAAGAAGAAGAGTTGGAAGTTGCGATGCAGAAAGTTGATTCTCTCAGGCAGGATTTGAGGAGGGCTGAGAAGCTGAGGCGTGAACTGGAGGCCAGAGTCGAAGATGCAATTGCTGAAACTTCAAAAGAACGAAAATTAAGAGAAAGGAGTGAAGAGTACTGCAGGTAATACATTCAATTAAAGACAAAAATTATTCATACTAATACCAAATCATTACATTTTTAATTATATTCAACAGACAATTGGAATCGGAAACAGAAAGGTGGAGGGGTAACCAGAGAAAAGACATATCCACCGACTTATCTTCTTCCCAGACTCAGCTGACCACACAGGAAATTTCAAGGTTTTATATTCTAACTTTTTTTGTTTTAATTTGTCCGTTAATGTCAAAATTTATTTTCTAGGCTGAAAGAAGAGGTTGAAAAGTTAGAAGTGCAATATAAAGAAAGTCTACAACAACAGCAGGGTAGGTTTAATCTTGAAATATCAGCCCTTCGCGAACAGCTACATGAAGCGGAATCAGCCAGGGATTTACTGCAAAGAGAGGTGTTTTTTTAAAAATTATTTGGTCAAAATAATTCACTTAAACAAAATATTTTTAACTGTTATATTTCAGGTTCAATCTTTCAAGGATAAATTAGATTCCACTAGGCTTGAAAATCTTACGGATAGTGAAGAAGCCTTGTCAGAACAGGCAAGAAGGCACGACAGAGAGAAAATCATGCTTCTAGAAGAAAATAAAAAACTTGTGATGGAAGTTGATAGCGTAAGTATTTTTAATGTTTATGGTATTCATATTAAATAAGAAGTTATATATTATTTTATTGACATTTTCATTATTATCCGTATATTCCTCATGGTTTTTGGCGCGATGGTGTCAGAGTGAAAAATCTCTTCGAGCTCCGAACTGTAGGTTCTGGCTTACATAATTTTAGCATAGTTGTAAGCCTAGTATATCAAGAACTACAGACCCACCAAACTTAGGCTAGTTAGTTTAGAAAATCTTTTAAATAGTATGAATGGGTATTTTAATTTACATAGAATATTTTAAACACGTGTGGAAGGGTTAAACATCAAAGATAGGGGTAATAAAATAAAAAATAAAATAAAAATGAGGAGCCAGCAAGCAGCCCTAGTTGCTAGCTGGCCAAAAAGGTCTAATGAAAAGAAATAAGGTGAAAATTAAGCTGCAATTTCAACATGGTACAACAATTTTCAAATCTGATGTACATCGAATTTGTAAAGATTTTTGCTTTTAAATTTGTTATCTCTTACAATTCAAATATTTTCACAGCTAAGCGAAAGGATAAGCCAAGTTCAGTCCGAGAGAACTCAATTGGAAGAGGATTATGAAGAGCTGAGGAATAAAAAAGAAGCAATTGCTCAATGGGAAGCGCAAATATCTGAAATCATACAATGGTAATGAATGACCATGTTATGCTATATTTTCTCAATTTAACCCACAAAAAAATGATCTTTTAGGGTCAATGATGAAAAAGATGCTAGAGGGTATTTACAAGCATTAGCCACAAAAATGACAGAAGAGTTAGAATTCCTCAAACATGCCGGGGCTGCTAATGTTTCAAATACTGTGAGTAGATTTTCATTCTTGTGACAATGTGTACTTATAATTCTGTAAACCTTGCTTTAAGAAATACAAGCTTTTTAAATTAAAAACTAGAAATTTATAGGCCCAAATGTTATCTACTATTGTAAAATTAAATTTCATAGAGTGTTAAGTATTATGTGTGATAAGGTAAATAAATTTATTAAGTTAAAACTATGCATTTTTATATTATAGGACAAAAACTGGAGGAACAGAAGAAGCCAGAAACTCGAAAAGATGGAATTACTCAATCTCCAAAGCAGCTTGCAATCCGAAATTCAAGCAAAGACGGCCATAAGTGAAGAATTAAGCAAAACACGATCCGATTTGATAGCGTCTCAAAAGTAAATCCCCTTTGATTTTAATAAATTTTATTTTACAAGGCTATCAAATGGCCTATTGCCTTTTTTTTCTTGCACAGGGAAATGAGGGAATTCCGGCAAAGGTTTGAGAATCTGACCCATGAGCTTAAAAGGAAAGAAATGCAGATTAAAGAACTACAAGGGCGAATTGATTCTGGAGACGGGTGTAAGTGTAATTTATTTTCGTACTGTAGGAATGACTTGTTATTTCACAAAACAAATTACACAATCGGAATGCAAATCAGAAAGTTACTACGTCACATTTCCCTTTGATACACAAGCATGTTAAATATTTGTGCAGTATGTAAGGACTATATTTGTACAATGAAATTTAAAAAAAAAGGAAAAAGTAAAACACTTAAATTCGTGAATATATAAACTGCCATTGTGAGCAGCCTAGTTTTGAAAGATGCTTTCTATCCATATTTTATATTTGTAATGAATCTAGTTCAAATAATTAGACAGGGTAATTAAATGTCAGTTCAATAAAATAATTTTATTATTTGGACCATATTCATGTGCCCATAGTTCAAAGAGAATATTAAAAAAAAAATAGTTAAGTTTTATGAGGCTAGTTTGTAAAGGTAAATGTTTTATTGGCTTTTTAATTAACTTTCCAATCAGTATTTTGTTATATGTTTATATTTAATATGTTTTCTAAAAGGGAAATTAACTTTTTTTTTACAACAGTTTGCAATCATTGCTTAAAAATGATTGTTAATCATTTTTATTGAAAATGTGACTTCCAAAACACATTTTGATTTTCTGTAGATCACAAGTCCGTTGAACAGATGTCCAGTATGTTTTCAGGTACTATTTACATCTAAGATAATACATTTAAAAAAAAATTAATAGTAGTGGAAACATACATTACCTTCAGTGTCAAGGTCTGATGTATCGTTATTAGTATTTAAAAAATTAAAAAAAAAGTAAATTTTTTGCTTGTTACAATATTATTTAGCCACCAATACAGAATGTGATTTAGAGGAGCAGTAAATACAATAATATTAGTCAATTTGTGGATTTGTTATATATTTTTTTGCAATATAGTTAGATGTAAAGATTTAAGTTAAATAAACTGAATTTTCATTTTGTAGAATATAGTCTTGCATGTACCAACTTTCCTTTCTTCTTCGAATTGCTGCATGCTTATTTATATATTTATTGTCATGACACAAAACACCATGCCAAAACATGCACAGATGAATGAATCACAAATGCATGAAAGGACAAAAAAAAACAAAAAAACAACAACACTTATTATAAACTATTAAGGTCATTTTTGTTCGCACCTGCTTTATTCTTGCATGTTAGTTGCATTTGAAAACTGTAAAATTTGACGTTATATCTGTACAAGAAGGAAGAAATGGACCTGCTATAAAGGAAATAAAATGAAATGTATTTTTTAAAATTAAAAACATCCTTCAAATTACAATAAAAAATCAATATTTTCTATCGGTTTCTAAGATATCTTAAAAACACAGTTAGATAAAATACAAATTAAACCACTAAAACATAAATGGTTTAATTAAAATGTTCGAAAGAAATGTCACCAAAACACAGGAATAGTGATAGATTAAAGATCTATCTGTATTCAACTAATTATCTGGTTTTTCTCTTATTAATAACGCGGCTTAAGTCCCCTTGGCATCGAGTAAATAAGCTTTCGGCTTGCGTCTTGTAAAATACAATCCCATTCTTCAACAAGAGCAGTTTGAAGGAGTTGCTGGAAGTGGTAAACGTTGTCTGACCTCTTAATCATGTCCCATAGGTGTTCTAAAGGATGTCAGGAGAACATGCTGGCCATTTATTGTGGTAATCCCTACATTTTCCAAGTAATGGTTGTCATCTCTTGCTATACATGAAGCAAGTATTATGCATTAATGCAAAGTTGTCCCTAATAATAGTAGATGGGACTACAACTTCTGACTGAAAAGGTTGTGACGACACATAGCACATGAAGCAAAATATTCTCCATGTCTTTTCTACACATGGTCCTGATCATCTGATTGCCACAAACCAAACCACCACTCATCTTGAAGAGAAATCCCCTTATCGTTCTGTGGTTCTACAAATTTATTATTTCATCAAAGAAAATACAATAATTTAAAAAAACAATTAACTCACTCGACAAATTGGTTCTGGAATTTTTAAAATATACTTTTACCTAAAGAGAGTAAAAGGATTAGTAACCCTTCATAAAGGTAAAAACAAATTATTAATGTTTACATTTTAAGGAAGATTAATTTTTTTAATGAATATATACAACAAATCTTAGCTAGATTACACAATACATAAGAAAAGTTTGTTTATTGTTTTAAATTGATTATTATTAAAAAAAATTATTACTGTTATATTGTACCTAATTTATTTATTATCACCACTGTATATCTAGTAAATAATGAATTTTTTTTTTTTTTACGAATTTTTTGTGAACACTAAAGAATGCTTTGTAGGAGTTAATGAAAAAGTCATAAAAACATAAGTAGATTCATTCAACACACATAAAATTTGCTTTGTTCAAACTTCACAGGTTTTTTCTTAATGAGTGTAACTTGGTTGATGGAAGGTACAGGTTTTAAATTGTTTGGTACTATACAGTTTGCTTTTACTTAAGAGAAAATCCACACACAAAAAAATAAAAATGCATCCTACTAATAATGTATTATGATTTAGATCAAACTTTCTTTTTTCAAATGCATATTTCTCTGTAACTGTTTTATTACTCGATGTAAAGGTAGCTATGAATAAAATGTTGAAATAAGATTAAGCAGGGGTAAATTTGAATTTTGCAGTTTTCAAGAAATATATGTACATAATAACATTATTATTAAGGAAAATATGTCAGCTTAAATTTTGCTCTGTATATGGTAAATGCTTCTGATGGTGACTTGAAAAAAGAAGCTATCGCCTTTTTAAACTGAAAAGTAATACAATTGAAAAATTGGCATTTCCAATCATCTTTTTTGAAGACATTAACTTTTCAAGTTCTTCCTTTTATTTTTAATTTTTAATTTGCAGCACATTCAAAACACTTATCCGTAAAAAATATCTTATTTGGTATTTTTGCGTTTTCTCTATTCTCTTTTCGGCCGTATACTGCATGGTAGTTATTTTCTTGTAGACACGATGCCACTATTTATTGGAGTGACAGGCTGCCTGTGGGGGTTGATACTTCTCATCGCTCGAATATATTTCTGACTTTGGTTTGCGTCGCCACTCGGTAACGTACTTGTGTGTGTGCGCTTGTTGGATTAGATATGGCATGGTTTTTCAATTTTGAACTGTCTGAAATTTTTCTACTTCCTACTCATCTGAAAATGTTAACTAAACAATTTCACAATTTTCCGTATCATTCGCAGTATTAAAAAAATCATATTTCATATTTTAATACAACTCACAAATCAGTACATTGTTCTTTAATCGTTTCAGTAATGTTTATCTTCTTTCCAAATCAGTAATAATAGATAAGAAATAAACCCGAAAGCATAATCTGTGTTATCTAAGGTAAAATGTGTTCAGGTGTTTTGTTAATAAAGGCCTTGAGTTATTATCTGCAAAGGTCTCGCTGGAAGGAGTACATTTTACACTTTCATCTGCAACGCCTGTTTAAATAACCTGGTTTTCTGCTTTGAATTGTTGTTTATCATTTGTACCATTGTAATTTTCCTTAAAAATAACCACTGGTGATGAGTTTTGAGAATTCAGAAAGAGAAATATTTGTGATAATTGTTTCATTTTCTGTGAACATTTTTTTATTGTTGCTTATGTGAAGAGGTGTCGGTGCTTCTAGTGAATGCTGTGTATGTATATTGTTTAGTCTTGGAGCGTGCTTCGTCCCAGATGTCCTACCTTGGTGCATTTCTTAATAAGGAAGCTACAGCTGGTTCTGTGGAAAGTGACGACGCAGACATAGAGGATAACAGAGCTCCTTCGATAACAAGTAGCAAGTCTAATTTATCTGAGATAAGCATTGTAAGTTTTAAGGTAACTTTACCTAAACTATTAAATTATTTTACAAAAAGTACAATTTGAAGCTCATTGCAGAACATTCAAAACTTTTTTCTTTATGTTCGTACACTAATATTTGTATACATTGCAACTGAATAATTTCATTGTTATAGGAAGCTTCTTAAATTAAATAATATTTTTGTTAGATATATTTTGTGTAAATACTAAATTGATTTCTTTTTATGTATTTATCGGCCTTCTTATGTCATATATGTTGTATGAGTATTGTAGGATTTTGGATCGATACTCATACAACAGTTGTGACTAAATCTACTTATGCACTTTTTATTTTTATTATCAGATTACACAAAATGTAGTTTTATTTTTATATCAAGAGATTTTTTTGGGGGTGATGGTCATGGTAGTTTATCGTGGTTTTTCACACTTTTCCTATTGTCAGAAAGGTTGGAGGGTAATATAATTTTTTTGTTTAACTTTTTTGTATAGTCAAATATTTCATTGATTACACAAAAAAAAAATGGTAAACAGTATTTTCAAGATTCAAAATTGTTTGCAGGGAGCAATGGGCCATACACTTCCACCCAAGCCAAAGTCTCATCAGTTCTTGATAAGAACTTTCAATTCCCCGACGAAATGTTCCCACTGTACGTCTCTTATGGTAGGCTTAACAAGACAAGGCGCAGTCTGTGACGCATGTGGCTTTACATGTCATTCTTCGTGTTGTATGAAAGTACCTCCAATCTGCCCCGTACCACCAAACCAAAGTAAAAACAATATAATTTAAAACTATCCGATGTATTCTTAATTATCATGGAATTTCAGGTAAAAGGCCATTAGGGATAGATCCCACGCGTGGCATTGGCACGGCTTATGAAGGTTATGTGAAAGTTCCCAGGATGGGTGGTGTGAAGAAAGGTTGGGCAAGAAAGTTTGTGGTTGTCTGTGACTTTAAGTTGTTCCTTTATGATATATCCCCGGATAGAAATGCCTTACCTTCAGTTTATGTTTCACAAGTGTTAGATATGCGTGATGAACATTTTCTAGTTACTAGTGTGGGTGATTCAGATGTGATACATGCTACTAAAAAGGATATACCCTGCATATTTAGAGTGAGTATTAACAAAACTTCTATATTAGATATTGATATAATTTTAAGAAACATTTTTAAATTAATTATTGGTTCATTAATTTTTTAAAATTAATTTATTATTATTATTTTTATTTTGATAATATAATCTCACGCTTTCTGTTCATACAGTTCATAAATGTAATTTTTTTGTAATTTTGGGAAATTCTGCAAACTTTTCATATATAACATTTATATTTCATTTATTAAAACTGGCTTGAGTTCATATGTGTAGTGCATTTCTTTTAATTTCAAGTAATCAATTTCAGATAACTACTTCTTTAATGGATCCTCCTGGTATTAAAAATCATACTTTGATGTTGGCGGATTCGGAAAGTGAAAAAAATAAATGGGTGGTTGCTTTAACAGAACTTCATAGGATTTTGAAACGAAACAACCTTCCCAATACAGCAGTAAGATTAAACAAACACAAAATAGGAACTGTTTATTTATTTATTTTAATCTTGATTCTATATCATTATGCTTTTCAGGTTTTCCAGGCGAAAGAGGTGCTTGACAATACGCAAACGTTTATCAAGAACACAATGTCAGCGACAATTGTCGATCCGGATCGTCTAGTCATTGGAACGGACGATGGTCTGTTATGTTTAGATCTTGATCGAAGCGAAGTCGCCCGAATCGGCGAAAACAAGAAAGTGTATCAGGTTGAACTGGTGCTGGATGAGCAAGTTGTCATAGTTGTTGCTGGAAGGCAGAGACAGGTGAGACTTGTGCCTGTCAGAGCCTTAGATGGCCATGAAGTCGAGTGGATCAAAGTTGCTGAAACAAAATCATGCATCACATTCTGCACTGGTGTAATGTGCCATGCTCCTCAACCAATTTACTGTCTGTGCGTAGCTATTAAACGACAGGTATGTTAAATGTTTTCTCTCCTTACCATTCCATTTAATTATTTCATAAAATACTTTTCAGAATACTTCTCAAATAATAATATATGAAATTACGAGGACTAAAAGCAGGCATAAGAGGCTTAGGGAAGTTATGCTTCCAACTCAAGCTCACTGTATGCAAATTTTTGCTGACGGTAGACTTTGTGTTGGTTACCAAGCTGGATTTTCAGTATACTCAATTCTTGGAGATCATCATCCTGTTTGTAAGTTTTGGAAGTCAAATGTTACAAAAACAAGCATACAAGTTTTTCTTTTGTTTTTCAGCGTTGATTCATGCTGACAATCCTCTTCTTGGTTTCCTCGCATACAGCGGTGTAGATGCAATGCTAGCTGTAGAACTTGGACACGGAGAATACCTTCTCGCTTTCCACACCCTAGCCATTTATGTGGATAGCCAGGGTAGAAAATCGAGAGATACAGAAATTATGTACCCAGCAATACCTCTGGCAATAAGTAATTAATATAAAAATTCAATAAAGAAATAAATTTATAAATTTTTTAACTTATTTTCAGCATACTGTGATGGGCATTTGTTAGTGTATTCAGATACCCATATTGATGTTTTTAATGCAAGTACTTCTCATTGGGTTCAGACAATAAATGTTAAAAGGGCTCGTCCTTTAAATACTACAGGAACAGTGAGCATGTGCACTATTAATGACATGACACATATCATTCACATTTCAAATATTCATCAATGTAAGTTACTACCTAGTAAAGATTGCTATAATTTAATTTTTATTCTTATTAACTTTATTTAAATGAATTAGGTGAGTTGTTAAATATAACAATATACGATTCAAATGGAAGAATGGTAGCAAAACCAAGAAGGAAATTTTCCCTACGGGAAGGTCATAGAATAGCAAGAGGGTTAGCTCATACACTTTTTCAAGTTTTTGTTCTTTGTTTATTTTGAGGTATTTATAACATAATTTATAGGCCTGATAGAAGATCTAAGATGATATCAGCCCCTACCAACTTTAATCACATATCACATATGGGCCCTGGTGATGGCATACAAATTCAACGGCTGCTTGATCTTCCAACAACAATAGAAACAGCAGATCATCATCATCGTGTAAATATTATTGATTGTTGAATAAACCCTTGAAATATTTACTGAACTGGGCAAAATACTGCCAATTATCTTCTTTCAATTAATTAATCTTTTTATGTAAGGTATTGGTTGAAATGAAATAGCTAGTGTCCCAGTGGGATTCGCCAATACCTTACATAAAATGATTAATTGAAAATATTTTTTGGTCAACCGGACCATGAAATATAATGGACTGCCAAATATGTTATTTAAAATGTTCTGGGGTGAGAAAGTGATGTCTGGAGAGTGAAAGTAATTTATTAGCATGAATGGGGATTTAAATCCGCTCTAAGGGATATCGAAAAATCTGGGGGGGGGTAAATGTTACTAGAATCATTTTATGTTGACGGTACGTGCAGTACCATGACGGATGTACACTTCTGGCTGTCTGTCAGGGGTCTGTACTCTGTGACAGTTTGCTAACTTTTCACCATGACATTGCATGGGGGTTCCTTGATGGCATTGTATTGTTGGTTTTTTGGCAGGGGGGCAGGACTCACTAGCTTATCTGTTTCATTCATACCCCAAACTTTATAAATATGTCTTGATGTACGGTTGAGATTTAAATAAATAGCAAATTCTACACCCTTCTCTGGAACCGCTGAGATCCAAAAGTGACCTACTGCATTTCTACATTTACTTTCTAAAGGTAAAAAATAAATTATGGGATTCCCTACGATCCGTGCCTCATTGGGTTATGATGGGGTACCCTGGCATCCGGATAGGGAAGAGAATTAAAATGACAGGAATCTCTGTCTTCTGAAAGTGTGAAGATCCTGGTCCTGTCCCAATAGAGGGTACATTATTTGTCCATTCTCAAGGACCGAGCTGGGGTTATATTCAATAAGGGGTGGGAGTCCTCGACTGGATTAGAGACAATTTTTCAGCTATTGAGGCATAAATATTGTTTGCTATATTATCATGTCCCCTTTAAATATTATTTAAATTTCCTCGTTGAGGTTTAATAATGTAAGTATTATGGGTTAACTTGCTAAGACGAGCTATTCACTTTTCCTTATGAAACAAGAAACAACATTTAAGTCCCAATAAAATGATTGTTATTTTTTATATTTATTTTAGACATTGAGCACCGGTTCTTCTGGAAAAGTACCTCCTCAGCAGTTACCAAGGATTCCTCCCCATCATCCTCCAAGGACTCCACATCAGTACAATTCCCAAAATGGTATTCATATTTAAGATTCTTATATATTTTTTGTTATTCGCTTTATTTCTCATTGGTCATACTATTACAGGTGTGAATATGCGGAGAGCTCCGGCTCCGCCCAGGCCGACTGTAACGCCCCCAGCTCTCCCAAGGACGCCCGATGTTCATGATGAACTTTCTCTTATCCACCATGATATGCAGAAGGTAAATAATTTCAAGTCATTTGTAGGAAGGAAAACAATTTCAGGGTCATGTCGATTTATTAACTGACGAGTTGTGTTTTGATGGCAATAAAGGATAGTACAGTTAAGCACTGAAGATACATTTTATTTTTTGTTTAGAAGAACATCTTCTCAAACTGGACATTGTCATTAAAAAAAAGGTATAAATCGATTTTTGGGGGTTCAGCTAAAGCATTGACAATTCTAACATAATTAACGTAGAAACAACATACATTAACCAGTATTGATTTGAATAATCATGATTTTTTTTTGTTTGAGTTGAGTAAATATAATAACTAAATAATAGCAGTTCTTCAATAAACAAAGAATTTCAACAGAAGTTGTCCCTCAAAAATGTTTACAATTTTTATTTGGGGAATGTGGTGGCTGAGTCATTAAGATGTCAAGCATTTGCTACGCTAGCGATTTTGGGTTCGAATCCTAGTACAGCCTTTGGAATTTTTAATCAAACTAATTTGAAAAAAGTATTGTAAATTGGTTTGATTTGAACCTCGTCTAAAACAACCACTGGGTAGTTGGACATTAAAGCTGTGTGGCAGGGATTACTTTCCAATTGATATTTCAGTATTTTAAAATGTCAAGGCAATTTTTGAGGGCTTCTTCTTTTCGAAAGAAACATTGTTAAAATATAAAGATGAATTGGCTATAACAAGTAGTTACACTGCATTTGTTAGTGTGTAACTAACAACATCAACTTTAAAAATATTCATTTATCGCTGCAGGTTTTGTTTTAAGCATTGCCATAGAAATATTAAAAGCTGAAAACATGCTATTACCATAAAATGATGTTTATCATTACAATAACACGCATGAAAGATTAGTGTATTTTTGTAATGTTTTTTGGTAGTGTTATTTAAGAAACTAAAAATAAACATGAAAATCTGCTGTGAAAAGTCAAACTTAAATTTTGCTTTCATAAAAGATTAAATTTGACCTTTGATCGGTTAATGGGTTTATCATTAAAACCATGTTTTTTCATAAATTTGTATCTTAGACATTCTTTGACTCTGGTATAAATAAAAAGTGTCTCTCATTTTTTTAACTCTGAAAATGTACAACACAATGTTTTACATAGGTTGCATATTTTTTATAGTTTGGTTGTTTCTAAATCATTTTGGCCTGCTTATCCTCTATGTTTTGAACTTTTTAACTTCTCACCATATTCAATGTACTGTCACATATGCTCTTCACTGAAGGTGGCGAGAAGCCAAAACAGTGAGAATAAGCAGACTCCACATTTATCATCTGGAAACCTCAAGAGACCCCCAGTACATATTGTTTATTTTAAATGTTTTATTCTTAAAAACATGATTTATTGAATTTTTTTTACATTGATTTGTTTCCCTTAAACTTTACAAGATCATTTTGCTAAAGTGTGCTTTTTATTTCTAAATAATTTTTCTAATTGAAAATTAATTTATATTTATTAATTAATTTTCTAATGGAAAATTAATTTATATTTATAAATTAAACTTGTTAGTATAAATTAAACAAATGACTAATTTCACAGTAATTGATCCTCATGCCATTTAAAGATATTAGTTTCCAATTTACAAAAGAGAAAACTAGTAAAATGTATAAAATTGTTGACATTGATTGATGACGGATATTAGAAGAATACGATAGTGCAAAACGAACATTGAAAAACTATGTTTACAGATTTCCAATTAAAGTGTAATGATTTTTATTTTGGTTTTTCTTTTTTGTAGGATGGTGCAGGAATGATGGGAAGCCCAAGACATTCTATAGCCTCGAACAACAGCAGCAACCCCAGCACACCTCCGAGCCCAGGTAGGGACCATGGATCATCAAGCTACGATTCTTAATACCGCGTTTAGCCAATAGTTTTTAAGGGAAAACAACGTTATTTAAAAATAGCCTATTATCCTCAAAAAATTTGTAATGTGTGTTTTGCGCGCGTGTGGGTCATTTACCATGAATTTGACTAATGTATTTCCCATTTATTATCCTTTTGTAGATAATGTGTATATTTTTATTTATGTATAGAAACATATATAACCTACAAAATGATACACTGATAGAATATAAGTGATGTGCTTCAAAGCGAAGTTATCCCCTTAACCCATAATTTTGGGTTTGTCTGAAAGGGAGAGCACAGTGATAACAAGTGTTGTTGGCCGTTGTGAAAGTATTAAGACCATGTAGTATAGATGCACATATTATTTAGTTTTAAGATAACCGATTACCTGAATTATATATAAATAATATATTTATCATGATGAAATACGAATAACTTGTAAATAAATTAGTCTTTTTAATTTTTTAACTATATAACTTATTATTTCATATAACTTTCTTTTAACTTTCATTTTCTGCTCTAAGTTACTCATTGGATATGCTGAATTTTATACGTAATCAAGGCCTGAATCGCACTGATAAAAACTAATTATCTATTGAATAAAAATCAGTTTATTTCATTAAAATCGTGAGTGGAAAATATCAGATATTTCTTTCATATTCTGCATTGCTCGAGATGTACATAGATATGGCTGTGTAAAAATGTTTTTACAAAATGACATATAGTCGTATTGACAATACAATTAAAATGAGTTCTGCACAAAATCTTTTCTCTGTTTAATATTTGGTACATGTTTGTAAGGCTGCTTAAAGGAATAATATATGTATAAATAGTGGAAAGCTCTCTTCTAAAGTCTTTATTTATTTGAAAGGTGTCCTTATTTAAAACATTTTTATACTGTTTTTCTTGTGCTTAATGTAATCCACTTAGATGTCTGATTCAGTTAATTTTAAGCAACATTGTCATTTTGATCAGATCACTATTTCATATTAAATCACAATTGACAAAATATTCTTTCAAATAATCCAATTGTATAATAGGTACAACGAATTTTTTCCCCATATTTGCAATGAATGTTACCAAAATAAATAAATGTTGCATTAGACATATGAAATTGATGAAAAAATGGCTGTTTATATGAATTGATTTATACTGCTGTTATGGAAATACATCACAAGTGCATTTTTTCATTAAAAAATATATTTAAGAAAAAATTATATATCAATATAACAGGGGCAATTAAAAGCACATATTTTCGTGCAAAACAACCAAAGGGACAAAGTACTTTTTAACTTCTTGAGCGATTTTTAAAATTGTATGTCCTTTGTTTTATTTGTATAATTAGATGTAGTAACTAAAATTCATTTGACAAGGGAAATAATAAGTGCTTGGAGAAAATTTGTACTGCAAAAATTAATGTAGACAAAATATTTATTAAAAGTTTTTATATAGAAGATTAAGAGTGATAGGTTCCTGCTTTTATGCAACAATATTAAAAAAAAATATGCACGAAAATGTACTTTTGTATATAGAAGTGTATTTATAAGATCTAAATTAACAATTAAAATGAAAATTTTTATTAGACAATTCTGCTCAAGTAATCATGATTATACTTCCACTGTTGTTGAACTTTAATAAAAATTAATAAAAAAATTAGATATAATGTAATTTGATATACCGTACTTGTAAGGCAATCTCACCAGTCAGTTATTCAAAAACCCATGAAATTGCAATAATAGAAATTAAGTAATTAAAAATGTCATTATGTAGATAATGAATAAATCCATTTGTTTAGTCAATTGTAAGAATTGACTTCTTTATATAAATTTATATATGATTTTTTGTATAGTTTCAAACATTTTCAACAACCAAGTTGTGCCATTTTATTTTTAACACAGAAATTTGTCATGAAATTTATACCAGTTTAATTATTGGTTTGTAGTGGACACTGAGCAGGCTTTAAGGAAACATCTTCCCTTATAACATCATCTAGTTAAAAACCTAGATTTGTTATTACACATTTTGTACAAAGTTAATCGGTACCTACTGTATGCTAAATAAGTAAGAGAAATATGCTATATGTATTTTTTAGATCACTCTTACATATCTTCCAGATTTAAAAAAAATGTCTGTTAAGCGATAAGTTTCTACATTACTTTCTATTAATATTTTGCGCAGAATTTTTAACAAAACTTTACTACTCGATTATTATTTATAATATTTTGTTTGAAGATTGGTAAATTAAAAGCAGATCTTGTTTAAAAAGTTGGTCATTCTTTTTACCCAAAAAATCTTAAAAGATAGCTTTTTTTCATTTTCAGATAAATAAATTCTGGCATTGCTGTTATTAGGGGCTGTTAAGTGTGAAACGATTTCTCACTTTTTTAAGGTAAGTGCAAAGTAGTTAAAAAGTTGATGAAAGTATTATTTAAGAAATTTCCCTTGTGGGAAGTGTACTTTTTCAACTTATCAGCAACTGCTTAAAACTTTAAAATACAATATTTAGATATATATCAAACCAAATTCTATATAAAGTAAAATTGCCATAATTGAAAAGTACTTATTTATTACATTACAATTTGTGTGTGCGAGACAAATTGTGAATTTTCTCCGGTGGTCTGTGGTTAATGAACTGACAGTTTGGTCGTTTTTAATTGTTGTCGTTTTAATCCACCACTGAAGATGATGAGAAGTTAAAACTTGTCTGACAGACAAAACAGTGAGGATAGGCAAACCAAAATGATCAAAAACAGCCAAACTACATTGTTTAAACTTTTAATTCTTTCATCTGAGAACATCCCAAAGGGACAAACTTCACTGATGTGAATAGAATAATTAAAAAGCAGTTTTTGATCTTGTAGCAACAAAAAAAATTCTTTTTATATTATTCAACAATAAAATACACCAAGTACGTAGTATTAAGAAAGTAGTAATTTTGATTTTTCATAGATGAAGCTATGTTGAACTGGCACTGGGTCTGTTCTCAGTTAACAGTCTCTCACTGAGGATGGCACAAACAAAATGTTTGTTAGTGACACCGAAACTCGTGGGTAAGAGACACATTTATCAGTGCCAGTTCTACATATATTCGCCAATTTGCAGACTATTGAGTCCAAAATTCACCATCAAATCATTAACGATCATAAAATACTTAATTGATACTATCAAAGAATATTCCATGGACAACAGTTGTAAATGAGCGGCTACGATTATATCAATTAGGGCCTGTCCTATGTCGGTAAAAATGTGCCAGCTGGTTAAAACTCCAAACCGGGTTACTATCAAAACATCAAATATGGTATAAAGCTGAAATGTATCTTATTCCTTATGAAACCCAGAAATAACCATTTTTAACAAATTTGGCTTTTTCTTTTTGAATTTTTTTTCATTTTTAACGAGGGTATTTCAACTATGAGGTTATATGAACCCGAGGGATGCCGATGCTTTTGAAAAAAAATTGTGTCGGATTTGAAGGCTGATGTGTACCTTACAGTGATGAGCGCTGTGCCAACTTCTAAATCGTTGCGGCCACCAACGCTCCTGATATCTTTAACGTTAATATCTAAAATTGTGGCTTATTATTTTCTTCCCTTGATTATGTTGTGTATTCCATTAGTTTGGTAAAAATGATTGAACGCCTTAAGCAATAAAAACAATTAATTTTGATTGTATAATATATATTTATTGAAGTTAAAAAATATTAATGACAAAGGCAGATTATAAAATAAATTTATTGTGTTGTCTAACACATTACACAAATGTGTTTATTAAAATAAAACCTGTCAAGTTATTGCGTCACAACATAAATTTTGGATTTTAACTTACGTCAATTTTATGTGTTGAGACAGTAATGTAACAAATATTAGAAAGACAAAAAAGAAAAAAAGAAGCACTCTCAACCGATTTTTCATCTATTACTCATGTCCACATCTTACATTAGTTTTCTTTTCACAGTATGCATATATAAAAACTTATACTTTAATTATCTATTTACATAATACAGTTAATTTAAAAAGTCTTATTTGAATAAATTTAAGTTTATTAAAAACAGTCGTAGAACAATGGTAAATAAACAACAAGAAATATAACTCTTTGGTAATATATATTTGTAATATATATTTATATAGTTAATTTTAATTTTCTTTGGCAATGTACAAACACAATGCAGGACGTTATTTATTTAAATTTATTGTTTATCTAACATTTGTTTTAAATTAAATTTTTATAAAATTCTTGCAAACAATTGTGCTTAAAAGTTTTTCTATTTGCTTCTCCAAATTGGAAAATACAATAGATTTCAATTTATAAAATAATAAATAAGTAAATGCCACATATATAATTCAAACCCAAGTTACCTAATTCAGATTGTGCTCTGTTGACAAAATGTATCCCAAACATTATGGGAATGAGCATTGTATGTCTTTTGTTCAACTTGTAATCTAAAAACTCAGGAATGAATAAGAGAAATATCGAGGCACAAATTTTTGTTGTTGTTTGTTATTAAATTTAATCTTTCTTTTCTCTAACTTCATGTTATAATGGACTAGGATCATTGGTGTTTTCCCTTTGAGAGATGGTATATTGAAGAGCGTTCGGAGTTAGCCATTCTCTTGGAAGACAACGTTGAAGAAATGGGACTCGAGTACTGAAATAAGCCAACCGATTTACCCACGATGGAATCTCCTCTTCGCAGAGAATCTGAAAAAAATTTTTTTTGAGAAACACACTTGAATGATTTGGATAAAAAAAGAGAGGAATTCAATGAATGCCATTACCTTAGTAAAGGCGCAAGAAAAATGATTACAGTTTTTGTGCATGAGGTGGTATTGATTTCCTCTGAATTCCTTTCCGAGCTCATCTATTATCCTTTTGACATCACTCTCAGTAAAATCAGTGTACCCAATTAGCACTGATTGTCTGAGGAGAAAAAAAAGAAGTAAAATACTAAAAACATCACAAATGAGTTTTTTTATTATTATTTATTTGTACCTAAACTTATACTGGTCTCCCAATTCTGAAGCCTTCCTAGGCGAAATAGGAAATATACCAGGGAATGAATGCGGATGACCTCCATAAGTATATTCTAAAAATAAAAAAAAGAAACTTATGATATTTAAAATTAAACAAAACATAATGGAATTTAAAAAGAAACTAAATTTAGATTCAGTAAGACAAGATCAACAATTTACCTTGGCCATAAACCTCAACTCCTGAATGGTAAACTCCCAGGCCAATAGAAGTTGTGTAATCGTTTGTCCAATACTGAAAACAATTTAGACAATATGAAATGTGATTTTTTTTAAACCATCATAATATGTGTTTATATCAGCGTGAAGCTTTTGTAAGACAAATAATTTTGATTTAACATAAATGGACAACTAATTCAAAATTTGTCAATTACAAAATTATTTTGTTTTTCTCTTTCTACAAATTTTGTATGTCTGTTGAAAAATTAAGCACCTTTCATATGGATCAACATGAGTCTACTCTTAGACTTAAAACTTTTCATATCAGCAGTTTGGTAATTTCTTATTGTAGAATTGTGAATCCTGTGATTAGACACACCAATATTATTTGAGATGATCAAATTGTCAACAAATATTCAACCCAATCCAATTTAAAACATCTCAAGAGCAACCCTGAATTTACAATGCTTATTCTTTACACATAAGCCGAGTACCCATGAACAAAACATCTTTTGAATTACTTATATAAACTGAAAAAAAAAAAAAATACTACAGGCCATACCATATCATAGACATTTAAAATAATGGGTTCCCGAGCCATCGTTTTTCCAAGAAGATATTCGTCGCTATCGCTCCCTAATCGCAAGCAACCAGGGAAAGGCAGTGTGCAACCTAAAATCAAACATTGGAAAATATGACTAGGGAAAAAATAAACATCAGCACAAGTATCATTATTAATTAATAGCATTAAGTTGTTCTCAGATTGATGTCATAAAGAGATGATCAGTTCATATTGTTTTAAGTGTAAGTGAATGATATACAGATTATAAAATGAATATTGGCCTAATAATAATTTAAAAAAAAAAAAACAAAAAAAAACATGCAATAGTCATTTAAGCGAAAGGCATTTTTCAAATAGCAGTACTATAGAGAAGGATATATTGCTGTGTGCCACTTTCATTCAGGTGATATAAATTACAAATAAATTTAATTAATAAAGCAAAACAGTAGTTGTCATAACTTCATTCCTTGAATTTAACCATCCAAATCTGAAGATTGTTGAAAAAAAGTTGTAAAATATATATTTTCTATTTTTTCTGACATTCAGCTCTTCTCATGGAGCCAACTTCAGAAGTATGTATACATTATAATGTGCACTTTTTAGTCACAATTCTTTACACTTACAAATTCTCCTGATTCGTCTCTTCATAACCCAATCTAAAAAAAGCACATAATACATACAACCCTGAAAATGACTCCAAGAGAGCCAAAATATTGGAAAATATAAAGGCAAATATGAGTTTATAAAAACAACTGATTTCTGTCTTCTCTGGCCGACTTCTTGATTAACAACGTAAGTTGTTATTCAAGGTACATGAAACATGGAAAATTGAAACATAAATCTTGAAAGTGCTGTTTTATTATTAAAATAACTTTTAAACACAAGTTTACATTCATTAATTTATTAATGAAGTTAACACTTTTCCAAGAAACCACTTACTGATATATTTATGTTTATATATTTATGCTTATCCATAGAATACGTAAGTAAATGTAGTAACAGTGTGATAGTAAAAATTGAAACTTTATTCTGCTACATTTTCAGCAGTTCCAAACTCTCTTCAAACTCTTTAAAAACCGATAAAAAATAAAAAAGCATGCTAACAATGAAATATAGCCTAACGGAAAAAAGGTGTTATTAAACCATTTTTACAAAATACTTCCATTTTAATATTCAATTGTAATATTAAAATGACACATGAAATGTTTGGAACACCAAAATTCAACCAAATATTGTAAGCTGAACTTAAAAATTGAAATGTCCAGGCCTAACAGCAGCCAAAGGTCTTTATTTTTAGAGCAAATATTGCTATAGTCAACGCCTTATCAAAAGAAAACAAAACTATAAATCCTTTCGCACATATTGTTTCCTTCAGCACTCTTGTAATGTTTAAAGCAAAAACCGGATTTATTTGTTTATAAAAATATGTTTAATCTGTTTTGTGCTGATATGACAATGTGACTCTTTTCTTTACTGATTAGACAAAGTGTGATCATTTTAATAACTCCTTTATTTCAATCCCAGAAAGGAAAAGCCGAGGTGTTTCATGACGTTTTCTCAGTCTGCAAAAGTGTACAAATACCGTTTTGAACAAAGAGAATTTGAAACTCACATCGTCTGTTTTCATGACAATGTGTCAATGGCGTTTTGTAGTCCTTCCCACGTTTTGAAGATTTTTTCTAGACAAGTAAAAACAAAGATCATTGACATACAAAGGCCTGACTGTACGATCATCTATATTATCGGCCAGACCATTTACCTAATATCAAATAAAGAGACGCTCAGAACCGAACCCTGAGGAATCCTGTTTTCTTGAATTAACATACTGGATAAGGCAGTACCTAATCTCACCCGGAATCTCCTCATTTCGAGGAAGCTTTTTGAAAATTTAGCTATGTTCCCTATCATCGGGGGCATCGGTGGCCGCAACTGTTTAGACGTTGACACGGCGCTCATCACTGTAAGGTAAAGGTCCTGGGTTTAAATCCAGCGGCCCTGCATTTGAACCTGGCAAACTTACAAATGGGCTTGATATGACCTCTGCTGTTGTGAATCCTTGTAAAAAAATTATTACTAGAGAAGATATATGTATTGTTATCGTTAATTAATTACAACTTAGTTATTTTAATGTGTGGTGATTAGTGACTGTTAATCGATATTTATTTAGAAATAAAGAAAATGTTTTTCTGAAACCTACATCACACCAAACCGCATCTCACGATTTCTAAATAAATAGTTATTTTAATGTAAACCAAATTAAACGGGTTATAATTAACACATATTTAATTGTGACAGTTTGAAAGGAAATTCACCAAATAACCAGAAATTCATTTGGTGATAAATGAATTTAACAAACAATTTATTACCTGTTTGGACTTAAGGTAGATAAAAAAATTGTTAGATAAATTTTAAATAAGTGGGAGAATATGTAAATATATCTATGTTCTTCAATTACATATTGCAACCATAAATTGCAGATTGTAATCAAATATTGAAACAAAAAAAAAGGTTTTGTCATGAATTTTTGATCTCATTTAATTTGGTTTACATTAAAAGTACATTAAGTATGTTGTCATTAATATAACAATAAAAATGCATATAGTTTGAAATAAGCAGCAAAATGTGTCTCGTTTTTGTCTTTAAGAGTATATTTCGTCATTATTGAACAAAGCATGGCCAAATTTTAAAGGGTTCATCTCGCAAATGATGAAATGTGTCATGTATTCCAGCAAAACATGGTTTAGTAAAAATGAAAAATAATGGTGGAATGGGGACAGCTGGAAATCAATATTTCATTGTGGCCCTGTCATTAGAATTCAAATCTATATGCACTCTAAAGAATTGCTACTCTTTTCCACTTTGTACAACAAATTCTAAGAAACTCATGCAGATATGTGAGAAAAATAAGTTCAATAAAGGGACTTTGTGTCACAAAAGAAGAACAAGAAAGAAAAGGAGATCTCCAGATCATAAATTTAATTCATAAAAGTGATTTTTAATCAATTCAATGGGATAATCAAAAATCAAAGTAATAGCTTATTAAAATATAATTTATATAAGATAATATATAATTTATTTAATTAAATAAATAAAATTATATTTATATTATTAGTTGGTAGCATAATTAAAAGTATATGGTTATACATTATCTTATATTCAAGATCCATTCATGTTTGGACAAAAAAAAAGTGGTCAAGCCTTCAGTAAAATGTATGTAAAATTGTATATTAAATAAGCTATGTTATAACCCTTAATTTCAAGCGACTAAAATCCAATCATTTAATTATTCACAATAACTGTTATCAAACAAACATTATTCAACTTGCTGATTGGCCAAAATGTGTTAACCATTTTAGAAAACCAGTGGTCAAATTGAGAAATGTTTCAAAATAGAATTTCCAAACAGGATTGTAGACGAAAAATAATGTAACATGACTATGGCCAAACTAATATATAAATATTCAACAATGACTTAATGGAATAAATCAATTAATTGTTATACATTTCATGACTATGTTATGTGGTTGATGTTTGTTGATTATTATATATTTTAAGATTTTTATGTTAAATTAAATTTGTTAGTACTTATTTCTGCTGTGATGTTCACTGGAAATAAAATAGAACTTTAAACTTGATTAATTACACTTATATAAAAATAATAAATTACAAGTAACAAAAGTCTGTGCGTTTTTTTTCAGTTATTGTAAGCAACGATGTATGTGTGTACTTTAGTGACCAGTTGGTCAATAATTTGTTGAAGTAGTGAAGAGACATCAGGAATACACATTTTTCATTTTTTTCTGTTTTGACATTTTGACCTTTTTTCAGGTCATCTTCAGGGCATGGGTGAATTTTTACAATCAAGATGAAGATGACATGAAAAAAGATCGAAACATCCGCAAAAAAAATTAAGAACTTTTTTATTTAAATACTTCATTCCTTACTGCTCCTCACACTTCTACAATTTAATGTAATCAACATAAAAAATAAATAAATAAACTTAAAAAAATAATATTAGAGTTTGCTATCGATTTAAAATCATTTTCTTCTGGTGATCAGCAGTATTAACTAATTTAGAAATATACCTTTAAAGAGACTTTAATGAGATTATGGAGCATAGGGAAGTGATAAAGAACTTATATGAGAAGACTGGACCGATATAAATTAATCAAGGTGTCTGACAAGGATGTTGTTTATCACCTGTTCGTTTTACAACTACATCGACAATTGGCCTGTCAGTGGTAGTGTGAACTAAGAACCGGCATGCATATACCTACATCCAAATGAACCCACTTCTGTTTAAGAATGATCAGGTAGTTATAATTGATGATTTCCAATGTGCTCTTTTCCCTTTCAACTAGACACGAAAGTGAACTTGAACATATCCTCCAGCAAAAGCAAATAATGGTCTTTGAGGGTAAATGACTAAAAATAGTCATTGATAACACAATAGTCAAGTGTTGCATTTTACCTTCCTTGACTGTGACCTGAGCCAAGAGTGAGACAATGACCACAAAATTCACCAAGCTCTTGGGGGGGGGGGGGTATAAAGAAACAGAGCTCAAATTTTACAAAGTTATGGCAACACCAGTGCAGAAATGTGGTAGCAAATCTTTGGCATTAAAATAAATCCAAGCAGCACAAATTTTTACTGAGTGTCAAGGGTTATTGAGAAAAATGGATTGTACTAAAGCCATCCCAGAGGATTTGAGAATATATCAAATAATATGGATCTCGATATGGTCTTGATGAAAAAACAAATTCTTTGTTACTGCCAAGCTTTCTACCTATTTTAGGGTCATCACCAGGGCAAATAATCTTAAATAATGTCATAGTTTTTAATATATGGTTTCAATATGGTTTCAAATTTCTTTGAAGTCTGACTCAGTCTCAACATTGCCAAGGACTGTAAACTGTTCTACCAACTTGAATCAAGAGTGTTACAGTCCCTGACAATGTTGGGAAGAAATTTGGAACCATCTGTTAAAATCTTAATTATGCCAATTTGTAGATATATTTAATATTGTTTTGCCCTGATGATGAACTTAAAATAAATTGAAGCTTGGCAAAAACAAGTGAATTTGTTGTATCATCATGACTACACCAAGATTCAGATTATTTGTGAGTAAAAATAGGGATCGAACAGTTTAAACAGAAATATATCAAATTAAAGAAGAATATAGACTAATATCAAACATGTAATCCAGCATCACACTAATGTTGCCAATATAGAGAAAGGCGACGACAATGATAGTCATTATCAATAAAGCTTTATATATTTTCTGCAGGGAATATATTAAATTACAAAAATTCCCTTGCTCAAATTAAATGTGAAATGTTACAAAAAGAATAATAAAAAAAAAAATAATTAAGGATGGTGCTTGATTTAAGCAGTTACATGTCGACATGCCCTTCATGATCCTTCTTTTCCTTATCCAGTTTAATCATATCATCAATCCTGAGGGTATGTATTCCTGATTTTCTGGTAAATTTAAGAGCTTTGATTTTTGAATTGTAGGCCCAAGAACACTGCTTTCTTGTTGTCCCTAACAGTGCCCCCATTGAAATCGAGCCCCAACACATTTGAGAGGGCGTGATCTTTCTTCGTTTGGCTTGTATTGTGGTAAGCCCTAAGTTTAGCAACATCAGCTGAATCAATTGCAGCATTCTCTAACAGTGTTTTGGGAATTACAAGTAGGGCTTTTGTGTATTAAGCAAATGTCAACTGCTCTTGAACGAAAGGATTCAGTAAATTGAGAAGGCAGCATGTTCCTCTACCAGTTACTTTCTCAAACATATTTAACAACAGAGATTGCATTATGGGCGGACCTTTCAATCTTATCTAAATAAAAATCGTTAGGACCTCTGAGAATAATAGAGCTTGCAGTATGCGCTTTGGGCCCTTTAAGAATAATATGAATTATAAAAGCTGTCTCGATCTATTGAACATTGAGGTGAGGTACAAGAGGTGTTGTCCTGGTCTGCCTATTCTTATTAGACACGCTTTGCATTTGAGAGAACAACCACTGAAGTTAACAGACAATCCTGGATAACTAGCTATACCATTGATTTGTTATGCCATCAAATGAATTACCTAGCTGCATATACTTTACTAAGTCCATCACACTGAATGAAAAATTGAATTAGCGAATATTTGTGTATATACTTTTCAATTTAGATGTTTACACATGCATTTTATAGTGCAAAGGATTTGACAGTGGCGACATTCCAAAGAATAAATGGTGAAACGTGGTGTGATCTGCTAGGTGATGAACTTGTAGCTCAATCATCTGTCATTGTCTGTCTGATCTAGCTAGTTTTGTCTGTTAGATACGGTACAGATGTCTGGCCAATTAAAGAAGGTGCAAAGATGCATCCAACAGACAAAACCAGTGAGAATCTGTTATCATTTCAGACCATCAAGCTACACAGTACTGATTATGCATTATTATTGGGGACAGACGCACATACTTTTGTTACACAGCTAGATAATACTTCAAATATCTCATACGAGTACAGAGTGATGGAAGAAAAAAAATGTGTAACTAACATTGGAAACTTTTGAGACAGGGCTTGACTGCAGTCACGACCACCCTTTTCATCATCCTTCTTTATTCTTTAACTAGTTAGAAAGAAATGTCCTGGAAAATGTAGAAATAAAGAAAAAAAGTGTAAATTGTAAAAATGTCTGTAGAAGCAGCTACAAACCAGGCCTACCTGGAAAGAAAATAAAAAACTACTGAAAAATCTAACTGCCTCAATTGAAAAAGGAACTTGAAAAAAATGATAAAATTACAACATAGATGAATTACTTATTAAAGTATGATAAATTACCTTCCGTCTGTTTAAACTTTAAACTTGGCTGGTTTTTTTTCTAAGTACAGCAGTATTTTATTAAAAGGTATGGATTAAACAAACCGTTCATGTCTTTTCATGTACTATTTCGAATCCTTGCCATTAAAAACACTGTTCTAATTACTATTATTTATAAACCTGTTTATATACCTATATCTTTCCAGCTCCAGCCTGTAGGCAACATAACATTAAGATTCTGCAAGAAACAATATTCTTGGATATTTTCATCACTATCACAGAATTCGCGTAGGATTGTTCCTTATTTTCTTTCTGAGCCAGTGCTTTGACGACTAACTTGGTCTCATTATTGGAAACTTAACTGAGGAACGGTCCAATGCCAGTCGTTGGAACTGAACTGTAAATAGACATGAAGCAGCAAAACAGACCATCCAACTTCCGACCTTTTTCACTCTGCAGTGCGCATTCAGCCTCAAGCAGCAAAACTCTGACGACTGCTTGGTACCATGGCCGGCTCACAGCTAGGCCTGATGCGCTGCTAGTACCACAGAGAGGAAACCGCCAATGTTATAATCATTCAAACCTTGAAATATTCGGTAAAAGATTTTTAAGCTTTTTTTAAACCAAGAACCAACTAAAAAAGATAAATTGTTAAACAGAAAAGCAGCTGGTTCAATTTTAAGAAGTGAACATACATTGAACACAGTATCAGATTGCTTAGATCAAATCTGCAATTTTTTTCAGAAAAAGTCTCATAGTACTTTGATCATAGCAAAGACTGCAGGTTCAATTTCAAGAAGTGACTCGAAATGACACTTAATTGAACACAGTATAATTTCTAAGTATGAGCATAATCTACATAAATAAAGATTATTTCTTCTTTTAAAGTACGTTTAAGTAGAAAAAAGATGCAAGAATAGTCTTGATTTTTTAAATATTTTTATTTATTTATTTAATTATAAAAGCATACAACCACGATGGGTCAAAACTGCCTTGGTGATGAATTAATCGGTGAGAGAAGAAAACAGAGCTATAAGCCAGGAGGGGCAGGGACATCAAGAGCGGGCGCACCCCCACAGCAAACCGGACACCACAAGACCAGGCAAAACCAGACACCCAGACCAGCTCCTCTCCACACAAGACCTTGGTGGTTAAGACAGTGGCAGACTTCTCAGAGGGCTGCATATGGTGTGCCAGCATCCGCAGCCCTCCCAAGTTCCGGGGTTCAAACTCAACCCAGTGGCCAGACCACATGCCCAGCCCCACCCACCCGCCCTCCTACTCATCGTTTGTTACAATTTGTTGGTCAACCCAGTTTCAGTTAGGAACTCAAAAAGCTTTCTAATGTTAGCTGGGGAATCTTTCAGAATTTCGGTCACATTGTTTCCAAACTTAGTTGAGATGTTCTATGCCTGGTCAGAAGTTCTGAACCAGTGACAGGCCTTCTTGCATGTAATCCAGATTCTGAATGAGATTCTTTGCGTAAATGTCATATTTCTAACTTGTTGAAGTCATTGTTTGATCTCAACAGCGGTAGAATGGCGATTACATTTGAAACAGTACAATTATCATCTCTCTGACATATGACACCATGACACCTGATCCATCCTCCTGTAACTTGGTAGCAATAGAAGGCACCCTGGTTGCATATGCTCATCTCTATCCATCTTCGAACAATGCTATGATTCTAGTAGAATTTGTATCACTTAAAAACACCACTCAAACAAATTTGAATGTTAGAAAGAAGCTTTTCAGACAAACCAATAGAGAAGAGATCTATTCAAAGATTTATTTACAAAATCCAATTGTAAACACAAGTGTAGATTTTATCTGTGTTTTGTTTACCTCTATTCTTTTAAAACGGACCAAATAATGTTGTAAGATAATAAATGGAGGATTATCTTAAGAGATAATTACACATATTAAGGGTGTACACTTTTTTTTCAGTGTACATTTATTGTTTATTTGACTTTAAGTTTGTACATATAGTAATGTAGTGTTCACTTTTGCTAATGTTAAAAGTTTTTCATAGAATTATCAGATTTTGAATCTCTAGTATCAGACTAAAATGATGTCACGCCCTTGGGCGTTCCTCGTTACCTTAGCAGCAGAATCACTTGATTTGATGTGGTGAAGTTATGGCTGGTGATCCCATGGACCTTGATAATTGATATGATAATATAATTAGTGTCAGAATTTTAATGCCGAGAAGCCGCATTGTTTAGATTTAATAGCTCGTTAGATAAAGCTGTTTGACGCGTCGTATCTTTATTTTCATCTAAAATAATTCTTTTCTTGTTATAAATTCCACAATTGAATGAACTGCGCTTAACGTCTAAAATGACCACCCCAGAATCCGAAGAAGGAGGGGTTCTTCGGGAATGGGCTCCCATGAGCAGATTCCTTCAGCAGGTGCCACAGAAAATGTGGCACAGCTTTTTCTTCGAGGATGTCAAGTTCACATGTATCGCAGCGGATACGGACTGTATAGCTATCGGCACATCTTCAGGGGTAGTCTTCTGGTACGAGAGGATGTCACACAGTGTCCATCAATTAAAGGCTGAGGTTTGTTCAAATGTCTCTCAGAAAAAGATCTATTGCATTTTTTAATAGGCCAGAAGTACTCCTGACAAGTTATAAATGTTTGAATTATCTGTTCTTCGTTAGAATCACCTGGCAGGTCTGGAGTTAGTTTCTAAGGCTATCGTCTAAATCAGTGGTTCCCAAACTTTTTGGACCCATGGACCCCTTTTTATAGTCAGAAATTGCCCACGGACCCCCAAGTGAGAAGCCACATAAATGCATAATATAAAAATTACAAATTATAAATAATATACAAAATATATATAAATGATAATGTTAATTACGCTTGTTGAAAATAAAATGTAAAAAAAAATTAATGACGGATGAACATGATAAGACGTATGAGTGTATATATGTCCGGCTCAATGTTTGTGTGTAGCAATCACAAATCCCCACGAGCACTAATTTCGAGACAGTTTCTTTTTTTGTGATGAGGTTCATAATGGCACTGAATCCATGTTCTACCAAATAGGAAGACACGAAAGCAGTCAACAACTTTTGTTCAATAACCCATAATGCAGGATATAAAATTGGGATCTGTTTTTGTAACCAGAATTTGTGGTATCCTTGTCAAACATTGGTTTAAGTTCCTCATTTGTGGGCATTTCAATAAGCTGCTCCTGTATTAGTATGGATTCAGCTGAGTTTGAGATCTGAGTTTGTCCACGCACAAAAGGGTTCAACACCAAGTCGGTAATATCCAAGTGAAGAATGTCTTCAAATCTTTCGTTCAGGTCTGAAGGTATGAAGAGCCGTTGAGTGTTGACAATAAGCAAGCAAATCTTCATCTCTTATTTGCAATTTCAAAAGATTTAGAAACTGAGAGCATTCTCCTTTTCCAAAGTTTTGTTTGAACAGAAAAAGTTTGGCAACAAACGCAGATATTACGCTTTTAGTTTTGATTAAATTTAATCGTTCACCTTGTAGTTTCAAATTAGTTTAGTTAAATTTGGCAAATAAAGCAGTCATATAGGCTATGTCCTTAAGTTAATTAAATTGTGCCGAACATCATTGTCTTTGCTTTCCAGGAATTCCAACACTTAACCAAACAGCGCATAAAATCAATTTAAATATGCACTTTTAGATAACCAACGTATTTCTGTTTTATATTATATTATTTTATAAACTCGGGCACTCTCAATATGACACAAAGAATGGCACAATTACACATAAGAAAAACACTGAGCCCTGAAAATGATCTCAATAAAGATCGAAACGTTGGCATGATAAAGAAAATGTTTTTCTGAAACCTACAACACCAGACCGCATCTCACGATTCCTGAATAATTATTTTATATTATTATTATTTATATTATATTATTTTATATTAACCTTTGCATAGACCCCAAATCAACTTTAATTTTCCACGGACCCCTGAAGGATCCTGGGGACCCCTGGGGGTCCGTGGGGACCACTTTGGGAACACACCATTTAGACTAAATGCATGATAAACATACATTAATCATTCTTTTATTTATTGTTGTATATACTTACAATTATGTACCATTCATATAGAGAAATATAAAATACAGGTTAGTATGTACAATAATATGTTAACTTGTGGTTTTATAGCAAAATATTAAATTCTGCATTGGCCCTCCTAAACAGTATATTAATATTAATAATCAATAAGTAAACAAAAATACATGAAGAAACAATGAAAAATGTTTTCTCATGAAACAAAACTAAATGATAAAATGATAGCAGCTAGCTCTATTGAGAAAATCAAATCATCCCATGCGGTACACCTACTTTATTTTATTACTTAATTAAATTACACACATTGAACCAAATATGTTCTGAAGGAAAGTGGCATAATCTAATCACCCCTTTTAGCACTATATTACAGTAATGAGAATTACATAATAAAATCTAATAGCAGTCAATGTTTCTTCTTGTTAGATGTAGATGTATGTATAGGTCGGGGTGTAATATACTACGCCCTTTAAAAGCTATTGAATACCACGTTCTCTGCCTAAAGCACACCGGTGAGTCCTATTTCATCAAGAAACTTGATTAGTAGGCCCGATTTCAGTGGTTGAATCTCTTCCACAGTCACATTGCACTTCCTCCTGCGGGCAAGTGTAGCACCACAGTTTTTTAATAGGTGTGTTGGTGCTTCATTCATGTGTCATCTTCATTAGATTATTCCAATCTTCTTTAAGTTTAGCTTGCAGTGTCCTGTTAAGAATCCTGATAAGATTTGCAGTTTTTTCCTGCTTCCTTTGGCACATTCTATAACTTCTTTCCTTCCGAAATTTGTTAGGAGATTCTTGGATTGTTTGTGTCCAATGAGTGAAATCCATTGTTCCTTCATTTTCTTTTTGTCCTTCTGTCAGAGGTACTCAGTGTGGGTTCCTGTGCCACAGAAGGGCTCTTCTTCTTGTTAAATTGATACAAGAAACAAATGATTAAAATGTTTATATTTTAAGCATAGCTAGTTTAAATTTTGGATAATAACTTCAGAAAAATAATTTTTCAAATTCCAGAAAAGCAATCATTACGTTTCTTGCGTTAGCATTACATCGTCAGTCGAATATATGGTAGCCTCAGGTGACAAATCAGGAGTGGTAACAATATTCAGGATACCGAAGGATATCCCGAAGCTGTTACCAAATCAGAAAACCGAACGGATTGAGAGGTATACAGTTGATGAACTCCATTCATCAGAAATCACTGCCCTGGTGTGGAGCATGAACGGACAGAAACTATTCAGTGGGGATTCAAAAGGGCGGGTCATCCTTACAGAAATCGACTACTTTATGGTAAAAACAGTATCGTATTTTGATTGTTTCATTTACCAACTACTGTATCAATTTCAGAGCATTACAAGGGCATATGAAATTTTAAATGAAAAATATAAGATAGTGCAACTTAGTTATAACCAAAGAGAGCAGATACTTATTGTTGCCACAGAACTCAGGTCAGTCATTTGTCACAAAAGAAGCCCAAGTTGGAAAGTTGTACAAATTGGCCAGCGTGAAAGGCACAGGTGCGTATTATTATCAATACTTTGTTCATATTTGTACATAATTTTAATTTTATTATTACAGTCTGCTCGAATTGGGTGCAAATTTTTGTTTTGAGGAAAACAACCAACTGAATGTTTATAGCTGTAGGGGAGGGTTGCGATTATGGAAGTCTGATTTAGAGGGAAATGTCAAACACACAATTATTTTCAAAGTATGTATTTTATTTTACGATTGTTGGTAAAAGCAGAAAAGTTCAATAATACACTAAAGATCTAATGCTAAGTTCATTTTAATAACACTATTTTATAAAAATATAACACAATTTTTTTCTAGAAATTCTTGATGGAATTAGATTATAAATCTTGATGGGTAAAAAGAAGTTGGTGTTTGTATTGAAAAATTGCTTCTTTTTTCTTTCATAGTTTTTTAATTACTCTATTTTTACACTCCTAAATTGCTTCTGCTCGAAGAGAAGAAAAATAAGATGTAAAATTAAAACTTACTATGGATTGTTACCATTTTTATTGTAAAGTACAACAAAAAAGAAAAAAAAGACAAATAAACTTTTTTACAACATAAAAAAGTTGTTACATTTCCTTTTTTGAAGGTTAGGATGATTGGTCAAGTAGATGTGGAAAATAAAAGAAAAACTGCGATTTAAGTGTACTGATGGTTCGTTAAATTTACTGATGCCTCAAGACGGGCACTAATTGACATTTTCAGTCAAGTTTACAAAGTTTTATTTTCAAGTTGAAACACGTTTTGCCACAACTTCACTGAATTTCTTATTAGGAAGCTTACTTCCGTATGAATATAATTTTTAACTTATTCTTAATTTATTCTTACTTTACTTAAACTAAGACGTCTTAGTCTGCAGTCGGCCAGCCCTTGATGTAAGTTAAAAATTGTGTATGTTTGGAATTAAGTTTCTTAATAAGAAATGCAGTGGAGTTATGGCAAAACACGCTTCAACCTTCGAATAAAACTTTGTAAACTTGACTGGAAATCTCAGTTAGTACCCGTCTTGAGGATTCAATCTTCTTGCAATCTTAAAATGCAGTTTTTCTTTTCTTTTCCAAATCTACCTGATCAGTTATCCCAACCTTCAAAAATGTTTAAATCAAAATGATCATCTATTCAACATATAGTTATATAATCAATTTTCCTTTTTTAAAGGAATTAGTCAATTCTTCTGTGAATCCTGTAAAACTTTTGAGGCCTATGAAGAGGAGAAAAGAAGCTAAATACAAGCCTTATGAGTTTGGAAAATTGTTTTATTGGACCGATGGCTTGTATGTCGCCCATTATGAGAATAATCTTATCGTCCTGGATCCTGAAAGTATTACCGTTGCGGCTACAATACTTGATGCAGAACAAAATTTTACATCTGTCGCTACAACAAAAATGGAAATATTTATTATTTTTGGAGGAAGAAATCTTATCAGACTTGCCTACGCACCAGATAAATTCAATAGTAGGGAAATGTATTTAACCAAGATGTTCAAATATTAATAATTTATTTTTGAAGGCAGCATTGGTGGATATGGGAATTTAGCATCAGCCGAACTGGTATCTGGTTTGCCAAACTTTTATATAAAACCTGTTGTAGGTACTCCTATTAATACACCCGAAAACTCATTTTGTAGAGTTAAACTTTCAGCAACTACGGCTAATACGTAAGAAGTAAATAAAATAATAGTGGAAATAAATTATTTTAATGATTGATTTTTAGCGAATTACCTGTGAGTGAAGTGACATATGGAACAGAGTCAGTGACACTTTTAAACCCAGTGCTAACAATGAGGGATGGGATACCAGAACTGAGAACTGATACTTCTCGTTACCACCTTTTCTCGGCTATTGGGCAACAAGACTTTGATGAAATCGTTTACATCAAAGTAGGTTTTTAGTTCAAACCGAAATAAATAATAATTGAAACAAAATTTGTTTTTCTTTCAGAAAAATAAATTGAAACATAAAACGGCAAAGAATGATAAAAGAAAATGTAAGATGACTTTTCTCATTTTCTCATTAGAAAACATGGCTTTATTAAAATTTTCTCTTTTAGCTTTCCCACCTGTTTCAACAAAAACATTGAAAAATGTCAATTATGATTTTGACGAGCCATTAAATTCGAGCACATTTCCAGGTGACTTATTAATTGATTTAAAAGATCGTGATGACATTGATAAAGTGTTTAGGGAAAATGAATCCCTTTTGGATATAATTTTACCTTCCCTATCAGGTATTGACTATATCTGTACAGCTTTTAAGTTACCTTCTGAATAATTTAATATTAAAATAATTATATTTACTTTCAGAAGTTTCATTGGACAAACATCCATCATTGGATTTGCACATTGACAATATTAGTAAATTTTCGGAGAGTCCAGGAAACATTTTAAATTTGGAAAATACTACAAAACAAGAGGAAAGTGAAGGAATTGTTTATGAAGATTTATCAAAGTCATTTTTAAATGAGTTCATAGATGAATCAGTTAATAGTCACAATATTGAAACATCTACACCTAATATTAGCTTTGAAAATAACAATCCTATAACTGAAGATCAATTGGTTGATATTCCTCTAAATTCTAATTCGTCCTTCACCAAGGAAAATGGTGATTCTCCGCTATTAGATGACAGCATAACTGACAACGAACAATCAAGTGATATAGTTTTTGTTGGAGATGAAGAGCAACCTGCGGTTATAAAATTGACGAGTGAACATTACAACCATCAGGAACTCGCCTATTCTCAGAATTCTGTCTCCACAAAATCATTTGAATTGTTCTCATACCCTGTCACTTTTAGAGATTTATCGGGTGGCTGGAGTGAAATGTCCTGTCCGGAGAAAGTAATTTGGATGTGCCCGTTTAACAATGGACTTGTAGTATGCAGCCCTCGACTTAGAGTGTTCATTTACAAAGATAAAGAATGGTGTAAATTGCCTTATAAAGCACAAACCGTCATCATTACAAATGATGAAAAATTGACAGTTAAGGTGCATTGCTCTATAGCACATTTTACAGGTTTGTTTTAATTGATTAAAACTGTAGTTTAATAAATTCAAAATATATTTTGCCTTTAGATAACTTTTCCTCTCTGAATGAAAACTGGAAACTATTATCCCATGGTGTTGACTGGGTAACCATTACTGAAGATAAAACCATTTGGTTTGTCACACAGGGTGATATATATTTCTTAAAATATAATAACAATATAGTCGATCAACTGTTCTGTAACCAAAAAGTACAAAAAGTCTATTCATGGAAAAAGGTATAGTCTAACTAAACAATAATAATAATTGTTTATTTTATTTTATTTTATTTTTAATAGGATTTATATGCTATCACAAGTGACAATAAGATTATTACTTTTGATGGTCAAAACTGGTATAATCTCAAAACACCTAAACTAGGAGTGAAACATATAGTTATTGGTCCAAATCGTTTAATATGGGCAACAGATTTAGCGAATAAATTGTTTGTATCCGATTTTCTAGAGTTGACAAAAAAACCCAAACTGAGCTGGTGGAAGGTAGGTCGGAAGATTTAAAAACTATACATTTATACTGTATTAATTCCTGTAAAATTTTTAGGTGGACATTTGTGGTAAAGAACCCTTCGATGCGACATCATTAAACAGAAGCGAAGAAGGAATCTTTGTATCAAATGGTGAAAGCGCTTCGGTACTGTTCAATAAAAGTTCAGTCCTTGGCCACAGGTGGATAAAGAGTGAAGTTGACATGAAGTGCTTGCAAATGACTGCGGAAGGTGTTTTTGAAGATAAAGGTTGTGTCTGGCTTCTTAGCACTCCAAGTCAACTCCTTTCAGTCACACCATGCCTTTCAGATTACGAGGTCGGAACTGATTTTTGTTTGTTTGTTTTGATTTGTAACTTTTTTAATTGGTAGGTAATTTTTGGTTTGTTTCTAGAATATTGATGTACCATGTAACATTATATGCATTGCGGCAAGTCCTCAAGTATTGTGGTTGTTATCAGACGAGGGAGAAATTTATGTTAGGCAGCAAATAACAAATTGCAACCCATCTGGGGTGAATTGGGCAAAATTAAATTTAGAACAGTTCGGTATGTAATTGAAATTAGCCTTTTGTCCCATATTTTAGAAAATAAAAATTAATTTATTGTGAAAGATGATTAAAATAAGTAATTTATAACATTAGTAATTTTTTAAATGGTCTTACTTCTCATAGTTACTTTTACACTTTTTGTTAATAAAATAAACTTATTGCAGACCATGTCACACAAATCGTTCATATTAGCTGTGGCTGTGATGTTGTGTGGGCCTGCGATATAAGAGGAGTTGTTTTTATGCTGGTGGCCTCGCCCCACGAAATACACAGTTATTCCTTTTCCCCTGCTTGGGTCAGAGTTGAAGGCCGACCAATTCACAACAACACATTTACCAAAGTAAAATTCCGCTAAATATTTTTGTTTAAATATCTTATTATTTTTTGTTTAAAGGTTTTTGTAGGGCCGCAGTCCCATATGGTTTGGGCATTGGATAATGCCGGTAATGTGTATGTAAGGGAGGCTATTTTTCCCGACTTTTTGGTTGGAACTGACTGGGTACATGTTCCTGGTATTGTAGCATCACAGCTAAGTATTAGGTGAGACTTTTTTTAATGTTCTGCCATGCTTTTGAAATTGTAATTAATTTCACTAATTTCGCGGTCTGCTTGACCAATTAATATATATAATTAATTGGTCAAGCGGACCACGAAATTAGTGAATTTAATGATTTGGAATGAAGTATACTTCACTAAAGCTCTCCGTGGCCATTTGATTTGTCGTTGAGAATCCAATCCGATTACACGACATTTGAAAAATAGCAAAAGGAGGGAAAATTCCAAGGGTGCGGTTGAGATGGGAAGTTGGTGTCCGAGTGGATCGAAGTCACGAGCTCAAGTGGTAGAGCAGCGGCGTATCGAGCCGAAGATCGTGTGTTTGAATCCCGCTCGTGCCATTGACTTTTTTATCTCAACTAAAAACCTTAATTAATTATAATTGTAATTAATGCTAGGATTTATAATAATTATGGGTCTACTTTTCTGATTTGTATGTTTTGGTTGCATTTCACATTCTAAAATAAGCTATTATTACTTTGAATTTGATTATAATACAGATTATTTAATCAAAATCCTGATTATTAAATTGATATAAATTGAAAAGTAAGAATACACAATTATTTTTATTTTCCACTATTAGCACTGAGACAGTTAGGGCTTTAAGCAAAGAGGGCATTTACACAAGGGTCGGTATAACTCAGAACAATTACATCGGAGACGCTTGGCAGTTAAAATCCATACAGATTGAACATCTCTCAGGTAAGTAGAGTAATCAACTCATGTTACAAAAATATTAACTTTGTTTTACCCGCATCAGTTACTGTTAATGAGTGCATATATGCTGTTTCATCTGGTACGAACACTCTCATGACTCACATTGAGAAAATATTTCCCATCTCCGAGGACGTCTTTGTGGAAAAAGATTGGAATATTCTCTGAAACATCACCTCTCTGATAGATTTTTTTCTTCGTATTATAACGATACCTCTCGCAGCCCAGGATAATATGGTGGAAATGATGAAAAACCTGCCTAACTGCGTGATACTTTGATTTTACCTGTATATTGATAATACTGCCTAAGTTTTTTTGTCACTGATTTATTAAATTTCTAAATTTTTATAAATTGCAATTAAGTTTTTAACCTTAAATTAAATTTCTTTTTCGATAAAATTTTAATGATATTACGAAAAGAATAATTTTTTATTGTCTCTTACATTCCAAATGAAAAAGTTGGGCTTTCAAAAGCTTATTTCCTTATATATTATAGTTGTCATGAACTTTACGTTTTGGCTTTTTTGAAATGTGTTTATTACTAACTGAATTTCTTTAACTAATGAAGATTATTTCTTTATAAGAATGAATAGAACATTCAGTTCCAGTTTAACATTTAGATATGTACCTTTAGAATAGTTAATTATTAAACATTTGTATTTAGTACATCACTTTAGTGTTAAGCCCTCCTGAAAGAATCATGTTACTGTATTACATTTTAGCAGAAAATATTTAATTATTTCTACATATGTGGTGTAAAAATTGACCATTTGTTAAAAAAAAGCGACTATTACCTATTGACCAATATTGTAGTGTGCACTTTGTCAATTTATTTTTAATAATTTTTTACCTACCTATTTATAATATATTTTTGTAAATAATAGTGGAGTTGCTTAAAAATTATAAGCAAGAACAGGCGCTGGAAATTAGGTATTTGCTCATTTTTCAAAGAAGGCTAACTCTGAAATCAATTACCTCGGTAGAAGTTCATAAAATCAATTATTAATATAAGGAACACATAAAATTTGTACAAATAAATAAATGTAGACTATTATTATTATTGAAACTTTTAACATCACGTACAATTCTTTTAAAAAATATAAAATATTTACTAACCATTGGTCAAAGCACTCTAGTCACACTGATATACCAAATTTCATAAAGACTTTTTATTATTGCACATAAGTTGGTTTTATTGATATTACTATTTTTATTAGATTTTTTGTTATTTATTTTAAAAATCATTGACCCACCTGTTACATAAACATTTCTAGTTTCAATGATGTAGTAAATAATTTTTTATATTGTGTATATATTGGTTTTAGTGTTAATTATATTGAAAATCATTGACCTATCTTTTTTGGCGTGTAATGTTACTTGAATTTGACTGTGATATCTTAACAAAAACCTGTACAATCTGATGTATTTGTAAATTGTAAAGCTGTTTTTAATTATGATAAGTTATTTCTAACTTCTTTTGTATTAATTGTGTAAAATGGTATATATTTAAAAATGCTTTTACGAATAGTAAATCACTTTAAGGCTATACTTTAAAAGTTAAATTTAAATAATTAAAAGGTTTAAATTGTTGTATGCTTTAATAGGGGTGTCACTGGCCGCAGCGGTTTAGGCATTGGTCGGGTGCACATCATTGTAACATGAAGATCCTGGGTTCAAATCCAGCAGTCCTCCATTTGAACTCGACATACTTACATGGCTTTTTGCCAAAACACCAGCACCCCGAGGGCTCCTATAACCTCGTAGTTGAAATACCTCATTAAAAAAAGCCAAAAAAACAACAACCTGGATTTGTGAGAACAAACATTTATTAAAACTTCATCTATTTATCTTATTTATATCTTATAATTTGAGTTTTGTTTGGGTTGCATTTTAAATGTTTTTATTTTTTACTGAACTGGTGCTTTCTCAGTGTACACATTTTAAAATCATATTTTCATTTGCATTTGAAAGTTAAAGTTTAACAATTTTTTATCTTGGCTGTATCACTAAATCAAAACAATCTGTGATATTTATGAAAATCTAAATGTAGTGATACAATATATTTGATATGCTTTGTCTAATTAGTTTAAAAAAATATGATTAGTGTATTGATATGTATTAGATATTTAAATATGACATAATATATTGATTATGATTTATGGGTGTATACACTTTTTTTTGTAATTTCCATTGAAAACTTAACCCTATTTCCCTATCTTTATCTTGATTTATTTGCACATGTTAGTGAGATTGAGAAAAGTTGATTTGCAAGAAAAGCACAAACTGCTCTAATATAAACACTGGGATCTGGCCCCCGAAGCTAAAAATGCAATAAAAAACACAATTAAAACAATGTGACAGTGTTGGTGGGCTGACATGACAGAGAACCTATTCATCAAGACCATGGTCAAAAGGTGGCCATTGGAAGATCTGATCTCAAGAAGAGCGATCATACCCAATTAAATAGGTCATCCAATCTATAATTATATATACGTTTGGGCTAAAGACGGTATAATGTCTGACATGTGGAGAAGGGTTGCTTGATATCACCCCTTCTTAATTGTCATTCCTTGGCTTCATATATAGAGTGATTAGGAATACCATCTGATATGAGAATTAAACTAAGAACCTGCACCTTCATAGATCTTCATAGAAACATAAAATGTGTTCTGCAGTAGTCTCTTCTTCCTGGTAATATTTGCACTCCTGTACAGTGCATGTGCTTTCTTAAGTGGCAGTGCCCTGTCAGGAGTCCAACCAGAATCCTGGTTTGGTTGCGGTTGCCTTCCAGTAGTAATTTCTTTGCAGTTTTGTGATGGCCAATCTATGAATCTTTGCGAGCCATATACCTGTGGTATTATTCCACCAAGTTTTGAATTCATTAAGGATCCATTTTAAGATGAATCCCCTTTTGTGGCAGCATGCTAAGCCATAGTAGCCAAACACTTTGCCTACTCCTCACATGAGGCTAGGGCCTTTAGTACTCCTGATGTCAGAGAAGTTGTCTATCTTCCAGTAATATGTTCCTAGCCTTTTTATTTCCTTGGCACAGTGTTCAGTCAATCTGTCAGCCAGATTGAGGGCTCGTTGAATTCAGTTCATCACAATGTCTGCATGGCGGCTCTTTACAACTTCGTCAAGGTCATCTGGCCAGTCTGCAAAGTCCACAGTAGAGGTAAGAGAACCCTCCTTTGTGGGCATCCCCTGGCTGTCCTAGCCCGGATGGTCACATTGCCCAAGGTCTATATGATTAGGCCTTCTTCCAACCCATTGGCAAATCTTTTCCGCGACTCCCCTGTTTTTGATTACTTTATGTAGAATGTCCAAAATCCCCTGTCATCCTACAACCTTTTGAATTTTACCTCTTTTCGCCATTTTTCAATGTTATGTAATCAAGATTCGATTCTTAGCGGCTGATGCCATAGGGAGCTGTTACTTCTTTAATTATTATATTAATCCATATATATTTAGCAGTCATAATTGACCATATTAAATATTACAATTAATTATTCTTTTTATCTAAGGTAATTATAGGTTTAGATGAATTAGTGTACAAATGGATCAAAGTCACGATAGCTCAAGTGGTTAGAACAGCTGCATATTAAGCCGAAGGTCATGGGTTTGAATCCCGCTCGTGACATTACATTTTTCATCTCAACCAAGACCTCAGTTAAAATGATTATTAATTGAAATAATTAATATGGTCAATTATAACCGCTAAACATATATGGGCTAGTATGTATTACATTGGTGTTTCAAAACTACTAGAGATTTTTCAATTAATTAATTAATATACTCTTCAGAACTTCAGATCTACAAGTATCTTGAAACTATTCAAATTTGTAAAAAAATTACAACAATGTGTTGAGTGCAGTGATAATTTGCCTAATTTACATCAGTTGCTTGGAATATTTTATTGCAAATCCATCTATGACTTTGCTTTATCTTCTAATAAAATTTGGTATTTGTTTAACTATGGATATGCTCATGGTAACCTGCAAAATGCAGATCTATACATTTTGTTAATGCTTCTAATATAGCATAACTTTACCATGTAGAATTTTTTTGCCAGTGCCAGTATTAACTTGATTACAGGTCAAAACTACTAAGTACTGCATGATTCTGATTTATTTTCTTGCACTTTGCTTATTTTCTATTATCCTGGCTTTCCTGTTCTCGCTAGTTGGGACGTTTTTGGCATTTCATCACCTTTGACAAAACCATAATTTAAAATGGTAAAATGCCAAAACTAGTCTGACAAACCAAACTATCACTTTAAAAACCTCAACAAACATCTCACAATTATATTTTATTTGAGCCAAACGGGGATTAATTTCATGCAGTTCGGTTTACTATAGTTTACCCAGAAAGAACATAGTTCATTATCTTGTGCTTATTGCAATGCATACCAAAAAGTTGTTGAAGCCATGAGGAGCGGTCAAGAATGAGGTAGTTTAGAAAAACATCTTTTTCATTTCTTTGCCGACATTTTGATCTAAATTCGGGTCATCTTCAAGGCCTGAGTGAATTATAAAACATATGTTGATTGGAAAAAATACAATACGAAAAATATAAATTTTGAACTAAGTGTATCATTTTTATGATATCTATTTCATATTTTTTGTCACTTTCAAATTTAGGTCACTAAAAAACCCCACATTCATCAATAACAATATCCTTGAGTAATATCAGGTTCTGCTCATCTGGGATCCTAAAAACTAAATCCTTTATTTGTACATCATAGGTAATTCTTATTTGTATTCACTTTTTTTTTTTAGAAATTGTTGTAATGAAATAATAATAATCAATAAACAAAAATACATTTGAGTAAATAATTGGGTTAAAAAATGTTTATTAATTGAAAACAAAATGTATTTATAAAACATATTACATGGCATCATTCTAAAATTTTTAATACAACTGTATACAGGAAATTTTTTTTAATCACATTGGAAAATGTACATTTGACTAAAACACATTTAGATCACATCTGTAAATAAACACTCTCACTTAATTTAGGATTGAAATATTATTAGCTTTTGAAACAATTTTTATATTTGATACAGTTCCTTTTTTTTAAATATAATGTTATGTACAAAATTCAATTCTAAAACACTAAAAGAAAGGGTTTAGAAAAATCGCCCTAAAAAGAGCTCTACATGACAGAATTCTAATATGAAGACATATTACATTTTTAATTACTTCAATCTGGACATAAGAAATAATCAAACAATTTGTAATCCACTTTAAATACTACGGTCAAGATTTTACTCAAGAAATGAATAATAATGCCACTTTGAACACAGAAGGGAGCAAAGTTTATTTTTGTATTATTTACATTTTACTTATTTACTTTTTTTTATTTTTAAATATAAAACACTTCCTTGTTAAATTGGTTAAATTTGAGAGGGCAAACATGTTATGTCTATCACACAATGTTTACACACTAATTAAGTCCTTTGGCAACACAAAATAGCACCGCCACTAGTAGACACCTGTTAGTTACGAGAAGCTTTTGATACTTTTAAAATAAAGTATCATGTTTTACTATTTTCATTTTCTCCCTTTTCACAATAAAACTGATTATTCAACCAGTTTTTCAATTACAATTAACAACTATGTACATTGTACTGAGTACAAATAAATATAAGCTAATTAAAGGACTACACTAAAATTATTGATGCGATATGGCTTTTTTGACCCTTGGTAACATGTTTTTTTTCTCCATGAATGATGTCTCATGGTAATAAGAGTCATTCGATTATTTTTGAAGATAGCATTTGACTATACACGCAAATTTGGCATCAGGTATACTTGTTAGTAGAGGAAAAATAGAATTACAATATAATGCCATCAGTCTTTGCCTTGGTCATACTATACAGTATTGTCAAAATTCATTTGAAAATACTTTTATACATGTTGTTTTGAGCTAAACCAAAGGACGTAGATAGATATAAGTCAATAAATGTACATTTTTAAACCCCAATTGTGGCAATGTACAATGAAGATTGATCGGATTTAATTTTAAATTTCGATGAATTCATTAGGAGGCCTATTTACTTCATTATCTTATTAGAAATATTTGTACAATGTATTTACGAAATGTACAGAAAGTATTTACAATTTTTTCAAGTTTAATATTAAAGGGTTTCCTTCTAATGAGTATGCTGTATAAAAAATATGATGTATTTAAAACTTTTGGTTGTTAATGATTAGTTTTGCAATTAAGGCTATACTATACAATTGTTTGGTGAGTCTATTAAAACACATTGACAACCAAAAGCCAGGCACCATCATAATCTATTTTGTTAAAAACTGTACAGTGTCATGATTTTAACAAGACCAGGCTTTTGATAGAAACGGGAGACTAAAACCTCTACTTTTTGAATATAAATTATAAACATTAAACAATTCTCTCGATTTCCAACAAAGCTCATTCAACCAAAACTAGTATAAGTTAGACGAGATTAACAGCTTTTCAAGTGCAATATTTAATAAATGCTTAGAAAAATCACAGTAGTTCTTCTTCTTCTTGTTTCTTATTTGCCGCGAAGATAGAAGCAGCTTTATAATTAATCGGACCGTACGAACGATAATCGACATCTGCATAATCCAAATCTGAGTATTCAGGTCTGTAAGGCTGTAACAAAACAAACATTTTAAATAAAAATATTTTTAACTTTTTAATAAATGTTTCTCCATGATATTCTTGATTTTATACAATTAGAATTATATACTTCATGGTAATCTGGTCAATTGAATACCACGATAGTGAACCAGTATGTCTGCAACTACTGGCTCGCTTATTTTCTACGTAATATGTAGCTACAGAATTAAACTAATACCTTAATATTAAAATCCTCTGTTCCTTTTCAAAAAATGTATGTTACACTGGGGCCCTTGGCTTCCTGTTTGAAAATAAATTAATATTTTTTTATATTTTACCAAAAGAAGAAAAAAATCTAATTACTATTCTACACAATTTAGAATGAAAAGAAGTACAAAATTGCTACTAAAAGAAGCCTAAAACCCCTTAAATTTGTTGTGTAAATTGTGTCTTATGACAGTGATATCACAATAAACAATTAATTCACAGAAAATTAGAATCAAGATTTTTACACTTGTTATCATAGAGGAACAAATCAAACCTTCAAAAATGTTAGATTAATTATTACTGCGGTTAAACAAAAATCTGATGTATCCATATTTGCATAAACATCACATAAAAATTATTAATACTATTAGTAATGTTAGTTACCAAATTAAACATCGATTTCCTGTCCTACGTCATGGAACTTAATAAAAGTGTAATCTGTCTTGTTTCTTGGGTGGCTGTACTCTGTGTGATGAGATCTTGGTGGGGCTTGATAGACAAGCTGTGGAAGGGGCGGATTGTCTGGAGGCAGGTATCGGTTCGAAGGCGGCGATCCTGGTGCCGATCCAGGCCTGTACCTGGGGCACTCCATTTCTGATCTCCGGTGCTGTTTTCGTTTTGTCCTTCCACCTGTCGAACTCCTCCCGTGACTGTGATGTCGCCCACCGTTCTCCCCATATGCTATTCTCTGTGTTAGTACAATTGATTATAGCGTTAAAATTGAATACAAAATCAAATTAATTGAGAAGAACCTGAAGGACTTTGATATGAAAATTAAAAAAAAATTGTTGTTGGATTTTCCTTTGGTTAGTCTTAAGCTTTTTGATCAAATCTCAAGTTCTTCGTAAAGTTACTAGTTAATATTTGTTATTACAATAAAACATGCATATATATTTTTAGTAAAATAAATATATTAAAAGAATAAAAGATTTCATGCATTTTATTTTCTTAATATTAATTGATTAGAATTTTCAGAAATCAAGTTATTGGAGTGACAAGTACAAACCACCAATTATTTTGAAAATGAAATATGTATATAGAAAAAATATTTGTAAGTGTCCATGTCTGTAAGTTATGCTATACCCTATTGCACAACCACCAATTTATTAAAAATGATTTGTTGTTTAAAGAAGAAGGATAGAAGTGATTTCAGTATAAATAATGGTGAAATATTGAATTTCTTTTTGGTATAATAACCACCACCGTATTTTCTTTTAATGATGCTTACTGACCTCTTCAGTTCGATCTGGAGTTTTATTTATTGGTGTCAGATTTTCTTTACTTTCTTTGGCATCATTGGAACGAATTTTATTGTCTTTTTCTTCTTCGTTTTGGGTATCTTTGGTATTTTGCTGAATGTCATTGTGAGGTGGAACACTTTTATGTACATCCTTTTTGCTATTTACACTTTTCTCTTTGGCTAAAACTATCCTGGGACAGCTGGTATCTTTTGCATTTTCTTTGGTAGGGTTCTCAGTCTCTTTTGGTTCAGATGGTTTTGGTTCGGCAGGGCTCTCTGATGATCCTGCTATCAAATCCTTTGGAGGAGGCACATTTTGATAACTGTGATTTATTGGTGGCTTTTTTGGGAAAAATACTCTCGGCGCTGGGACTGGCAGGCTATTCTTGGCTTTAGAAATTCTCAAAGAACGGAATTGAGGCCAGTTTCTTGGTTTTGTACCCAATGGACGTACTGTGAGAAATTTTCTTGCTGGCCTTAACGCTTTCTGGCTTCTGGCAGAGCCATATCCAGAGCTTATTCTGCTTGGTGGTCGACTAGCCTAAGTTAAATTGAAAAATAAACTATAAAAACTAAAGAAAAAAAAAGAAAAAGAAAAGTGTAAAGAAGGCCCTCATTTTAATTAAATGATATATATATTTCAAATTTTATCTTTAAATCCAACAAGCTGAACTTTCTTGTTATATTTTTTTGTTACCAATTAATTTTTGGTAATTAAATATAAATAATACAATTCTTTTATATTTTTGATAAATTTAAACAATGAAAAAATATTTTTTACATGACAAAAAAAATCTCGTTTTAAAGTACATAAGACAATGGTCTAGAAAGTTTTTTAATTTAGGTTTCTTTTGGTGATTACATCACCATCATAAGGGCTTAATCATCAAAAATCAGCAATTAAATTAGATTGTCTCCTCTAGAAGCCTAAATCTTATTCCTAGATTCTTTTTGTGGTTATACAATATTTCTAGTTGATTACTATTTTGGATCAAAAATTAGTTATTTTTCTGTTTTATAACAAGAAATTTTTTTGTAATCAATGTGAACAAACTTTTCTTTGATATTAAGCTTAATCTTTGACAATTGGCGAAATTTTAGATTTCAGTTTTTCCATGTTCAGATTTTGCATTCTATATCAAATATTTTCTTTTGAGCCAATGTACTTCTTTGCAATATTTTTTTTTGCCTTGCACTGGTGAACTGGGCCATCTATTATGCTCGGCGCTCACGTCTCCCGGAGGGCGGCCTCCGATACTGGCCAGGTCAGACATCTGGGCTACCCAATTAAAACGGGTTGTACTTCCCTCTTCTTTGGAATATTAAGATGTGGATATTACACAAAGGATGTTTGTATTGCAATGTGCAATTATTTTCTTATTTATGTAAGTTTATCCTTGTGTTCTTCCTTTGTTCCAAATTATGAAAATTATGCTGGCCAGTTCACAATTTCGGTAAAATAAACCACTTTTTTAACTGCACAAAATAAAAAGTTACTTTATCCTGTTGGAAACTATTGCTAATAAAGGCCACGAAGCAATTCTTTGATTGAAAATATTTAAAAAGACATTTTGACAACAAAAAAGACAATATTTAACATGATTTGGAAAACAACAGCAAGAATGTAGTATGATACAATACTACAATTTATTATTATTAAAATAAAAATAATGTAACATGGATTTTTGTAAAGACTTAATGTCTTTTTTATAATTTTTTTTTTTTAAATTTAATTTTCTGCATTCTTTTTTCGATAAATTTTTAGACATTTTGGGAATTTACACTTATCAACATCTTATATTAAATTTATATTTAATATAATGTAAGATTCTGGTGGGTGTAAATTCCTGAAACGCCCAAAAAATTTAATGCAAAAATAAAGAAGAAAATTAAAAAAAAAGTCAAAGTAAAAACCCAGACAATAATAATAATTTTAAAAAAATATGTCCATTAGAAAGAGACCAGTTGCCTTTATAATTTTGGCATTTATTCTACTTGCCAAGATAAAATAATTACACATAAACTGCCATTTATTCATTGAAAAAGTGTTTATAATTTATTTTTATTCTAAGAAAATTCTAATGAACCATTGGGCAGATGATTTTATTTTTTGTGACAAGAATTGTACTGAGTCTTTTGAAAGTTGAACGTAATTACTTAAACTTTTAGTAAAACCTATTATACATACCTTGTTGGGAGGGTTTTGGATATTGTGAAAGGGCAAGTTTTCATAAAATGCCTTGTCTGGGTCTGGAGGGAGAAGAGCATTGCTGTGTGATGAGTTTATATCCTTGTTTGAAGATGGGTTTGGACCTGGAACAAAGATTACCATTTGATTCTTCATTTCATTCCCCCCTCCCATATTTGCTATTTATAGTAGAAGTAAGTGCTTAAATTCATTTTAATTTAAATTTGAATTTTACCTGTAATATCCGGTTTCTTCTGTTGTCTAACCAAGGTGTTGTTCTCAGAGGAGGAATCGAGACGTTTGAAAGTGACCACTTTATTTAGGAGCATACAAAAACACAATCATGCAGTCAAACAGTTATAGAAATAAAAATTATATATTACACAAAACTTCATGCTGGAAAGCCAGATAAAAATGGCCTTCGTGTTAATATTAATAGATTTTCATTGATTTCGATTAATATTATATTATGCAATAACAACAACAATGCAGAAAAAGTATTAGGAAATTAATCAAATACGGTCTTTCAATCATTCAAACAACTGAAAGTCATATTTTGTTTTTCCAAGTAATTTCAAAAGGTGAAAGATGAACCTTACCTCCTGACTTTGATTGGAAGACACCAGGAAAGTGCTGGGTGTTCGGATCCTGAGAAAACATGGCTTTTATTCTGCTCGTCCTTGAAGCCTGGCTCTCATTTGGAGATCTCCCGCTCGGTGCTGAAGAAAGCAGGCTGTGGTTGTTGTTCACATGAACAAGGACACCCGGTCTCATCGGCCACTTGGAGACATGGCCGTTTGTCGGTGTACTTGCTCCTCCTGGGTTGTTATTGTTGTTGTTGGTACAGCTTCCTTCGGGGCTGAATTCAGGTTCGTGCTCAATCATAACTACAGATCGCATTTCACAAGCAGAGGAAAATTTGCATGCAATATAGCAAAAAGAAAGGACTGCAACTACTATGTTGTTTCATTTTATAAATAACTTTCAAAACAAATTAACAACATAAATTTAAAAAGTTTCAAATCATTTTTAGATTAATTATTTACTTTTATCTTAATCCTTTCTTACCGTATTAGTTCTTAGTGAAAATAATAATATTATTTAAAGTAATTTATTCATGCATTGGCAAGTTGAAGAAAATGTTTTAGCTTTTAAGATGAAATTAAATAAGTAAGCATCCTTCAGTGCGATAGATAATATTAAGCAGATAGAGTATTGAAGTTTCCAAACCATTTTGTTTAACAATAATGTTCAAAACATCAGATTGATGAATTGAGATATAACTTAAATAATTGAAGATAAAACAAGTGTTCCATGTTTTAATTTATACCAAAGTTTTTTACAGGATAGAGAAGTTTAAAGTTGTCCTGTGATTTATTCATGCAACATGCGTTGTTTTCATTTTTGTGAATTTTCATGCATAATTTTAATTAACTGAATTTGGAAATCAAGTATATGTGTTTCCTTATTATTTGCGAATATTTCTGCGCAATGTTCCAAATTCAATTTAAAATTAAAAATGAATCTGTGTTTTGATTTTTGAACAATTTTTCAGAAAACAAATTTCATTTTGGGTTGAACTTTAAACTTACTTTTCTCTATCTTCAAGCTCCACTGGGATATTATCTAAAAACAAATAGGAAAAGGGCACACATTTGTAGTTTTAATTATTAGTAGTAAAACAGTGTTAATAATTTCATGTGCTGAACTTGAATCACTAGTATTTTTTAAATCTTGGATTTATGATGAACTACATATGCATGCACTTTTAATGGTAACACAATTTTGTTAGCTATTAGCAATCATAAAGCTGCAATTGAAAAAAATAAAATAATACAACTTGCAGCTTACCTCTGTTGTTGATAAACCTTGAGTTTTTTTTTTTACTTATCATATTTATAACTAATGTTCCTAATCTTTTTTATATAAATAAGAACAAAGTGATAGCTTACATTTATCTGCAGCCCGTTTTCTTCTACAAACAATGATTATGATGATGCAGATGATGATGACCATCAAAATGATACCTGCTATAATAGCAATTAGTATCATTAAATTTTCTTTCTCCAGCTTTCCCCACCAACTGATACTTCCTGAAATTTAAAGGTTTTTTGAGAATGTTTACTTGAAAACTTTGTGTACATTTTCCTTAAAAATAAGGAACTCTTGTCCATGTTCATGAATTGGCTGACAGAAAAGTCTATATTGAATAGAATAGAGATGTTTGACATAAATGCTGATTGTGAGTCAGTTATAACATACTCATTTTTAATAAATGAAACATGAAGTGTATGAAAGTTACGTATTTTACATCTGTTGAGGTACATGACAAAATTTGGAAGTAAATTTAAAACTATTAATTAAAAATGCCCTCTTGTCTAGAATTATTTCCATGTATTTTTATTTAATAAAATGCAACTAATCATATCTATATATTATTTCTATTTTCTCTGCATGCCATTCTCGCAGGAATTTAGCATGCATTATGTAAAACTGAATAAAACAATGTATTTTAATACCCCATTGTAAAATAATTATTTAATTATCTAAATTTACAAAACATAACCACTAAAAATTAGATTACCTGGATACAATTTTTCAAAATTTATTTGCATGCATTTTTTAAAAACATAAAACCAAAAATATATTTAAAAAATAAAAATCACACTTTTCTATTAGGATCTTTAGCAAATAAACTTTGAAATGTGCATTTATTTAAGCAAATGAAAAGTGTGATGGATATGGGTACAAAATATATTAATTTAAAATAAATCCTACCTGAAGCACTGAACTTACTACTTTTCTCCTGGAATGCTAAGGATAACCGATACTTTATAAGTCTCAATTTTATTAGAAATAATTATAGTGAAATTGCATTAAACCAACTCTCTAAATGTAACATGTTATACCCTTTATGTCACGCCCTGTTTTGCAATGATAAAATGCCAAGGTAGGGTTCTATTTTAAATTCTCCATATTTAAAAAAAGCACATAGATCTTGAAATAGAACGATTTATGCGTGGGCAAAGGTTAAAATTAAAAGGAGAGTGGTCAAACTTTCCTATTCTTAACTTTACACAGTTAAAACATTTTCTGTTGGTTAAGAAAATACATTAAACAATTTGTAATATTTGTATTAAATTATGAACATTTAAAAACTGTAAAACATTAAAATAAGTACAGTGCTTTCAACTGATGTATTTTTATGTTTGAACACTTTCTATTAGTTTTTAGTTTTTAATCTTTTTTAATTTAGATAAATTTTATAAATGAATATGTAACAGTGAGAATAGAATATGAAATAAAATATGTTATTTTAGTAAGTTGTAATTATATTAAATTTAGAGAGTATATGGATAATAAGTTTTAATTGTTAATCCACTCACCAGTTACATCCATTTCACACGGGATGGACATTCCGACCGAGTTGTTTGCAAAACACAAATAAGTTCTGAAGCTTTCAACCCTTGTTTCTAGAGTTAAAAGACTCTGGAGTCCATTTTTCTCAATGTTATCTTCAATTGTTTCATTCTCATTTTTGATTTTCCATGTAAAATCAACTTCGGCTGGGTTTGCGAGGGCTTGGCAGATTAGGACGAGTTTTCCCTCGACTTCCTTCTTTGTGATTCCGCATTCTGGACGGTCTAAAATTATTTATTAAAAATAAAGAAGAAAATTAAAATTTTAATCTAGAGCGAGAAAATATTGTAGTCTATGGAGATCAAATATGAGAGCTCATCAGAAAATATCTTGCATTGTTGACAATTTTAATATAAGCAAAAAATAGTTATATATAATTTAAATACATACATAAAACATTAATAAAGATGGTTTTCGTATTATTGCCATGTCGGTTTTGAGCTTCACATGTGTAATTTCCAGCATTTCTCCTTAAAACGGCATGGTTGACGATTAATGCGTTTCCCTTCATTACTACTTCATTTTCTCCTTCCCTTCGCCATTGATATGTTGCTTCTGGATAGGCTTTTGCTGAGCATAAGATCTTTTCAGGAATATTTCCTTCAGTGACATTTACGATACTGTTAGAAACAGTCATATTTTCTGGTGGGTCTGAAAATCCGAATAGGAATATTGTTTTCAATTTTTATTTGTTTCTTTATTTTATTTCAACTGATTTAGATTGAAATAATTTATGTTCTAAGTAATTTATATTTTGCAACAAGAGAGCAGATTTTACTCACATTCTACACCAAAGAACATGGTGCTTTTGACTCCAGAACCTACTGCATTCCCTGTGCTTTCACACGAGTAATTTGCATTGTCTGTCATTCTGTCTAAGACACCTCCAGGCCAAGCAGTCATATTCCAAATAAGTGTTGACTTGACTGACTGAAAATCGTTAGTCCTTGTGTCTGGTGGTTCGACTTTACTAATAACATAGTATCGACTTCTTGAACCGGTCTCCAACCGCTGGCCATTTTTCTGCCACGTTATCGAACAAACTGGATAGCATTCAACTCTGCATGTTATACTTATGCTTTGGGATGTCATGAGAGCACCATAATACAAGGGCAGTCTTTCTATGAATGTTGGTGGTGCTGAAATGACATAACATTAAATTACTGTCACTAAGATCCTATTACTATTTTAATATAAATAAAAAAAATGTCCCATACCAAAGACATTTACAAAAACTGTAGCTGATTCACTTTCTCCTCCTAAATTTACAGCAGCGCAAGTAAAGTTAGATTGGGTTTCTAATGTAACTGGGTCAATAGTCCAATTGGCAGTTGTCACATCAAAAACAATGTGTGCTCCTCTCATCCATCTGTATGTTGTATTGGCAGGTCTGCCCAAATCTCCGACTGAACACATTAAAGTCATTGAACCACGTTTTACAACGCTGGAGGGAGTGTATTTAAGTGTTACAGCACTGGGAGGGTCTGAAATTAAAGCACAGTTATAATAAATATTAGTTACTTTGTTAAATATTATCCTGTTAGAATGACTTACAGTAAACAGCAAGTTCAGCCTCTGGTGAAATCGGCCCCCAGCCGGCATCGTTCATACCAATACAGGAGTAATTGCCATGAAAATTTCTTCCGACTTCTTCCAGTAACATCATACTAGGATCCAAATTGCAAAAAGTTGAATCCGAACAGTCAGGAAGTTCTTTTAGCAGTTGGCCGTTAAGATACCACCTCACTGCTTTTAATGTATCAGGGTTTCCAGCAATCACATTACAAGTTAGCGTAATGTTTAAATTATCCACTTCTGTTACCGGTGACGGTGGTGACAAGCTAACGTTTACAATAGGTTTGACTACAAAAAAAAAGTAAAAAAATACATCAGGTAAAACATCATACAATACAAGCAAAATAAACTTACAGTATACAGAAACATTCACAGAATTATGAGAAGGCATAGCACCGATTTCATTTGCCAATATACAAGTATACGAGCCAATGTCGTATCTAGTAGAATTTTTGATTAAAAGTGCTGTATGTTCCGTTGTGCCTCCTTGGTAATGATCAGGCTCAAGTATTACTTCCTCTTCATCTCTCATCCTAAAAAAAGAAGAGAACAACTTAGTAATAGTAAATAGATTTTATTGAGAAAAAATATAACCAATAATAATAATAATAATATTTACAACACTAATTGTTAAAATGTTGAAAATGAATAAGTGTAACAAAATGCATAGTTAATAATCCAAATTGCAAAACATTTCATTTAAAAAAAAATGTATATATATTATTATTAAAGTCATTGAACCACGTTTTACAACGCTGGATATATAAAATACTAATGACTAATGTCAATGGTTATATAAAATTCTCTCTCTCTCTTTAACGCAAAAGACGAGTATTTTGTTTGTTAAGTTGACTGTAAAAAGAGTGTGGAATTGTTGTATTTATTTATTTTTTAAAAGAAAATGGAATATTTTTTAAAAACTAATAATAATTAGAATGAACCAATAATCTATATATGTTGCATATCGTGTGCGATTAAGGTAAATATAGTTGATTTTGTCATGTCCAAAAGTTGCATTGTGCTCAGAAAGATTCATTTTTAAACATTGCTGCAACATCAATTGTTATATAAAATTGCAAATTATATTTCACCGTATTGTTGAAACAGACAGACAAAAAAAGAAAAAAGGAAAAAACAAATAGGCGAATCTCGAAACGGTCGCATCTTTTTATTGCGATGCATGTTGGGATGGAGTTGTGGATTAACTTGAGGGGCAAAGGTCCTCCTGGAGGGTAATAGACGGTCATAAGTTAAGCCGGTCTATCATCTTGGTGGAGGTTCATCAGTGGAGTGTCTTCTTGCGGCTCCGGGGGTTGGGGGAGCAGAGTTATTTGCGGCCTTTGGTTGCCGAGAGGGTTGCAATGAGAAGGAACACCCTTCCTCCTCACTAACGTTCCTCGCTTCCTAGTTAAGGAGCAATATATAGAACCAGCTCATTTCTCAGAAACCGGCCATGGTAATATCTCTCTCTCTTCGTTATTTGTTTATTGTTCCTCTGTAGGAAAGAACCTTTTTTATTTCAACCCGTTCAAACGCAACGATTTAACTTAACGAACCCCTTAAAACATAAGTTTTTTTTTGTGTACATCTAGATAGAATTAAATATTATCCTTTTTTGAAAAAAAATCTAATCTAAACATTTTTATTAATCTATACGCTAAAAGCAGAATTTATCAGAAAAACATTTTTTTTGTAATACAACTTTAGCAAAGGATCTGGCCAGAAAGTTAATGGTATACGTTATTAGCTCTAAATAAACAAAATTAAACAGTTTTTCTGTTTTTCTTTCTCTCTCTTTCATCTCTCTCTCTCTCTCTCTCTCTCTCACTCTCTCTCTCTCTCTCTCTCTCTCTCTCTCTCTCTCTCTCTCTCTNCTCTCTCTTTCTCTCTCGCTCTCTAAGAGTGTTCAGTATGATCCACAATTGTATCTTCAAAACTAAACATGAATAAAAAAACAGGTGATGCATGGAATCAGCGAATTTTTTCACCCCCCCCCCTAATTTTTTCTTTGTTTGTGGACGTATGAGTGGGTTTGCCTATCCGACTGTATGGATATATCGATCTTTCCAGCTTCAGCTCTATATTTCTACGAAATTATCCAGCCTTTAGCCATGGGTTCATTAAGGCTTAAGCACTTGTCGGTAACTGTCATAATTGTGTGTTTGTCCCCCCCTTGCACTCTCGAGCACTCTCCACACGACAGACAAGACTGACACATCTACACGGAAAACAAACACTTTGAGCCCTGAAGATGATCTCAATAAAGATCGAAACGTAGCACGATAAAGAAAATGTTTTTCTAAAACGTACGTCACACAAGACCGTATCTCACGACCTCCAAATAATCATTATGTAACGGTCACTAAACACCACACATAATTTTCTAATTTGGAAGATCGTGGCATTGAGTTTATGGATCAATAAAGCAACTTTTACGACCATCGGCGAAGGTCTCTGTAGTATTTTCATTGTTTTGTATGGTGTCAGTGTTGAGAAAGTACAAGATAACGAAATTAAAATATTGCATTTTCCCTTTAAATTCTTCAAGAGTAGTATTTTGATCCCGTTACTTTGAAGGAACTGTGCTCGCTGATGTTTTTCTTGTTCCCAAGTGACATCACCACTTGAGTATTCTTCAGAAACAAAGATTGCTCATAAAAAATAGTTATTTTGGCGATGATATAAGCCACCTTTCCTTTTTTCAGGTTACAGTATTGAGAGATAATACAACTATGGATTTGGCGCAGAAAATCTACGATTTTTAATAATAATCAATAGTAATTCAGATATCGTGAGATGCGGTCGGGTGTGATGTAGGTTTCAGAAAAACATTTTCTTTATCGTGCCAACGTTTCGATCTTTTATTGAATNGCACGATAAAGAAAATGTTTTTCTGAAACCTACATCACACCCGACCGCATCTCACGATATCTGAATTACTGTCGATTAACGGTCACTAATCTCTACACATAATAATCAATATTGAATTTGTAACCAAGTCATTATCTTGGATATAATCAACGTACATAAAATTTAATTATTGGTTTTATTGAAAAACAAGAAAGACAAAAATAAACAAAGAGATGTATTAATTCAAATCAAATCTATTGCCCATCATTACTTTAATTAGAATTTTAACAAGAGCAAATAAACCGGTTGATGGAATTGTAATCGATGTCTTTTTTCGTGGCTGAAATGATATGTGACTAGGTGGGTTCGATTGGGCCATTGCTAACATCTCACTACAGCCTAAGCCAGGGCAATGCCTTAATCTTCCTTAACCAAATACGCAGAGACAATATATCAAGCCGAGGAGATAAGCTTCCCTTTGAATAGGTTCGTTGTTCAGGACATTTACGAAAGTTAGAGGTTCAATAAGTAGCGATTACAAACAAATCAACGTTTAATGCTTAGCAGAGCACACATTTAGAACATCATTTATATATTATGCCAATAAAGAAAGTTGTATAATTGTAAAAGAAGTTTTAGGTGTAATTAAGTGAAAGGAATGGCTCTTTTTATTACAATTCGTAAAATCTTAGTTAAAACTTTATCCTATTGGGTTGTCCGGAAAATAATGCAGGATTTTGGTATTAAACAAAAAAAAAGAAACTAGTTACTTTAAAGCAATGTTCTTTAATCAAANAATGAGTAATCCTGTAAACGTAAACAGAATATTTTATATAGATTTTTTTTAATGAAAACTTAAAATCCTGCATTATTTTCCGGACAACCCAATATTAAGTTTTTAAAAATTCATTTCTAACGGGTATTTCATGAATGAAATATCATTGGAAGTTAAGTATATAGGTAAAAAAAAATACATATTTCTTATTTTCATTCTCTAAGTCTGCAGGGCCTTTGCATAAAAGTAATATTACGTAATAGGATGAAGGGTTATTGCATCGTAATACGGTATCGATTTGGTTTATGCTGGGAACATCAGCTTTCAAGATGAGCTTCAGGTCGATGCCTGGCTTACTGCTTCATTCAGTGGCCGATGCCGAATTATTCGAGAGTCTAAGGCAAGATCTGAATGCCACCAGTCACGGATTATCGACCACAATTGAGGCTTTAGTTGCCGCAGTAAGCCGTCATATTAGTCAAATTTGGTATCAGGACTATCCGGCGGAGAAGATTAGTCCTTCACGATTGGTCAGACGTCCAAGCCAAACTGCTCGACGATGTATTCACGAAATTCATTTAAAAAATATGAGGGAATTTTTTTTCCAAAATTGTATCAATTAATTTTAATGGAAATATACTTTTTTTTAAAACTTGAATTTGTTCCTAAAAGCCGACTTGTCAGTATATACTGTTAAAAAAAAGATTTAAATACACTGGGAGTGTAAAAAATGTTTAGTAAATACTTGTAATCTTACAATTTTTCTCTTTTGTTGATTACTGAATGTTTTTAAAGAAAAATATAAATAAGATAAATAAGTCTAAATAAAAAAATTAAAAAGTAAACTGAGTAAAACATTTTAACCAAAAATGTTGTTATGGAAACAACGACGAAAATAGTCAATTCAGTACGGTGTATTTCTTCCTCTTGTGTTGATCACCCGCTTCATTCGACGTGGCATCGATTTTTATGAAGTTTTGAATGTTGTGTTGTCGAATATTTATATACTCCTCCAACAGCGCCATAATAACGATAAATTGTCCACAAATAATAACGATAATGAAATTACGCCAAACAATCTTGAGATTTCTTCTTTAGGATTGTGGTGCGATCAACCAGTAGCTAGTCAGTAGGTTTGTGATCGTTTTTGGTCGGTGTATCCTTACAGGTTTTGTTTGTTGGACATATTTCGTCTTATTCAAGGTTATTCTGGTCAGGGTTATAATCATAGAAAGCCAAAACTACATACCAACCACTGAAGATAGCGAATAGCTGAAACGCGCCTGACGGACCAAAATAGCAAGAAAAGGGAAACAGAAAATTACGGAAACTATCTAGTTACTGGTTCATCACCCCATAGACCTGAAAGAAACTCACAATAAGCCTGTCACCAAAACAGTGAGAATAGGCAAACCAAAATGGTCTCAAGAACGCATCAGAAAAGGTGAGAAGTGTCAGCATGTTTAGGGATGTCAGCTGTATATCTGGTAAAGGACGGGAACTAGTACTTACCTTGCAGAATTTTAGCTTTTACGGGTGAATGAGGCTTTAAGGAGGCTTTTGATACTGAGGTAACCTATATGAATAGATAATATGTAAAAAGAATGGTGTTTTTGAGCAACGACACCAAATCAGAGTGTTATACACAGTCGTAGGCCTGGGCTACATCAAAAATGCTGACGAACAGTACCGTCTTAATTCGAGAGAAGAGATGACTTCCACAACGCGATGACACCGTCATAGTGCAGTGGTAGCTGCGGAAGCCAATTGGTGGTTTGGATGATATTCTATGAATCTAGGAAAGGTAGGATACATTTTAGAAGTAGTTTCTCTGGGAATGGCAGTCATCTAATGAGTCTGCACAAAGATGTGTTTTTTTACAGATAATAGAGTATTTCCAAGACATAA